AGCTAGTCATATTATTTCGTCACAATCATATTCTCCCATGACCTAGTAAGCTTCCAGTAGTATAGATAGACTAGATAGCTGTTGTTTGTAGTAAATAGCATTCATTCTGACAACCATACTGCAATAAATCCTATATTTAAAGCCAATGAATCAATAGCAATAATCAGAGCTACTGTATATTTGAAAGCAAAAAATACCACCATTTTGATTGGAAGACCATGCTATTTAAGGAAAAGAATACTCGTCTGTGAATGGACTAAAAATCATGAACACATCATTTTAATTGGAAGACTATATACACAAAGTAGAAAATACTCGTCTGTGAATGGACCAAAGATTTTTTAATGCATCATTTTAATTGGATGTCAGTAATAGAATTTAATGGTATCCACCCCCAGACTGGGGTGAAAACCGGCCGAATCTCCCAGTGGAAAAAGGGACCACAAGTTTCCTTCACCACTACGGTGGATACTGACAGTTTCCACCTCGTTTCCTCCAGTGGATACAGCTAATTATGTGTAGTGGAGTCACTACAGTTAAATAGCTATTCCATACAACCCGGACGTCCAGTGATTTTTAATTTCTGACGCGGCCGGTATTTCTAACTTGCCATTTTGGGATTCTGTGTTATGCAGACTTCCCTTTCAGAATAAACATTCTTATTTTGGATGAATTCTCGTTTTGGATGGGGAAAAAAACACTAAGCCGCAACTGTTGTTAAGAGAGACAGTTAGGCACTTCATGTACAATAGCTCTTCTTTGAGTCTTTAATCAATTTTTGTAATTACTGTAATGTCTTATCAATGCGAATTCAATGCTCATGCCGCTAGCACTTCTAGTGCTAATGGCGTTACTAACCCTATTTTTACTGACAATACTACAGTACACTTTCTGTTTCTAGATATAGATTGTCACTGCAATAAATGTACTTCTCGACTCCCATCTGAAGAAATTTTTCATACACAACAAACCAGCCAGCAAACTCGCCGACATATATAGTGTTGGGGTCTTTCTCACTATCTTTTTTCTCCTGCACCTGACTATGACGATGGTAAATTGACTTGTATATTTTATCTGATATATTTTTCTCATGTCTTTTTTTTTTCCTCATAGACGACGATATTGAGATGAATGAGCCAGATAATGCCAATGATACACTGCTTTCTTTTCCTGATGCCAGTAATATACCATTCCGGCATTCATATAATCGGTAATTATGAAGTGAACTGTCAATGAATTTTCAACCTTTATTTAACCTGACCTTTATATATATATATATATATACAGTATATATTTATATGCAGCAATTCACCGTTATTTGACAATAATTATTTTGCAACAGTAGATGACGAACCTCTTGATGCGACCGACATCATTCCTGGAATTGTACCAAGGGATTTGAATAATGCTGTTTTTGGACAGATACTGGTTGATGACAATGGTGCCGAAATCGATATTGAAGACCTTATTGATGAGGAAAATCTGCATCTATTAGATGGCCTATCAGACGATGATGATTATCTTCGTGAAGAGCAGGTAGAGGACGACTATGAAGAAGCACTGCCATCAAGTTCGGCCAACTGGTTTACCTGGGTCATCATGACTTGGGTTTACAATTTTTGTATCAAGTATTTATCTAAGGAAAGGGCGAAACAATTGATGACGGGCCTCAATTTTATTTTTCTGGTGTGTGAGATAGAGTTTCGATTCCCTGCTGAATTGTCGACCCTCACAGAAATGGTCGGTACACCTGATAGTGTCAAGTCTATCATTTGTTTTGTGGTCTGCCCCATTTGTCACAAGACAGAAAATATTGGCAATCTGTAGTTGGAATGGTACAATGATCCTGTGGAACAAGTTCGGTGCAAGCACGTAGAAATTCCGAGACATCCAACAGCTCCCTTCTCATCACTATGCAGTCACCGATTATTCAAACGTTCCGCTGGAAACCGCCCTGTGCCCATCAAGGAATATAGCTATCTTTCTCTTATTCCGACCCTGCAAATAATGTTCTGCCACGGAAACTTTGTCAACAAAATTAATCTATGAAGACAATACACTTCCTCTGTAACTGGCAATCCGTCAAATATTTTATACAATATCTATGATAGTTGTATGTGGAACGAACTCAAAGATCAACATGGAGAGCGTTTTGTTGATGATGGACAGTCACTTCTTTTAATCTTGAACATGGACTGGTTCCAGCCTTTTGACACTGAACATCAGCATTCAGTCAGTGGAATTTACCTGACAATCAACAATCTCCCTAGGATGGAGTGTTACAAGCCAGAAAATGTGATTTTAGCAGGTGTTATTCCTGGTAGCAAAGAACCTAGCAAACAACAGATCAACCATTACAGTATCTGCAGCCTCTTGTTGATGAGCTAGAACAGTTGTATGTTGGCGTTGGCGAAGAAGATGAACGTATCTGCACTGCTATTCTCTTGGTTGTTTGTGATATCCCCGCAGGTCAAAAAGTTTCAGGTTTTACAGATATTTAACATAGGCTTTTTTTTTATTTTTAAAAAAAAGGTCCATATTTAAGATTATTTTAGCTAATAATGTATTTCTGGTAGGCATTTCGTCTTTACGTGCATGCTACAAATGCAACCGAACTTTTTCAGCTTTACCAGAATATAATCTCAGACGCGACTTTTCAGATTTCTCTGACATTGGTCGATGGGAAGGTCGCGATCCTAGAGCCAATTTAATGCAGGCGGAAAATTGGAGAAATGCATCTACCTTACAGGAACGAACTCAACTAGAGAGAGAGCATGGTGTCTGTTATTCAGAACTGCAAAGACTTCGCTATCTTGATCTTATACTGTATGGTGCACCATTATTGATCCTATGCATAATCTCTATTCTGAAACGGCAAAGTACTGTATGAAAGTATAGAAAACCATGTTGAACACTGCTACTGGACAGCCACTTTTATGCGATAACGACTTTGAGGTAATGGCGCAACAAATGAACTGCATCATTCTACCTTTTGGCTATGATCTCCCGAAAGGCAAAATTAGCTCTGATTGTGTTGGCTTGAAATCCGATGAATGGCGTACTTGGGTCCTTGCAGTGTTGACATTTCTCCTAAAAGAAAAGCTCACCGGTCAACACTTTCGAATTTGGATAAAATTCGTGCAGGCAAATCAACTTCTCTCCAAGCCATCGATAAGTGTTTCGGAAGTTGATACTGCACATGAATTATTACGTCAGTTTTGTCAAATGTTTCAAGAGGAATATGGTTCAGAGAGCATGATGCCTAATATGCATCTGCATACAGTATGCACCTCCAAGAAATGATCCTTGATTTTGGTCCAACGTACACATTCTGGTTATTCGGTTTTGAATGATGTAATGGATGGCTAAAAAAGATCGACATAAATATCAAAGACGGATTTGAAATGACCTACTATATATGAAGAAATTTGTGGAGCAAGCCTATGGTGCAGATCACCTATCGCATTCCCTTTTTAGTATTCCTCATCAATATTTTGATGCTGCAATGCAACTCTTGAAGACAGTTATTCTGTCAATGGCAGCTTTTTCTATGCTAGCTCAAGATACCAACAATGACTTTTTTGATGTGGACAATTTTGTGCAGTTAGCTAGACCGGGTAATGGTGCACTTGGCTTTGAAGAACTACCACCATCAACTTGTTTGGAGGAATCGAACAAGTATATCACTATGAACCCTATACATTATGATTGTCTTTTTCAGTATTATGACAACTGTTACCAGGAAATGCTTCAACCGGTGACCAATTACTGTACATTGACACTGATGTGACCATGATGACCAATATTATACGAAAGGTTCCTCATGTATCCATACTCAGTCAAGATTATAGAAGCAGGGAAACATCAAGAACAGATATAGGTTGACATATCCAGGCATACTTCAAGGCGGTGAATAACAAATACTACTTGTGACCTGGTGAAGTGCTCTATTACTTTACCCATAAAGTGAAGCTGGCGACTGAACACGAGGGTGTCACCTCAGAGTTTAGGTATACATTTGCATTTGTACAATGGTACCAGCAGGCCGCCTATTCAGTTCCAAGTTTTGATGAGCTTGGAATGGGTGTTTAGAAGAATCCTTCGACGAGTTGGACAGAATGTGCATTTTGCCAATTCAGTGCATCTATTCTCCTGTGGCAGTTTCTGCCTGGCTAGACAACAATATTGTTATTATTCTGCTGCCCCATAAAACATGCTTTTAATGTTCTTGGTATGTCAATGAGGTCACTTGCTTTTTGTATTGAAATTTTAACTTATGTTTTTATACAGTAGGGCCAAGGCTGTAGACATATTGAGCCATGTCCCTCATTGATGCACAGGTATACTAGTTATGAAAGTCAGATATACTAGAATATTATCCACCAACTTTTCATTATATGCTTTAGCATCCACAGCCCCCATGATTAAGGAGGAGAAGGCACGATATCGTAATTATAAAGCCATGATGAATTGGTAGGTCATATGCTATCAGACTGCTTAATAGTCATCAGAATCCTTATTTCTAAGCTTTCATTCGATATGCTGCCTTGTTCTTTCTATCAGCTATAGCTCATTTATCCCTATACTGATTTTAACTGTAAGTTGTATATTCTTATCTGTCATAATGATGTGCATGTCTTCTATTAATACTCATTAGGAAAAATATGCCGAAATATTGAATATAGTCATCGACCCATGAAAGGTATAACTGGCATCTAAAGCTAGGATAACATGGTATGCATTAAACTTTTTTTATTGTTTTTTTTGCTTCTTGTGGAAGTCTTGCCCAAAGTGTAGGTTTTGAAGACACTTCGGCACCCACATACTCCTTTGGCAGGGGTGCTCAGCTGAGGCGCTTGCTCATCTTGCTTTTTTGAGCAAGCGCTGACAGCTTGTCGAGGAATGCATTGGACTATAGGAATGACAAATGACCATGTAAGTTTATCACTTTGAGTATGCTGATTCAAATCAAAGCACTTACTTTGTCACTCCTCCAAGTAGGGCGGAGCACCCGTCTGCCAATGATGCAGTTGTCCTGGATGATGTCTTCCTCATCAGACATCAACCCAGACACCAACAACATCTCTGCACCGGCGAAATATGTGGACACCTCTGCACCAGCCACATAGAATGCTGCATGGCGCTCATGGAATTTCTAAAACGTTCATGTAGGTTAGTTCAGTTAAATAATAAATGTCATTATAATTACTCACATTGTTGCGGTGGGTTTTCAGCTTCTGTATCAGCTTCCAGCCCGCTGCATCTTTCTTCTTTTCTTGATAATTGGTACGCAAATGATTGTGATGCTTGCACACCTTGTGGCGTACCATGCGTGGCGTCCAGGAAAGCTTTCGGATCTCGTCTGGAAGCTGATTGATAAAGTCAATCAAGGCTTTAGCAACTTTTGGGTTTGTGCTTTCATTGAATTCAGTATCCAAATTCCAAAAGAGCTGTTCCTGTTCGCCCAAGTATCTGTAATGTTGACGGATCTTCTTCTACAAAGCAAAGTAAGAAACTATATCATAAATCATATATTTTGGATGCTACATACATTCAAGTCGAGATTCTTTATCTTTACAGGAGCAACCTGCGTGCACTCGGCAATCATGTGGTCCATCTTAAGGATTTTTCTCTCCAAGCTGCGGACCTTGGCTTTGAGGGATGCAATTTCCTGCTGCTCAGAGCTGGCATCCTCATTTTTGTGCCTTTTAGGCATAAGACGCGCTGTGGTAACAGTGGGTGGGGCATTGGACATGTCAACAAAATAGAATAAGAAGAAGAGGGAGATTCAACTGCCGCTGCTGTTGCAGTAAATAAAAATTCATCCCAAGAATACTTTTTGTCATACACATCTTTTTCTTCTTTCCCACACAAATCTCATTGATATAGAGAAAGTAAGTTGTTATTGCTTGACAAGTATCATCTTGCTCATCTTTGGATTTTGTCATCATAGTCGCTGGTCTTTATCCTGGCTCTCCTTATGGTTGCTATGCTGCCCACTATGATATTGGTCTGGAGTGTACCTCTATTTGTATAGCTATATATAGCTCCCTCTAACATGTGCGTGATATCATCATTGACATACACATTGACTATGTACTGTACAGTGCTCAGAACTGTATATGCTCTTGTGTGCATTTTGAATTATATAAAGATGTTTATGTATAGAGTTCATATTTGTTCTGATATTGTCATCTTTTTGTCTTTTTGTATCGTCATTGCATGTATGCTGCAAACTTAGCATCGGATTTATCATGAGTACAGTATATGAGTATAGACAGCCTCCTGCCCTTTATCATGCTTGGCAGCATACTGTACTGATAAGTAGAAGCTGGAAGATTTTCAATATCCCCCTTTATATTATTTCAACTGTAGTGCTTCATATTTCTTCTATTTCACTCTTATGTATATAGTAGTCTTTGATAAGTAGTGTATTCATAGTATAGCTCCATGGCTCCATAGCTGTATAGTATAGCTTTATTTTTATTTCTGACGGCAAAAATAAAATTGAATATTCACAAAATATGCAACAGCCCTCTCAAAGGCTATACGAAAGTCATTAAAGAAGTGTAATCTGAGCCCAATGAAAAAAGAGATGGATTCAGTCATAAACCAATAAGAAGTGAACCTCTGTCTAGGATCTCTGAAAAACAGCAAATCATAGAGCTGTCAGCATACATCTTTAACCAATGGTAATGCATTTTCTTATAGAAAGTAACCAATAGCCATGCATCTTTTTGTATGAAGTGACCAATGGCAATGAACAAATGGCTTGTGTCCAAATATCATGTTAACGTATTTCTATTGGTTAATTATTTTTAAAACTTTGAAGTCAGATGGATACCGTCCGCATATAGTTTTGTCAATTCCATCCATAAGGTACGTATGGAATTCTGGATTCCGTACATACCTTACGCGGACGAAATAGCTATTTAACTGTAGTGTACCGAAGTAAATTATGTGAATACATATAATAAAGTAATCCCGAATATTTTCGGAGTACTTTTCGAATATTTTTTTCCTAAGGTGTTATTTTATCTTTGACGGTTATCCATATTTGCTCTTTTGTGTGACATCTATTCTATTATTTTTTAATTATTTCGTATATCCAAAATTATTTTAAATATCTTTAATATATTTTATTTATTAAAATCTTTTATTTCTTATCATTTATTATTAAATTTAACTTGTTCATTTTTTTTTATGATTTTTTTTTAAAATTTACCCTATTTTTTCACCCCTTCTAAATTAACTAGCCTTAGATATCCGTCTAGAGAATTAATTATTAAGTGAATAACTAAAGTCTAGACTTTAAAGGTAGAAATCGTTATACTGTAGTTAAATAGCGAAACCTTATGCCCCTGACGTCAGATACTTTGAATAGCCTGATGCGGAAGGTTTTTTTAACTTGCCATTTTGGAATTCAGTGTTATGCAGACTTTCCTTTTCAAAGTAAGCATTCTTACTTTGGACGAATTCTTGTTTTGGATGGGAAAAAAATACTACAGTAAGTTGCAATCATCGTTGAGAGAGACAGTTAGGTGCTTAGCTCTTTCTGGATTCTTTAATCAATTTTCGTAACTACAGTATTGCAATGTCTTATCAATGCGAATTTAGTACTTATGCTACTAGTACTTCCTGCAATACTAGCATTATTAACTATACTAACCGTCCTACTGTATCAATAAAAATCATTCTGTCTGTACATCTCGGTTTAATCCGATCTTTTCTTATTTTCAATCTCTTCTGGGCTATTGCCTTCTGTTTTTTTGGTTTTTACTTTCTGGTCCTGATCGTCTGATTTTCTGTTTTTGCCTGTTCCTGAAAAGCACTTGACATCTTTAACTGCTCTGATCCAAGTCTCTTTCAGCTTTTGACATCAATAAAGCTACAGTGTTTCTAGCTATAGCTTTTAGTTGATTGGTCAATGGAAAATGATGAATTGCTTAATGGTGCACATTTATGTTGACTAATGGAAAATGGCACATTAGTTGAAAGAAAATAGTACGTCAGTAGGTGAAACCCAAACAGAGCTGCAGGAAAATCAAAGAGAGTCTGGGGAATAATCAGGGCACCAGAAATCGGCAATCACAGTCATGAAGGTAGATTTTTATAACAATGGATTTGTTATTTTTATATGAGAGTATGTATACATTGCGAGAGATAATTATATTGAGACTAATGAATAGGATAGCAGAGGTGATCAGAGTAGGTTTTGCATGTTAGGAACATTGTTTTAATGTCATAACAACACATCTATTGGGGACTATTGCTAGCCCTGAGATCTATAGGGTCTAGTACTATTGTAAAAAAAACCACTGAGAAAAACAAGATAAAATTGTGCACAGGACGCATGGGGTGGCAGGTAGTCAAAAATAAGAGAAAAAACAAAGAAAAAGAGAAAAGAAAAGAAAAATGCAAGACTAACCAGAGTCGTTTGATAGGATGAGCCAATATAGAAAACCAGTGTCCGGAGCAGGAGAAGTAAAATAAGTCAAATCAAATCATCCTTGGGATGGATAAACTTGTCAAGTTTCAAGCAAAGAGAGGAACAAAGTGCGCCAGTTACTGTATGCTCTCAGAAGCAATGAGCAGAATGATCATTAGGACAGAGAGCTTTGCTTAGCAATTTGTTGAGTAGATGGTTCACTATATCTGGAGTGGGATCCAGAGAAAAATTAATAAGCTACGATGAAAGGTGTCATTTTCGGTATAATAAATAATGTATTCCACATACAGTACATCAATTCCTCCTTCCTCACATTATGGACATGGCTATGGATAATTCTCATCCTCAGAACGTTCGCAGTTCAAATATGCCAAGTTGCACCACACTCAAATCCTAATCAGTGAAGATAAACCTCATGACCATCTTTATTCCCAACCTTTGACATAAAACAGTCATGCCATCAAATAATCATGCGATCCATATTCACAAATTCACCGTCTCCTTGTCAACCAAAAGTCACAAGAACAACTGTATACTCTTGTCATTCGTCCACAGTACGTTCTATGGCAATACCTACAGGATAAACGATTTATGATAATACAATCAATCAGATGACGATCCGTCATAAAGTATATAAGCAGACATAAAATGAAGAGTTGATCTGGGCTTTTTTTTCCCTTCTCTTGTTACTCAATAAATCCGAGTTTCAAAAGATTTCAGGTTTTCTCTGTTTTACACTTCTTTTTATTCACAAACACCACAAAAGGTATAAGCAAGATATCAAATGGTGGTGACTAGAAGTGCATGGGGCGTAGTGTATCAGAAAGCTATCCGTAGCACCAGCAAAGAAGAGGACTGCATTCATGGTGAGACATCGGTAAAAAAAGGATTGGATCAAGGCCTGCAGTATGTACAGACAGCAAGCAGAGAGCAGGATTAGTGAGTTAAGAAAAGTACAGAGCTTATTATTAAAGTCCTGGTTGACAGAAGTATAGAAAAGTGCAAGTAAGAGGGGTTTCTTATCAATATCTTCAGGGGGATACAGATCTGCTTCAATATATAACTTTCAACCGTTCACAAACTGTTGATTTCAGCATAAAGAAACTGTTTAGAGATTTTCTATGTGCATGAAAGTTTTGATGCCGATCCGACCATTGGTTCCTGAGTTACACACGTTCGCTGCATCAATGAGTGACCACAGAGCGCATTGTATAATAGCTCAACTTCTAATGATGAGATCAACACCAAATTTAAATCAAATATACTACAAATAGCTGTGAGCAACTACGGAAAAAAGGCGTTATTTTATTGCGAAATGGCCGAGGTATAGACGAAAGCAATCCCATTGACAGATGATGAGGAGATGCTGATTTATTGTACCACTTGTATCGATTGCTGGACAAATGATGATCCCATTTACCCCATGTTATTTTTGTAGGATGGTAGCTGATATAGAGACATTCATGAGAAGTTGCAGATTTTTAGGTGCCGTAGATCAAGAGATAACAATCATTGTATTTTTTACCTTCATGAGGTCAGCAATGAATTATTTTTTTCCCACCAGTGTCACAGTATACATGGACTCCAACTTTTGGTACTCAAAAAGAGTGTTGTTAGGCGACCTTTGCCCTTTCTACTGCATCCTGATTTTGCAATCACCTCGTCTGCAGTCTAATTAGTCCTCATCCAATCGCATTGAATTACCAGCACGTCTGCAAACTCTCACACCACCTACCAAAATAGTCAGGCTCGTTTGAACTCTGGAGAGTCTATTTGGTCTATTTCGAGACACCTTGAGATCTAACGGCACTCCATCGATCGCATCAGCACTGATGCTCCATATGGAGGACCCTCGGTCATATCATACTGCACAAGTTCAATTCTGGTAAATACAAAACCTCTTTCCACGCCTCCAGGGAGCTACAGGCGGATGAGTATCATATATATCAGCTGAAACCATCCGTAATCACCTAAAAAACTCTGGGTATCAATTCCGCAAAAAACGTGATGCACTTCCCTTTGATGGCTAGTGGTAAGAAAAACTCGTCTTGCTTTCGCCAAAAAAAAAGCATCAACATTGAATTTATGTGCTTGGAAACGGGTTATCTTCAGTGATGAAACTAAAGTAAACTGATTAGGATTTGATGGAAAGGAATGGACATGGTATAAAAATGGAGAACCCTTTGCGCAATCATATATACAAGTATAGCGATGGTAATATTGCATGCTTTGTAGCTATGTAACTGCACATGGCTCTGGCTACATACAAAAATTTATGGTGGTGGCATGGGTTCTATAATCTATTACCGAATTCTAGAGGAGGATCTGGCCAAGATATTATCGCATTATTTCTCATTTTTCTCTTGTGTGGATCAAGCTCATCTCCAGACCCATACCGCACACACAGCCTGTTATTAGTTTATCCATCATCTATTCGTTCCATTCACCAGTATATCAAAAAAATAATCTGTATCAGTCATTAGCTAAGCAAAACACACTTTATTCTCTCACGGATCATCCCACATCGAAAAATACCTTGTGTCCATATCCACTCTTGGTACTTATTCTTTTTCCTTTTTTTAAACACCAAACTCTCTCTTCCAGAATAAAGGTAGTCTCGTAGTGTCATAGTTTGTTAGTAAGATCGTGTCCTCTTTTCAACATCCCTTTGTATATACACTGATTTCCTTATTCCTTATATTTCACTTCCATATAAATATCCCCCATTTCAAATAAAACCGTATGAGATTACCTTGTTTCCCATCCACTTCCTATTCCTTGTTTCGTGTCTGTCTTGTCTTGTCTGTCCGTTCCTGCGGAAAGCACCTAACATCGTCCTGATCCTGTCTGCTTTCTTGTTTTATCCTACCCTCCAGCCTTGTCCGTACCCTTACACTATAATCTGATCACCTAGTGTTGCTTGCTTCCTTCATTTTACATTGGGTAAAAGAAATGGTCCAAACCTATGTCGATATTTTTACGTTTTCATTAATACCACAGCTTTTGCTATATGTTCCACCTATTTTTTTTTATATGAAAAAAAGTACATCCTTTTGTTTTTGTTGCGAAATTCCGGTGATCGCATTGCATTTACCATTTCAACCTGAAAATCAGTTCGGACCATTTCTTCCAATAAATCTGCAAAATAAGAAAAATCGTGCATTCAGTTCCGAAATTTCGGCCATTTCACACCAGCTGTTCCCCATCTACTGCTAATTATGCAGCTTATATCCTTGGCGACGACTGCAGAAAAGTGCTTTATTAAAACCGAGTATGCCCAGTCTTGGCCCTCAAAACAGCTTGCACGCGATCTGGTATACTCTCACCATACTTTTTACAAAGTTCTGCAGGGAATACCTTCCACTACTTCTCAGTGCAGATCTACAATTTATTGACCCCGCTGGCTTGGTGGTAATAATAGCGCAATTGAGCTGGCGATGATGCCAGATAAGTTTTGGCATTGGGCAGGCAAAGACGAAACTGAGAAAGAGCACGACTTGTACTCCTTAGTGTATTTGGATCATTATCATGCTGGAAGATCATGGTATCTTTGTCCAGTTATTAATTCTTCAAACGAATATGCAAAAGTGGTCTTCAGGACGTAATCCTCTTTTTTCATAGTACCGTTGAAAATTTGACAGGCATAACCAAGGCAGTCATGCCCAATTCATCTCTAAATGTTTTAAAATTCTTGCCAAACTAAAACCAGTCGCCGCACGCCAAAATTTGCGAGCTAAAAAACAGTCACATGGTGTTCCTTATTCATCATATGGATTTGGCAGCTTACTTCGCTTAGAGTTATTTATTAATTCAAAGATGTCAGATGGAGGTTATGGAAAAGTTCAATGGAAGGGGAGAGCTTTCTGTAAAGGGCTATTGTCAATGTCAATGTGACGTTCTTCTGTAGCAACATTTAATTTGACTTTGTCAGTAATATGTGTGGCATTTTACATAATATGCTTCGATCTGTGTAGCTCATCATTCATGCATCAATAATGCGACTATTGTTTCATCCATGGGAACTCATTATTTTTTGTTCCCAATTTTTTTCTTTTCTCGGTTTTCTCTCTTTTTCTGTTTGCCTGAAAAGCCCTCACTAGCATTGCATCCCCTCGCATCCATCATCCATCATCCAGGTATGGTTTATTGTGCGTGTATCTGTAACCGGTTTTCTGTAAATATCCAAAAGGTACCTTTTGTGTGATGTGACTATTCATTTTTCGACAAGAAAAAACTCACGTTCTTTTTTCTCTATCCTTTCTTTAGCTTTTGGTTTTCTCTCCGGTTTTCTTTTCGCCTGTCAAGCCATCCCATCCCTCCAAATCTTCCTGCTTTGTTTGCGCACCAAATGTGGCCCATCCGGTTTTTGTCGTGAAAGGGCATCGTCGGTGGTGTGATTCTCTTTTTCATCGGTAACGCTTACGCGTCCTCCTCAGGTTCCTCTTCTTTGGATTGCCACCCATGGTATATTGTCTTCGATATTTCTTCCCGGCCATTTTATTTCTGTAGTTTGTAGTTTGTAGTATGTATATTTGTATTTTATTCGGTAGACCTTCTTGCAGTCTTTTCCTCCTTTTTGTTCCCACAGGGTTTTTAGGGGGTTTTTACAGACGCACCTATTGTTTTACTTTTTTTATATATTTGTACATTTCTTGTTTTTCGGTCGGGAAGCTCTCAATATCTGCTGCATCGAATAACAAAGGTAAAATATCTTGACGACACTTGAATCAATCAAAGAGCTTACTAACTCATTTCTTTTAAATACCCAACATATCCACACATCTTTGTAGATCTATCATAACCTTGGGCAGGACATGAACGGAGGGGGTCAATAAGTACTGCTGCAGTCATTAAAAGTGTTTCATGGTATGCCAGAGTATCGACATTAATATACCAAAGTTCCATCAAGAGTCTTGCCCAGGTTATGCCGTATTGTGATAGACTTTTTGTTTGATGAATGTCACTCAATGTAAGAGTGTGACATCCCAGTAGCAGGTGGCATCCATTGCACAGGGGGTGTACGGCTTGTTATTACTCTGTACTATTAAATTAAGTTAAACGATCAAAAATTAATTCATCAGTGGGACCTAGAGCAGGAAGGATTTCTACACGTGAGAAGGCCCCTTTATTGAAATTTCATCATGGAGGTTTCTCACTTCAATGTGCCATCAACTTTTTGATCATGCAGCCGGTCGTCCTAGGTTACCGGATGACAGCATATTTGGAAAACATGGTATGATAGGCACATCAAGGCGAACATGTGTCAACGTTGGCCTTGCGACTTGTTGATCGTCATAGCAAAATGCGAACCCACACAGGAAGCTGCCTTCCGGGATACTTCAACGGGTAAGTGGGATGTTTGGGACGATGCAAGCATTACCCTGGGGATGTACATGACCGGCCGATATGTGAACCACTCGCGATTCACTTTGATTAAGTTATTGCCAATGGGGTTTATCCCGTTACACAAACCGTCATCTGGGTTTGGTGTTTGGAGAAGAATCAGCGGTTGATTCTTTTTTGAGCCAATATAGTGGGTTAAAAAGCCTAGAAAAAACATATAATGAGCAACGAAGACTAATGTAAAGCAAACAGCATCAACCACCCTTTTTTCAAAAAAACAGTCTCCCCTTATTAAACTAGATCGTCTAGCAAATTGCCGCGGATGCAATCAGTTGTTTGTGGACGGCAAAGAAAAAAAGCGTATCTTTAAAAAGATAAAACCTCTTTCTTTATTATTTGTGAATTTCTCTGTTTATCTATTATATGGTTGAGCAGTAGCTGTTTACACAGAAACAGCTGGAAATATTTCTCTTCTTCCTCTTTGCTCTTTCCTGACCGGTTCCAAATGAATAACGGTTTAGTATGCTATATAATGAATAAACAGAGAAGTTGTCACTAGTATTTCATTGCTTTCGGGAAGAAATTCCGAAGTATGACCCTCACTCTCACCAGCGTATGAATCAGCATCATGCTCTAAATCAGGACTCGATGATGACGACGAATTTACATAAGTCCCCACTGTGTGAACACATACAGTTATCCATGTTAAAGTAGGCTTCAATTTCTGGTGTCGGCAGCAAATCAGCGAGGTTCATGTGTGCGACCTCATCTACTTCACCCTGAGTCGGCTTTCAATTCAGGAGCATTTAGGAAAACCATTGACTGTGATTTGAGTGTGGTGTGTGGCATAATATTTTCTTCGAATCCGTATACCATTTATTGCTGAGAAGTGGCATCTTTCAAATTCTCGTTGCTTAATTCTACCCAGTTGCACCTTTGCCCAATTGTTGCCCAATTGTTACCTAGTTTTATGCCCTAGCTTTGCTATGGTTATGCCAAGATGCACAAAAATGACACACGATACGGGGGGTGGTTTCTGTAGTATCGACTTGTATTATTATAGCAATGTATAAGGGGATCTGTCGCTATACATGTTGTGTGGGGTGTATTGCAGGGATCGGGGAATTGGGAAGAGGGACTTTGCAAAAAATCGCGTGATTTGAAAAATCAGTGGTCCTTTCGGACCAAATTATGCAGCGGCAGCAGTGGCTTAGGACCCTGGGGGTAGGAACTCGGTCAGAATAAAATAAAAAAAATGTTCTTGCCAGGCACTGTAATTTTTTTTTTTCATAATTCCAACATCGCACCATGATTGGTACTTATGGAAGCTTGTTGTCCCGAAGGTAGCTTATAACTACTTCAGTACAGGAAATATACTTGTATTCTTAACGACAATTTACCTAGTGCGGCTTTTCGCTTGGCCAAGGCCACTACAGCCCGCCATGTAAGTCCCCTCAAGTGCCCGCCTCCGGTAACTTTTGGATTCCGTGGTCCACTTTATTGACGCAGTATATTTTTTCTTCCAGATGTCTACTGGCTTAGTGTTTAACCGTCCAATGTCGGCTCAATTACAACGTTCCATTCGTCTCACCGGTCAACGAACTGCTGGTGCCGCCCTTATTCATCAGTTCAATGTACGACGCTACACGACGGATGAGTCGGCCAATCCACCCGCGGTGGAAGGCTCCACCAGCGCCACTCAAAATATGTTGGAACAAATTACTCAAACCACCTCGCCCGACACCCTTGTGCAGGCCGCTGCGCAAATTGGCGATTTTAAAGCTATGGGACTATGCAACTTCACTCCCGTAGGTGCATTGGAAGCCATGATGGAAGTATTGCATGTGACGAGTGGATTGCCCTGGTGGGGTTCCATTGCGGTGGCCACAGTGTTAGTACGTTTGGCGTTACTTCCACTGATGATCAAGATCCAACGTAACAATGCCAAACTGATGAATATCAATCCCGATGTGACTCGTATCATGGATAACCTGAAAAAGGCACAGCAAGAAGGCGATGCGATGGCAACGGGCAAATATACGCATGAAATCCAAGATTTGTTCAAGAAGAACAATTGTCATCCCATGAAATCGTTGGGTTTGCCTTTGGTTCAAATGCCGGTGATGATTTCCTTCTTCATGGCTTTACGAGCCATGGCTGAGTTACCTGTACCTGGTATGTCCACGGGTGGTATGGCCTGGTTCACGGACCTCACGGCTCAGGATCCCTACTACATCTTACCGGTGGCCAGTGCGGCTGGTGTCATGTTGGTTTTGGAGGCCGGTACCGAGGCTGGTGCAGCCACTCCTCAGAGCAAAGGAATGAAAAATCTTTTCAGAGGTCTCACCGTTCTCATGGTCCCTTTCACTGCATGGATGCCTAGCGTAAGTATTCACTGACCTCGTATTTGGGGTCGATTCTCCTTTCATTATCCCCAAATGCCATCGGTTGATGTTCATCATTTTTTTTTTATTATCTAGTCGGTTTTTGTTTACTGGGTGACGTCTAATGCTTTCTCCATTGGTCAAATCCTTGCCTTGAAGAATCCCACCGTTCGTAAAGCTCTCAACATCCCTCCCTTAGTAAAACCTGCCAAAGAATTGCAAAAAAACAGTAAGAGTTTCATGGAGAATTTCAGAGACCAGCAAAAGCACTATGACAAGTTGGAAAAGGATCGTGTCCTCCGTGAGCGACAGCAGGCCGCCGCCATGGCACGTAGAGCTTCCAAGCGCAGATTTTAGAGTATAAACGCAAACACAACCCTATAGAACAAAACATTTGTATATATATAACACTCTTGTTCATCATTTGAATAACAGTCCGCTGTGGTTTAGTAATGATCAACTGGGCACCGAGTCCGTTTTTTTTTCTGCTACGATATGCAGGATTTATCAGCTTCGGTTGTCTGTATGCCCCGATGACAAACACTATGATCAGCTGACCCGAAACAAGAAAGGCGAGGAGCGACATGAGGAAACGCCCGTCACGTTAGGGACGTCCTCTCCAAAAGCCGGAGACGGCTCTTCATAATAAAATTGAAGGACTTCTTCGATAAGCGGTCAGCAGCAATAGCATGATCTTTGTCACACAAGCTGCAATGAAATCACATCTGTTTTGGGACCCGAACTTGAAGTATTACTAATTTACTTCTCTTATAACCATTTGGCTAGTTACGGATATCTCGCTCTTGCTCAGGACATTCGTTTGATAGATGGAACGGGCGTTCGTTCTTCTTTTATTGCATATGCAAGAATAGGTCCCGAATTTTTATCGATGCCCAATGACCGCCATTTCATTGCACGCTACAATTGTTGCATTGAGCGCAGTTTTGAAAAAATCGAATGCTTAGCGATCCCGAAGAGTGAAATATTTGTCTTCTAACAAATCAATCCTTCGTTGAATTGACCGTAACGATGTCTCATCTTGAATATACCATGCCTACGAGCAATTATATATTTCTTTAATGCTTTGCGGAATACCTTTAACTGGGCTGGATCTCTTCCTCTCGCGGAACTTGCAAACATTGCATTTCCACGGGCTAGGACGATTCCTGTCGGTCGTCGGCTGGTGGTCGGGTTGGCACTTTTCTTTGTTTGGGTTCGGATCAGTTATACTCGACCCCTAGTGGAATACTTTTAGCGCAAATTTGCGCCTCGGCTTTGGATTTATTTCCCTGGTGGCCCATTAATTATGCAAATAATTTTTCGGTTGACGAAGCACCATATTACCTTCGCTGTCGCTAATATCTTCTTTGTTGATTTCGATGATATCGACAGTAGGAGCGCCATTGTCATTTTCCGCTAAATTACCTCATGCTAAAGGGCCTGCTACAATCACATGCATATCACCGTTGAAAAACACCTACAGTTGTCAACTGGCAAGGCCGATACATGACGCTGGGGGTGAAGTTACGAGTAGACATTCAGTTAATTGTCCTCTGTATTTGCAGATGTGTGATGCGCAGTTTACAGTGGGTTGCACCCATGGTTACAGATCAAAGTTAACGAAGCGTATTAGAAAACAATTGACTAGCACGGTGCGCTTATTAGATGGCCCATGACGGGTGCCTTGAGAAATTGCTTTTTTGACGACAATCTTGTCGTCGTAATACTGCATTTTCAATACATAAAATATTGATTTTTCAGCTTGCTCACCCGTCTAGATAATTATTGAAAACAACAATAACAAACAGTGGTTGACGTTTCTCTGAAGGAGAAGAGTATTTATTCAGAGGTTATATGTAGCATTCAACATTTTTGCTTTCCATGGTTCCTGTTTCATTTGTGGCAACACAATCCAGATGTAGACTTTCGAAAAATTGATATTGCCTACTATGGTATAGTTCATATACAATACCGTCGAAGGCGATGAATGTGTCTTCACATAAGACTATCACTATGGCGTAACTTGGGAAATGTCTAGGTAGAGTGATGGTTATGCCACCCAAGCTCTATAATTTAGATGGTTATTAGTGTTATTTTTATGTTTTCTGCGGCTTGGTAATAAATGAAATTTTGACTGACGACCACATAATTTTACCTTTTTCCGTGTTATGCTTATTTCCATCATCACAGTAAACATTTGGCTGCAGAAATTTTTTTTTTTTTTTTTTTTTTTTTTTTTTTTTTTGCAACATTCTATAAAATACAAATTTTTGACAATTGTGTCCATCTCTTTTTTCCAGTGATTTACCGATTTACATTCTTCACTCAGCAAATATGCCTACCGTTTCACTCGCGAAACAAAACTTCTCAACTGCTGCGGAGGATTTGCTGAACACGCAGATTCGAATCGAACAGATAGCACAGCATACATACCTGGCGGCAGCCGCGTACTTTGGGCAAGATACAGTGGCATTACCTGTAGGAGATTGCACTTTAATCAATGAGGAGACGACCGAATAGGTTAATAATGATGGCCAAAGGGATTGGAACACTACTTTTTAGAGACAGCCGAACATCAAGGGAGACGGGTGCAGCATTTGATTGACTACCTAACTATGAGAGGCGGAGAAACAATTATCCAACAAATACCGCAACCTCCGGTAAAGCAGTTTATATCATTGTGAAGAAACGGCATTATGGTTTTTTATTAATACGGTGATCGTTTTAGCTTGAATGGGAATCGCCACGTAATGCTCTTGGTAGGCCGGTGGATGAAACGTTGATGATTTAATATTTACTAATAAATGGATAAATATTCTGCATCCATTCAGAAACGAGCTTGATGCTAGAAAAAGATGTCAACAAATCGCTGCTGAATCTGACGACGGTGGCCATCGATCATCGAGACACAGAACTAGAGCACCACATGAAGTAAGTAAATGGTGGGAGTCAAAGGAAGATTGAAAAAAAAGGGGGAGATCCTCATTGGAAGAGAGTCGGACCTGATAAAATGTCGAACATGTGGCTAAACTTTTGTCGATGGATGTTTCAGGCAAAACCATTTGATGGATAAAGTCAAACTGATTGAGCATGTTGTGAAAGGACTTACCCAATTGGAACGCGTGAACGGAACAGGTTTAGGACTCCATTTGTGGGATCAAGAGTTGTACAGACGAGAAAAATTCCCAGTGTAGCACAAATAAAAAAAAAAAGGAATTGGCATCGTCATACCGCTCGATTTGCTTTTCTTCTTTATCTCTTTTTTTTTTTTTTTTTTTCTCTCGACTTTCCACTTTCACTACCTTTTTTTTCCTTACCATTCTATCGCAAGGCGGTTTCTACCTGTTAACATGCCCCACAATTCCAACGTCCTGACCGACGCAGCATCGACAACCATCACCGGTCTAGCTCGCGCCGCTACACGCCGTCACCGAGGCGCTTCCATGTCAGCAGCCGTCCCCCCTGCTCCTCCTTCACCTCAACATACCAATGTACCTTCACAACACCACCGACGTTCGCATGATATGACATCTACTCTTCCTCCGGCCCATGGCTCGTCCAATCAAGCAACCACTGTCAATAGCACCGCCAATCATTCATCACCTACCGAACCACAGACACTACAAATCAACAATGCCTCTACTGGTGAAGTTACGTCCAACGAAATTACTGTCGACTTTGAAGGCGGTACTCATGTGATTATCCGTCCCAACCGTATCATTCGAGGTAAGACGATCGACAGACACCAAGACTTAGGTTACCACCATCCATTGAGGAATACTTATCCACTATGATTCGTAGGTCGTGTTCTTCTGAATACCGTTGAACGATTACAAGTGACACGCATTCGAATCAAGGTAAAATTCGTGTAACAAAACGACAATTGGATGTGGCGCGATTGGGTTAAAATGACAGTTCTTGGATTAGTTCCGAGCAGAGGAAGTGGCCTGTGTGCGGGTGGACGAAGGAAACGGAGATGGTCGCGGCACTGAACGCATTCATAAAGCCATCACTACCTTTTTCGAAACAGATTGGAAACTGTGGGGTTATGAAGCTAGCCGTAAGTATTTTTCAGTCTCTCTCGGCCTATGGGTTGCTTGTCCCTTGCCAAAAAAAAAGGAAAAGGCGTATGAATTATCATGCACTTGACGTCATATTCAAACACAAAGAATTTATTTTTTTAGCCTTTTCACAGTCAGCTTGGGATGACTTGGAAGCCGGACGATATGAATTTCCATTCGCCTTGAAGGTAAAAATATTTGCATCACAACTTTTGAGTCGAATAATTATTCTCGGATGGCTTACGAATGAGGGATTATAGTTTCCTAATGTGAATTACCCACCCTCAATGGAAGAGCCTCAAGGATTCAGCATTCGATACATCTGGACGGCCCAAATTGACGGACCGGCGCTTCAATCGGGACTTAAAAGCAGGGAATATATTACACCTTATCGACCTATTATCGTCTCCACTCCAGGTAAGACTAATGAGCAAGTGCGAAAGCAGCTATCAGCCGTTAGTATCGGGCGACAGAATCAACGGTTTCTAATTATATTGTGTTTTCGTTTTTCTTTGCAGATAAGGAATGGAATTATCGAACGTCGTTAACGCGCTACAAAAAGCAATCCTTTTGCGAAGTTCAAGCCAAGCTGCAAAAGCAATCTTATTGTCCTGGTAAAAGCTATTCATCCGAGAGTGGCCTGTGTTCATAAAACTGACTCCATGATCCCCATGACGATATCACAGATGAACCTTTCTCAATGGATCTGAAGCTTACCATGTTAAATTCCGACAACAGAATTACAGCCGTGACTTACCGTTTCCGCAAACATCACGAAGGCAAGATGCTCGTGAATACCGGCACCGCTTTCTGTGAGCACGTTCGCACAGTATTGCAAGGAATGGTGCCCGTCCAAGACGGTAGCCAAGTCAACGAAACGGTTCAATTCAATGTCCCCACTCGCCTCGTATCGCCCAGTTTTGCGTCGCGACATACACGTGTGCACTACGATCTCCAGTTCTTTGTCGCAGTAGAAATTGGCGGTCTTTTCAAATCCACCCATACGTCCGAGTTCTTTGTTCCTCTCACCATTGCCAACCTTCCGCACAACCAGTTGTTACGTATCCCTAATCTCACCACGATCCAATGCTATCAGAATAATAAGGAATGCCCGCTGTTCTTTGATCCCTCGCTCGATGAACCTCCGGCTCAACAAGGTTTGCCCAGCGAACTCATCGGTCCATTGACGGCTGCTTTGATGAGTACGCCAGGTGAAGACCCACCGAATTACTTTAGTCTGCCTCAACTACCTCCGCAGTTTGAAATCCGTAAAGAACGCAAAGAGCGTACGGTGTATCTCAGCCGATCTGCGAAAGGTGGCCCCATCAATGAAGCCGGCGACGCTGTTATTGTTCCGAGCCTCTTTGACGAAGAATGGTAATAGGAGGGTAACCAAGAACATTGTTTGTACATATTGAATATTTTTTAGATCATAAATAATTTTCTCCTCACAGCTTCGTTTTACTGCAAATGATAATGCGGATAATGAAGTTGAATGCTCCTGGCATAAAATATTGGGCGTGTCGTATCACTGCTCAGTTTGGACACATTTTTATACACCATAGAACAAAGGACAGTGGCTACAGTTCTCCTGCTGGCGGCTGGTCTTGGTGTTGTTGTTGTTGTTGTTGTTGTTGCTGCTGCTGTTGAGAATTTCGCTTTTGTGAAAAGTCAAACACTTCAGTTACGGCTTCCTTGAAACATTGGAAGTTGTAATCGATCAAGCCATGTTTCTCGAAATTATCCTGCCGTAATAAGCAGATGAGCACTAAAAGCCTTGTAAAAAAATGAACAGTCAATACCGTATATCGCAAGGAAATTTATAAATCACTTACCGGTTGACTTCGCGCATGTAAAGTACATCACCGTTATCCAGTTTAATTAAACTCGAAGCTTCTGATTCACAGTTGGCGGTAATCGAGGATTGATCATTCTGCTCCGCCAATAGCCCGTGCTCTAAGCCGTCAGTTTCTTCACCATAGGGATTTTTGGTATTGGAAGTATAGAGTGGTGGAGTTTCACTTCGTAGCGATTCCGGTGATTGAGTGACTTGGGTGCTTTCGTTTCCTTCATCCAGTAATCGATCCTCATTCAGGGTCGATCCTTGCATACTATAAAATAGCCGCTCCAGTGTTATACAACTTGGTACACGCCGCCATGCGACAATCGCCCCTTACCCATATATGCATTCGATGTCTATAATCACATCGATCATGTCACTACATAATTCGTACGATTGCATATCCACCGGAGAACTGTCGGTGGCAATATAGATCTTGGTTAGGGTATCGAACAAGTACGCTTTATCGATGCCGGAGTTCTGAGTGGGTAACAACAGTTTTCGGTCAGAGAAATGATCCACGCACACATATGTCGCGAATTTTTCAAGCAGGATCTTACAGAGCAAAATACATTGAGAAGGTTCTCCAGGGTTGGCAATTCTCTTATTAGTTTCTGGATGATCTTGCTGAATGCTTCATAAATGGAATGGTCATATATACTGGTTAGGTAGTAAGTTAAATGGATATGCTCCATTTGGGCATCAGCTAAAGCGTCACTCATGCGTTGTTGTACGTCGCGTTGCGTGTCTATTCCAGCCACGTTAGTTACCGATGTATCGTTACCGTCGATGTCGGGGGTTCTTGATGGAGGGATCTGTTGTCAACTGCTTACCGATTTTGTAATCATCCGACAATCCATCTACTTTATGAATCAGGACTTCAAATGTGATATTTGGGTTGACCCGATACGCGCTCGTTACGGTAAAGTATAATCGATGCAATGCTTCACTGTAATCATCCTAGCTCACGTATGAGATCCCACGTTGCTGGTCACCAGTTCTTTTTTGTTGCGTTGGAACGCAGTACTTTACCTGAGCATCAATGACGAAAATCAAGGCTCCCACGGTCCCAAAAATTTCCTGTGAATCGTACGCCATATCGAAAAAGTTGACTTGGCCAGGGAAGTCCCAAATTTGAAAATCGATAAAAGAGCGTCTAATAGCATCTATGTCTGTTAAATGCTTTCTGCTGCGGGCCGTCCAGAACACATGTAAGCAACACTTGCGTTATATCCTCTTTCTGAATTTTGGTCGTGCTTTCCAGGTATAATGTATCGTTGGGCGGCATTTTCCCAAACACCACGCGCTGAATGCTGGACTTGCCGCTTCTATCAAACGAAAGAATAAAGAATGAGGAAGGCCAAGTACTTTTTGACATAAAGCGAGTATATGCAAAAGGTTCAAACGCTGAAGACGCACCTTTGCAAGCCCATAAGGAGAATACGGGGTTTATCCGATGGCGTTTGATCGTCAACGACATCACTTGCGGTAAGAGAAAATGAGTTAGTTTCATTAATCTCGCGACGAATCAATACCGTCTGACTTTGCTTACATGATATCAGAATCGTTCATTGGCTGATAGTCATACTAATACATTCTCAATGAGTAACTGTCAATTGCAACTCGACATTGGGTAGCCGACATTGTTCACTCACATCCATGGCAGAGGTTATCAATATAGAAAGGGCAAAGCAAAGAGCAAGTTACAGGTGTTGCAGTCGTGACACCATCCAGTCATTTTCCATTTTTTTCAATGTCCATCTTTCGCACTCCGACAATGGTCTCTCCAAACAGCCGATCCTTTGCTTTTAAAATAAGGCAAAAAGCAAATTCAGGATTTTTCTTTTCATCTTACAGGCAAGCCTTATTCTAAAGAACCATAAGTTCAACAGAGTTTATATTAGACACGGTTGTAGTCCTGTATTGAGTAGTCATTTGCGCATCAACTTTTAGCAAAAGAGCGCCCTTAATTGATAAAATAAGCAATGTCACATCGCCTCTTTGGTTTTTATAATCGAAAAATAGCAATGTTGTGGGTTTTTTATTGCCTGTTTGAGGTCATTGCCACACACTGTAACAAATGGTCTGTAACATTGCCTTTTTTGGGGCCATTGCCACATACTGTTTCATAAAAGGAATCTATCCAAAAAGGGACGTTGCCCACACACTGTCCGACAGTATATAAAAGAGAAAGATTGTTTTGATTTTTAACTTGTTTGCATCCTGTCACAACTAAAAAAAATTTCTACAATATGCCTTGCCGTTGTGGAAGTACGGATCATCGAAGAATTACGAGCTCGCTGTGTCCGCTGAACTCCAGAAATACAATTATTGAGCGGTTTATCCAAGCACAGCCATTTATTCATTTCTCTCCACAATGTATACACATTTCTCTTAAAGTGATTTTTCAGAAAAGGCATTTTTTTAAATATTTCTGGAATCCGGATAGACCTTACCAGACGCTGTCAATGTGGATGTACTGATCAAATAATGACGAGTTCACGTTGTCCGTTGAATCGCACGAATACAACTGCTGAGCTTATTCAAGTCGCCCAACAAGGTATTTTGCATATTTTCTTGGCAGTAGTTGCTCAAAATTATGCCGCATTGTATACATTTGTCTTGGATATTCCAATATCTGAGATCCCGATAACTCTGCCAATGTGGCGGTCCAGACCATCAAAACGTGTCAAGCTCGTTCTGTCCCTTAAATCCTAGAAACATGACAGCCGACGTTGAGGATGTCGCTCCACCTGCGCCAATGCCTTCAACTATGGAAGGTATGTATTTTCTTCAAAGCTCCTCTGACATTGCACGCATTAAGTTTATGTTTTCCCATTATGTTGCTTCCACTTAAGCCAGCCGACGCTGAGGATACCGTCCCACTTGCTCCCGTATCTTCAACTACAGAAGGCATGTATTCTATTCAAAGCTACTCTTAACATGACATGCATTAAGAGCTTATATTTTCCATTTACGTTATTTTGTCAGTAAGATCATCCCACAATACCGCCCGCATCTTCTTTGAAGAATTTCAAGGAGGCGCCTCGATTCGTCAACATTGATGGAGTAATGTACAATGGCTGCATGGCCTTGGTCTGTGTTCCTGTGGAGCCAAAGGCTGGGAAACCGAAAAGTAGCTGGAACCCGTCAAGAACCTCGGTTTGTCATTTGCTGCAACCAGGGAAAAGCTCCAGTTGCCCGTCCTTCAGTCACCTCCTGAAGCGCTGCGACAATTGCTCACTGGCCAAGACGCAATCTCCAAGGAGTTCATCCCTTATATTCGAAAGTACAATGCCCTTTTTGCATTTACTTCGATTGGTGTCGAGGTATGTACATCATGACAGTTGTCGTGTTGAGCCAACGCCCAAACAAAACCAGAGAAATGTTGCTTACTAAATCGAATTTGATATACTGTAGATTGATGAGGAATTGGCCAATGCAAGATCTGGCACTTATACTTTCCGTATGCATGGCACTATCCATTACAGGATTACCCCAATATGCATCCTCACCAAGCTTTCAGCCTTCATTCTCGCAATTATACATTTATGGTCCTGATATTCAGCAGCAACATCGGTCATCTATGTTTGAAGATCTTCATCCCCAAATACTACAAACTTTGCAGACGATGATGGCTCGGGTAATCCATATACCCGCATATACCAATCTGCTGGAGAACACATGCGAGGTGATGATACCGCAACGGAATATGGAATTGTTCTTCGCAACATGCATAATACCCATCATATACTACCCGAGGATCATCGCGGACAGTATCTGCAGCCGCCAGCCGCTGATATAGCTGCTATAATACTAATACCAGACAGATCAAGAACAGCAAGGTGCCAGTGTTGGCTACTGCCGCGATGTCAGAATAAAGCTGCAGGGTGGTGGCGGTTTACTACGTATTGACGAACGCCATCCTCTATGACCCATTATTTAAACTCATAAAATATTTGTAGGTCTGATAAGATAATGACTTAATTCGTTTTACAAAACCGAATACTCATCAAGATAACGCTGTTTATAACTGCTCGAGGTTATCCTTTTGCTCTTTTGGTTTTCATTGTTTTAAGGTAAAGTTGATTTAAGAATTGGCTGAATTGGTCCTCATTCTAATATATATCATAGCCACTGACGCAAAAGGATAACCGAAAACAGCGTAAACAAAATTCCTAAATCTAGTTTGCAATTAACCGTATTGGCCAACGCTGTATAAGCTGTACTCATTGTCTGTCTTTATCCTTTAACAAGCGCCGTTGGTAAGCAGTGACTGAGCAGATAATTTAGAGCATTACTGCTTGCGAATGTGCTGTACTTGTAATCACTTTTTGTCATAACCCTGAAACTCGCAGACATAATGTAAAGAAATCATCCTTCAAGACCGTCTGAATGAGCTGTTATCAAGACTCTTGTTAGTGTCTTGTTATTTTATTTTTCAATCGTATTTCAAAAACCGTTCAAAAGAGTCCCGGGTACATTCACCGCCTTTTCTTGGATCAAAATAGAATTTGTAACAACTGCCATCAGCACAAATCGCTAAGCAAAAAGTGGCATGTTAGATAACATCACAAAGAGAGAACAAGACCGAGTAGATGCTTGCCTAATATGGTATATTTCTGATCAGCAAAAGCTACAATGCATCGACTTTCCGTGACAATTTTGGCGTGGGCAAAGCTCCACTCACTGCTAAAATACTTTGGTAACAACTCTTTCATGAAACTGAGACTGCTTCCCCGATTACCGCTGTGCGTCAAACCAAAGTTGCTCGGTGACTGATGAGGATAAACGACCACTTCACCATAGGTAGGACCACGGGGTTTGTGGTCGCACATGGTCACTACGGATGGGTCCAAATTGAATAGGTGGATGGTGCCTTTGTCAGAGGAGACGACAAGCCGTGTCGAGTCTTGATTAAACGCGATGGAGTAAATTTCAGCGCGATCCATTCCTCTCCGCAGTTCATTGAGCAGGGTGCCGGTATATGTGTTAAACACCCGTATCAATGTGCCTTTATCGCTGGCCGTCGCGCATTTGGTGCCGTCGTAGTTCAGTGCTAAACAGCTCAGTTTCCCGGAATGCGCAGCAATGATACTCACGTTGGCCATATTGGTAGGACGACGATCGGATGAAGAAGAGGATGAGGATGGCAATGGCATTGGAGCTGCGGAAGAAGGGTGCTGATGGTGTGAAGGGTGACCAATATCGTTATCATCGGATAAAAAAGTTTGCGGTGCGGTGTTCCATTGATATCCGAGGGTATCCAAATCGATGATCTGTATGTGGCCTCTCTGTCGTCCGGGAATAATCAAAATAGCATGATCGGGAGAAGCCGATATTGCTGCCAGACCTGCTCGTCACCTAACATTAGTGATCATCTTTTTTTTTGTACGCGGTGTGCTTTTATCAGCTGATTTACCTTTGTCGTTATCGGTTGTCTCAAACGTCTGGATGAGCTGTGGATGAAGTCCAAAAATGTAGATGAAGACTTTATTTGCCAAAACCACCGTCAATCTAGGAGATTATGATGTATCAATCTCGGTATCTGCAAAAGAGAAGAAAGGAGCCTACCTGTCCCGGCGTAACTTTACATTCTTGACTTCGTTTTTGTATTCTAATTCGAGGACAGGTTTGGCCTTGATGCTGTCGTATATAATCACTTTATTGGGTGGATACCGAGGGTTTCTTCCACCACCAACAAGAGCCAGATAATTCGTACGATAGAGCATTTCAACGAGAGCAATACCTCCTTCGTCGGTTTCTGACAAATAAGTTGAAGAAGAAAACACTGGTTAATTCATAGGTGACAATGGGGAAACAAGTCAAAGAAAGCTTGAGGCTATACCATTGCGAGCTTGCTCAATGAGCGGATCGCAATTATAAACTCGGAAGCCACTATCTAAACCGATAGAAAAGCACCCATAGTCCTGGTTAAAGCCAGCATATAAGAGACCAGGAAAATCTTCGGTGCTAGAAGGTGTGCGTGCAAGATTCATTGAATAACAGCTCGCCTATTATGCGAGAAGAGCAGGTGGGAAGGAACCACTTGGCTGAGTTTCATTTTCCAATGCAAAAAATTTGAAAAAGCGACAACAGAAAAAAAAGAAAAGAAAATCCGCAAAGGGAGAAATCATCATTGCCTTTTATAGGTTTTGCAAATCATATTCAAAAGCTACATCCCAACGCGAACCCGGAGCTCTGCCGCTCACGTATTTTATGAAGCGCATCACGCCTTCATCGCGAAGGACAAGTGCCAATTCATTGTTTCCGGCCGGCATGGTGAGTAAAGCGCCTTCTTCATCCGCCGCTTTGTAAGTGGCGGCATCGTCATCACCTTCGTGCGGAGCCATATAACACTCATAGCCACCACATTCGCCGCTGTCCCACAAGCCAAGACTGTCAGCATTGCTGATAGTGGCATGGCAGAAAGTCACATCAAGCACTGCTTTTCCGAGCGTATTGGCTTTGGCCAGTGTATAGTCCAAACCCGGGCGGAACCGACGAGCTGCTCCTCGATAACCGCCAGGTATGAGCTGAGAAACGACGGCCAACCAGCGTCGAAAAGGTTCGGATTCAAAGTGGCGTTTCAAGTCAGTAAACAATTGACTTGATGCATCATGGACGCGCTCGCAGTCTATATCTACAGCAAGGAATCGTTGGCACACCGGTGAACCCCGGGCAACCCACTTGCCATGGAGACCTGCACCATGGGAGGGAAGCGCGGGTTTGGTTAATCCATCCTCTTGATCGGCTTGGAGAGTAACTTTCTTCATCTTTTCATAGAGATCATCAAGTAAAAAGTCCTTTAGTTGAATGGCCGATTCGTCCAAAAAGCGATCCGATATCTGCTGCAGACTGGTGGCGTTCAAATACGTGGGATTCATCCATGCCGCCAATGCTTCACGATCCTGTTCTGTGAGAGAAACGTCCTCTTCTTCCGACATGGGTAAAACATAACTGTTGAAATTATCACTTGTATCCATTTGCTACGTGACCGATGGCTGGTTAGAAAATAATGTACCCGAGAGTTTTGTTTACAATGAAAAAATACCTCTTCTAGTTGCTTCAATGATGATTTTCCATCGGTGTTGCCAAGCTTCTCATCGTAACCAGGGTCGCCGGGTTGCGGGAAATGGAACCATCCTTGGATACTGAGTCGAGGCTTTCCTTCAACGACCACTTCTTCGACGGCGTGGAATGAATAACCTGGAAGAACGGTGAACATGGCAAACTGATTCCATTTCGGGGGCACGCTGACGGAGGGTTCAATGGCAGGTGTATCACGTTCCACTACGGGATACAGTTCCAATGCACCACCGTAGGAAGGATACCAAGGTTCATCGGGATCTGGCATATACAAAATAAAGGAGACTCGTCGAGTACCAATGACATCGTCGTGGTTAAGTAAATGGCAACCCTCGGTGTAAGTGTTGACACTCATATCCATCTTTGACGGCGACAACGGGCCACATCCGGTAATGTCAGAGATAAATTCACGGAATTCGTTTGAATAAATAGCATTGCGCAATTCAAATAAGGATGACAATCGCTGTTTTTCATCTTCAGGTAAACCATCAATATTGGCCAAATCACCACTTTGGTTCACCTGTTTTACACAAGATTAATTAGCAAAACGGAGGACGATGTAGTCTGACGCAAAACGAATGATACCTTGTAGATATCGGTTTCCTTGGCAGTAAATGAAATATTATCAAAGATCTCCTTGCGTACTCGCCGTAACAGGTCATCATCGACGAGCTTATCAATTTTACAATGTTGATAGGGTTTCGACGAAGCAATCGTGGTTCTGAGCGCATCCCGCGAAGCTTGGTCGAATAGGCCAGCATGGAACTTGCCGATCTGACTTTCGCCCTCAGCGGATTTTATGCGTTTGGCGGAAGATTGAAGTTCCTCGGTAGATGGACGAGTCGTAGCAACAACCATGATTAAATAAGAGATTCACACAAAAGCGATCAAGTAAAATAAAGAAAGAAGTTGTGTGAAGTCCCAACAAATGAAAAAATAATAATTTGACAGTTAAAAAAAAAAGTTAAAAAAATTATACAATCATACGATTTCTCAAACAGCACCCATTGGCGGAATGGGCGGACTTTTCGATAATTTCGACTTTCTCTTTTTCCATTTTTGCAAAAAGGGACCATCAAGAGCTATTCAGCAAGAAGTACAGCCACAGCATAAATGCAAAGCTGTATATACTACTGTATGCTGGCAATAGACTCCATGTATTGACAATAACCATACACACACACAGTGATATGGAGGGCTGTAAATACACTTGTGCCACCATGCGTTTTCCAGTGCATGTGTACGTTATCTGATCTTTTTTTCTTATGAAACAAAGGAAAAACTACGGAAGTTGTGATTGTCGCCAATCATCAGCAAATGAAACGATTTTTTGCAGAATTAAAAATGCCAATGGGCTTATTGGATCCTGTGGTTTTTCAATTTCCCATGTAAATGGACCCATTCATCGACTTTAAAGTCGTCGCCAGAAAAGCAAGAGAGGGCAAAAATAAAAAAAAGGCACAGGATATTAACGAACCACATTAATATATCGCTGGAAACGATATGTTTCTACTAGGCAGCGCCACTTTTTTAGTCAGGTTAACCGATCATTGACGGTGGGTGCGAGTATACAAGCTTGTCATGTTTTGTGCTCATTATTATTGAATACATGTCTAAAACACGGCCTGCTGTGATTCCATTAGCTATCCTGATGCTTTACGGTGATTTTCCAAACATATCACCAGTCTTGATGGGACAACAGCTGATTCAAGAGTATCGATGTGCTGAGTTTATCACAATTTCCTCTTTTGAGGGGATGCGATTTTTCGATCTGGACAGACGCGACATTTGTAAACGAAATATCAGACCTGTCTTTGGAGCTTCCTTTTTTGTCGGGTGCGCCAAAAGTCTGTTTCTTCCCTCCATGGCTGCTTCCGACAATGTGTCAACAAGCTTGAAAGCTCTAGTGAAAGCTCAAGAGACACGTATCGCACTGTACCGCGAGTTTGCCGAGTTAAGCATTTGTACTGTTGCCCCGCCCTCAAAAATGATACTAATGAGCGAACAGTGCGTACCACGATTACCTTGCTGATAAATGTTCACCAGAGGAGTACTATTCCATTTGTAACATCGTCACGGAAGGATTTCAACAAGTCTCTTCAGAAATACAAAATATCGAGCTTCGTATGAATGAAGAATTCGCACGTCCAGATATTGGCCAACTGATCCGACGATTGCAAGAAAAAGAAAAGGAGAAATTACACAACGTAAGTGCGCTGGCAAACTTTGTCACAGGACCTTACAACTAGAAACTCTCCGATAGACGGTCAATCTCCAAATCTTAACCATTGAATCGCGTAAGAGCGACAAGGATTACGTATCCAGCATTGAAGACCGGCAACAGAGGTGAACTTTCTGGCTTTCCTTCGCTTCCTGTCCATTCTTTTCATTGCAGCGGCTCACATTCATTCATTCACGCTAGATTAAATCAAGTACTGCAAGATTTGCAAGAGATTTGGGACGAAATAAGGGAGGAAATTGCTGAGGCATCCATTGGATCGACATAAAAAGAAGGCTTTTATAGCTTTGGTGTTCGGCTTTTTGGTTTCTTTTTTTTGTTTCTTTCATAAACTGTACATTACGTTGATGCGTGTCTATATAGCGATTTTACATAGCTGAGCTTCTGAGATCCTCGAGACGCTTGACGATGAACAAGCTGGTATCCAAAAAGCGCTCCACACAGTTGGAGAGACATGCTTCTTCGCTGCGGTCCAACTTGTTGTTCACCTTGAAAATGCACTTATCCTATAGACGAGATAAACACCTCAGCTTTTTGAATATTAATACTCGCTTTTTTTTTTTCATCCTACCCAGCAGGTGTCAGTCAAAGAGTGAACAGTCTGTTGAATGCGAGCCTTGGCGTTCTCGGCTTCAAGGAACTAATACACCCGTCAATACCGACATTTCAAAGGGAATGAAACAAGTTCCGCTTTCACAGCCTCAATTGTGTACCTGGGCGAGTTCACGTTGTTCGTTTTCGCTGAACTGAGGTTGCGACATTATCACTGATGGGTCTTTACGAAAAATAAATAAAAACAACTGGTGTTTTTTCCTGAGTTGAACAACCCCCATGAACGGTGGCTTGCAGAAAAGACAAGTCACGCTTTGGCCCGCCAAATGGATTTTTCGTATCCAGACAATGCAGCAATTGATCTTTCACAGGTGAGAACCATACTCTGAGAAACATGGTATTCTACATATTTTATTCGATACAAACATCAGTAAACATTAATTACTGTAGATTCGTAGACTAGACAGTTTTTATTACTCCTTCTTGATCATCTTCCGAAATATCAATAGTGAGCGACTCGGGATAAAGAAATCTTGAAATAGATGAAATGGGTTTCGTAACGATCGCCTGAGCGTAAAAGGACCTTGTCGACTAACGATATCTTCGAACATGTACGCACTCTTTTCTTCAGTTCAAACTTGCAAAGTATGCAAGATGTCCTGATTGACATACAAGTCAGCGGTTTTGTCCTAATTAGTATCTGTGTAACACAAGCTATTACTTTAGCCATGAATTTGGTTTGTCATCCAGTTTCGCTTTTTTCTTTCCCGCTTTAACTTCTTATATATACCATGCAAATCGCTTCACACGTTGTCCACAAATATCCCGCACTCAAAGAACATTGCGATATCTATAGTAATCGAAAGGCCAAGCACGTCTTTTGGGAAGATCAGGTTGCTCATAGCCTGAGTATCGTTGACGCTGCGCCGAATAAATTGATTTGGGAATTCACAGTGGAAGAAATTCACTGCAACCAGTAAGTGAACAATCATTCATTGGGACAGTGTATGCGTTGACTGATGTCGTTGCAGACTTGGAAACCTGCATGGTGGCTGCGTAGCAACGATTATCGATATCTGTAGCAGTTTTGCCATCCTGGTGCATGAAGGTAAAAGAAGTTCAAAGAAAAAGGTAGCGGCCGCTCTTTGGGAGGTTGAACTGACGATTTCTGTAGGAAAGGCGAAATGGTCGTTGATTGGTGTGTCAACCGACTTGTCAGTGTCCTACATGCGTGGCGTTCCTGAAGGTGTGACCATCCGCCTTGAATGTGAGGTTCAGCGTGTAGGCAAAACTTTGGCAAATATTTACACCAAAGTTTACGATGACCACGGCAACATATGCTATTCTGGATCACACAGCAAATACTGTATCGACAGCCGGTTATAATATTTTGTAACAGAGGCTTTGCCAATTACGAGATTTGACTTGGTGCTATCCCATATTTTGAAACTGATCAGATGTTCATACCGGTATATTGTCGCTTTCTACGAATAGTGGATCACCTATATGCTGGCGAGATTCGATATCTTTTTCTCTTTAGAAGAAAACCTTATTAACAAATAAACCACATTCACACTACCCAGAACACGATCAGCTCTATCTACAGTGCAATATGATACGGTTATTTTAAGTATAATGAAGCCCCTCGCTTGATGAAAGCACCCAAAGGATCAGATGCTCATTAAACTATTGATAAACTTTATACGACAACTCCGTCATGGATGGCGAGTTGATATTTTTATGAAGATCAGATTTCTTCAAATGATTACGTAACCGGTACAGAACAGAGCATAGTTATATTTTTTTTTTATTTTTTATTTTTTAGATAGGGAACTATCCATGAACCTGTGAGCTGACAATCAAGAAATGCATGCGCGCACTCTGCAGGCTTCTGTTGCCTGAGAGTGAATTCTTTGAGAATTGAGACAACGTTCCTTAATGGAAAAATGATTGTAGAATCCTGCAGCCTAGAAATAAAATGTACTATGCGCTCTCTCGAAAGGAATCACCATTGCGTCTTGCGATTATAGCTGTATGAAATTTCTGACCGCAACCCCAACTGTCTCGCCATTCTGCAAATATCATTGGCGCCTCCACCGACTCTGAGCGGGGTTTGAAATTTAACCAATAGCAGTCAAGTATCCTTCGAGATTTTCTCTTTTTTTTTTTTGTTTTCGACTGGGCAATTCACAAAGTCAACCCTTCATCGTGTACACTATTCGTTACTATGGCCTCATTTTACGACGAAGTAAGTTTTTTTTTGTCGATAAGTGGAGCTCGAGGTTATACGACATCATGTTTATTAATTGAAACTTCACCTTGACAGGTTGAAATCGAGGATATGGAGTTCGACGAAGACGAACAAATGTACACTTACCCTTGTCCATGTGGTGACAAATTCCAGATCTACGTTGTAAGTACAAGTCCTGCTTGTAACATTTCGAAATTGTCTTGTTCATACAAATGGATTTTGTCATGTTTATAGGATGAATTGAGAGATGGCGAAGACGTTGCTCGCTGTCCCTCCTGCTCACTGATTATTCGAGTAATATACGATCCTGACGAATTCGCAGATGACGACGACGACACATCTTTCCAAGTCGGAGCAGGGACCACCTCCATTGTCGCATAAGTTGTCTTCTGGAAGCACTTATCCTCATCATCAAATAATTTCATCTACCTTGTATATTGTCTTTTTTTCTTTTCTTTTCTCGCATGCAAATAACACCATTCAACTCTGTCTCTCTCTTTTTATTTACAAAGGTTGAATTTTTCTTCCTCTTTGATCAACCGCTCGTATTCCTCGGATTGCTGTGCTGCGCGTTTCTTGAGAGAAGCAAAGTCACGTTCCTTTTGTCTCAATTCCTTGGCTTCCTCTGTCAATTTAGCTAGCTGATCCTTGTAGCTTTTCTCGGATTGAATGATGCGATTTTGATCTTCCGAAGTTAAAGCAGCCTATGGTTGAAAACAAAACCGGGGTTTAAGTTCCAGACTCGGATCACCAAGTTCTCCCAAACCAACTTGGATCCAGCAGGTTACCTCTTTTTTGATAGCATCCAATTCTTCCTCACGCTTCAACATCTGCGTTACCAACGTGCAAGTTCTCTCAAGGATTCTGCCATTGTTCATGTAAGATATTATAAATCACCCATGGTTTTCCAATGTCGCACACAACTTACAGGGACAGGAATAAGGTGAAACCGGTCAGGTATAAGTTTCTCTGCGCATAGAATTTCTTGGCCTTGAAGCTCGCTTCATAACCATAATCATGGAAATTAGCTGGATCTTCTTCTTTTTCGGCCTCGATGCGTTGCAATCGGTTGATGGTATCTAGAAAATTGTGAGCTTCTTGAATGAATGGCCAACCGTTTCTTGGCGCCAAGCTTTACCAGCAAATAAAACAAAGATAAAACTATGCAACAGTGTGATTATCACAGTTCCTTAATATCCATTTCCCATTCTACTAACCCAAAGACGATCTTCAAACCGTAAAATGCTTTCGCCATCTAACAGAAATAACGTCAACCTCTAGAGTCGACCTTCTTCTTTCGCTACCGCATCAAAGTACTTACCACGGGCGAAGTAGTGACAAATCTCATCAGGGCACTGCGCCAGCGGAATGGCAGTGGCAACTGTAACTCGCTCAGTAATCATAACTAAGCAGCCTCATCCCATGGTAACGATTGACTTACCACCAAAAGGCAGAAGCTGAACATCTGCAAAAGGGGACCATTAGGCATTAGCTCAGACAGAGAAACCGCCCAATAACAGTTCTACTCACCTCCAGCAGCAAGATAAAAAAGGTCAAGGTATAATAAATTGTCATTGGAAAAGGTTAAGCTCAAAGGAGCAAGAGAAAGAGATTCAAAGAGATGACAAGTTTCAACCGCAAAAAAGCAAACGCAGAAAAAAAAAACGTGTCAAAAAACCGCACCTTGTCATGGTCTGGGTTTTTTAAGAACAGCTCGAAATCACCAATTTGCACATGATTGATCTTTTTACCATTTCTAGGCACAAAAATGTATAATGCATCTTTTTATTCTACATATCATCATCACTGGCAGCAACTGCATCGCCTTCATCTTCATCACCACCGACAAGTTCGTTTTCTTTCGTAGCTTGAGCCATCAAAGCAGCAAATTCACGATCATCAGAATCAGATACCAATTTGGCTTCCTTTTCGACCTTGAATCGAGCCCACTTGTGGCTTTCCAAAGTTTCCTTTATCGCATTCAGTGCCTTTTCCATGACCGAGAATCCCAATTGCTTATCCAATGCGTCCACTGTAACAACATAGAAAGGTGCTGCCAAGTAGGTAATCTTGATAGGCACGTTCTCGATTGATTCTTTTTCGCCTGCTTGCAAAGCTGCTTTAATAGCGTTCACACCATCGATACCTGTGCATCTCAAATCCAATTCTAAAAGAAAAAGCCACGTTTCAATTTAAGTTATCCGCATCCCCCAGACTCCCACCAGCAGCTTTGTATACTTACGGGCACGAATCTTGACGGGCTGAGGAGTCATTCTTCGCTTGATATTTGAAACTAATTCATTGAGAACACTTTCTTCAATGTTAAGGCCTTCGAACACAGGGGTAGGATCACTAGACATTACAGGATATGCGGTGAGTTAATTATTCTTTTGAACCCAGAGGTACTTGTGTGCGCAGCATACTATTGGGCAACTCTTCACTTACGTAATGGCAACCTTGAAAGCGTCAAAGGCGTGGCCAAACTTTCGGTATAATGGCCAGCCGATGGTTTCATATAAATCCTTCAGTGCCATATCATGTTTCTCAGCAACATGACGCAAAATGGAATGAACAGCTTTTGATTTGTTGAACTTTTCTTCGCACTTTGCAATGTCTTCAGGTGTGACACGACGCTTGGACAAATCAATGTAACCTATTTGACATTTTGGATAAGCATGAGTTTTGAGAGAAAAGTGACATTAGCTGCCTAACGGATCGCGTAGGCTAACCTTTTTCTTCGTCGACTCTGAGTACGACCACCACTTCGTTTCTGCCGACTCGAATTAATTTCTGAACGGAACGAATACGTCTTCTGGAGAGTTCGGACAACAAGATCATGCCTTCTCGGTCACCGTATTCCAGCTGCAACGGTCATTTTGCATCAGTCTAGGTCACAGTAGAAATAAAATCAAAGAGTCAAGACTTACGAGTTTGACATAAGCGCCCATATCAGCGATTTGTCGGACGTTCACCATGACGACATCGTCGACCTTGGGGAACTCGTCCTCGTACATGCGACAGTGGAATTTATCACTCATGATGGATGTTCAAATGTATAAGTCACCAAGAGGGCACTCCTAAAAAAGAGCCCAAAAGAGCCAGCTTCTAAAAATTTTTTTAAACGACGGTCTGACAAATTTGATTGGCCCTCCCAGAGAATGACGTGTTTTCCCTCAAGTCGAGTTTCTGTCCTAAAATGGGCTCCACAAAGCTCCAAGCTCCAGGCACAATTTGTTGAAATTCTATTCACTTTTATCGAGCAAAGAAGGAATAAACCTCTTTTTGCCGTGGTAACAATTAACATGGACTCTCAAATTACGGACATCTGGGATCTATGTATTATACTGCACAATGGTTTATATAGTCACCACAGCATCGTGGTTGAAATCGACATAGCGTCTGGTCTGTGAATTGACACCGCGTGCTCACAGTCAAAGTGGAGGATTAAATTTTTGTTATACGGTAGTGGTTTGACTTGAGCACTAGAAGCTTGGTCTATTTAGTTGATTCGTCCGTTTCTGATACGATGAACATTGGTTGGAGGCACTATTTCACTATGCATGTTTTTCGCACAAAAGTTTTTTTTTTTTTTTTTTTACATTATGCATAGCATGCGAACTGTAATATTTTCAATCAAGCGTAACTGCCCCCAATGAGCAAATACAGGTCATTGTGATGATAATGACATTAGTATAATCATATGGTGCTGTATCTTGCTTTTTTTTTCATCGCGCTATAAAAATTGCCTTCTTTTTTTTGGTGGGGGAGGGCCCGGGGCGTAAAATGTTTGCGAAGTTATGCGCGCTAATTTTCAGTCACAAATCAGTCATATTCGGTTTCAGCTAAATTGGCGGTTTTGATTGGAAAGTTTTTGAAAAACAAACATTTCTGATTGGGTAAAACGAACCGAATCACATGATTTACTGCAATGGTTGAGTTGGACCTTTCCATTTTTTGAATGGGCATACCGTGATTCATCGATTTGATTAACAATTTAACAAAACGCATTACTCGGCTAGATTGATCTGTTCTTAACTCTTTTATTTGATCATTCTTTCAGTTCTTTCATAAAAATACCTTATGTCATTCTTAACGTTTTTTGCGCTTCTTGCAGTCTGCCAGGACACGCTCGCTCGACCTCTAAAAACTGTCCCAACAATCCCAGACGCGCCCAACAACCCAGTGTTGCTACGGTCCAAGGATCGGTAGAACTTTGTTGCTCTACGTGTCAGCAATTGGGGCATCAGCGAAGTAGTCATTCAGCTTGCCCATTGAATCCGAGGACACTACCTGTAAGGGAAGCAAACGACAATGATACTGCGGAACGCATTCGTAGAATATCTGCATCTGCTGATTATGCCGACTCCCCAGTAGACATACCTTGGGACGCATGAATGTCGTGTGCACTTTCTGTCAGGCACACATGTGGCTCAAACAGCGCATGTCCGGGTCCATCTCCAATCCGCAGTTCCAGTTCTGCTGTGCCCAAGGTTCCGTTGTGTTTCCACCTTCGGAGCCGACACCACCAACGATCGCGCGTCTCCTTCATAGCGACAACGAAGAAGGAAGAGATTTCCGTGAGCAGATCCGCGCCTATAATACGAATTGAACTTTACTTCGGTAGGCTCTCAAATAGATGAATCCGTGGCCAACAATCGCAGTGGAGCTTACTGCTATCGCATCCAAGGAGGCATTTACCACCAGATCGGTGGTGGTCAAGAAGTTGATTACGGAATCAAGCATTGATGGAACTGGCACAAAATCGCGTATTGAGAAGCACACACCGCGAACTATCTCCTGGACGGACGAGGAATACCTAGTCATTACATTGATTTCAGACCAACTTGCACCTTATTATCCCAAGAGCGGAAAGCTGCAAAAGCACCCTACCCTCCTCTTACCCTTTATCAGACTTTCTAATGTGATCCTTCGTCTGGCGGGATACAGCAAATTCACAAAACAAATTCGTCCCTCAGTCTCTCTTTCAGCGGAGACTGTGCTACATCTTGACGAAACTAGCATTTACGAATTGTTTGGCTCGCAAAAAGGCATGTATGAATTCGTCTCGGAAAACGGCCATCCAATCCAATCCCTGGTGGAAGCGCGGAAGTATCCCATTGGTGTCATTGCATCCATATTTGATTTGGGACAGATCCATAAGATATGCAAAGGCTATGGATTGGCATGGACACTTGCAAGGAGCACGGATAAACCACCAATGCTACACGACAAACGTCATGAACGTAAGAAAGCACAGCCCACTCCCGCGACGGTACAAAACGACTAAATTAAGGAGCAGATCGACTCCTTGAGCGAAACAATCGATAGCCTGCAAAAACGTCAAAAGCAGATCGTGACAACCAGAGGAAAGGTCCAAAAGGAGATGAGGATTTTGAAGGACCAATTTTATCATAACCGTTCTGATGAAAATTATGCAAGGTGGCAAGACAAGAAGGCTGCGGTTCGTAGGGAGAATTATGTTCTTCTGGAATGCAGGAAAACTTTAAGCAAGACAAAGAACAAGCGTTATCTATTGCAACGCCAGGTACGTTATATCTTATACATTTGAATCAGGGATTATTGAACTAATACAACCCAGCAAAACCCCACCGAGGGAAATAAACGTGATACCGTGCCTTCAGTAGCCTTTCCTCAACGCATGGATGAAGCGGAACGAATGGATATCAGCCAGTTACAGCATGCCGTAACTTTTTCCGGGACGGATTACGGAATTCAAACAATGTCGGGACCGTGCCTTTGACCATACAGACCATCAGCAGGCACTTGCAGTTATACAACAGGTACGCTTGTCTTGAAACTTGCGCTGATGTCGAAGCAGGAGACGTTCTTACCGATTCTGAGCTGTTCCTTCCGAAACCGGTTAAAATCTGTGCCAAGAACATCGCAGAAATCTCATTTGCAAGAAGATACAGAGGAAGACGTGAAAAATTAAAAAGAGTATTGTTTTATTCACATCTGGAGAATGGCTGACTGACTGGAAAATAGATTAGTCCTTCGATCAAAAGCACTGAATAAATGTTGAGCCGTAACCCAATTTCGCAAGCTTGGACGCAGCAACAAGCATTGCATAGTTTCAAAGTATGCAGATTTTTCTTGAAGCAAGTGGATATACTAAACTCATACCGTCATTGTTGTAGTTACAAGAAGATGCAAGCGACACATTGCGTAATTTTTATCATAATCGCAACTCCAAGAAAATAGCATATACGCAGTCATTGCGTACAAAGCGAGCCTATGCGATGCTGGCGTCAAGCGAATGGGCGCAAATGACCGCCAAAATGTTCCAACGAACTTAGTGATGTGCATTGGAAACGCTGGAACCGGTGTGGGCTGTCGCATCAGAGGCCATGCACGAAGAGGGGGGAAGAAGATGCGGACAGGACACTCAAGAAACACGACAGTCGCCATAACAAATGAATTTTGCTCATCGAAGACTTGTGTATTCTGTTTCCAACAAACAGAGCTAGCGAAACGAAGATTACCTGATGGAAAAACGAAGCAAGTCTCTGGTGTAGTCCGATGCATCAATCCAAACTGTCCTGCCGGGCGCAGAGGTTACGCAACACGGAATCGTAATCAGCAAGCTGCTTTCGCCATTGGTTTGGTAGGTGCGGTCAGACTGCTTTCACAAGATAACGTCACTTTGCCGCAATTCGATCCACGGCCCCAAGGCAACGACTATATGTTAGTCAAAATGAATAACGATACAAACACTATTGAAGCTATCCGAAGCGATACGCCTATGGTCTCACTCAGCTTGAGTGGATTAACAGTGGGCCAAAACGTCCAAGACTAGTTAAACCAATCAATATCCCAGTCTTCCAGTAATATGGATTCACCAGCTTTGTGCGCCTGCCAGTAAAGAACCTCAACACGAACTATAGCATGTTGTTTATCGTGTTATCTAAGCTCAATAGGATGGTTGCATAGAATCCTTTTAAATGTGTACTCATTTACTCCATAAGCGATATGATTTTCATACTGCAACTGCTTTGTACTTTTCCATAAATTACTTGGCCAACCATCGCAACAGTTCCTTTCTCAATGTTGCCGTGTCGACCAACTCATTGCATCTCCGACCCGACATGGTGCTCGTTTCTCACAATGTGAACTCCGTCGGCCTCCAGGTTCAGTCTTATTTATTCTCATTTTATTAGTTTTTTGTGCCCATTTTTTTGGTTTTTCGTTATCCCTCCATTAGAAGCCATGAGTAAGCGGAATTGTAAGTTTTCATTCAGTGACCGCAGACAGGAAACACACACAATAACAATGACGGCTTGCTAGTGAAGAGAGACAGTCCCGAAATCGAGGAAACCACAGAGTCCGTGGACACAGCAGTAAAACGAACGCGTACAGAAAACGGCCATCTGCAACGGACACCTCTGTTGCGTCGAAAGGCTAGCAGTTTTATCAATGACTTACCAGACACACAATCCACTATCGGGAAAGTGTTTGTGTTCGGCAGCGGAGACACCGGTCAGTTAGGACTGGGCGATGAAATGCTGACTCGCAAAAGACCTATGCCGCTTAAAGTCCTCGACGACAAGGAAATCGTCGACGTCGCTTGTGGAGGCATGCATTCTATTGCTTTGACCAAATCTGGTCAGGTGAGTGAGACCGTATATAAAAATTTCAAAAAGGACTATAGTCTTACGAGCGGCTCTTCGTGAGTTGTAGCTGTGGAGCTGGGGATGCAACGATCAAAGAGCCTTGGGCCGTTCAGGCGAAGAATATGAACCTGGCCTCGTGGAGAATCTGGACGAAGTCCATGTCGTTAAAGTGGTTTGCGGTGACTCGGTATCGGTTGCTCTGTCTTCAGAGGGACATGTTTACAGCTGGGGTACCTATCGAGTGAGTATTTTGCCTTAACGTCTAACCGTTACACCGAACAAGACGAGCTTACGATGTTGTTCAGAATGCAGAAGGTGTCCTTGGATTTTCTCCCGACGTAGGCGTTCAAAGTGTACCTGCTCTTTTCGAACCACTGCAGAAATACACCATTGTTGATATTGCTGCCGGTACCGATCATTGTCTCGCTTTGACGAACACCGGACGTGTGCTTGTATGGGGTAATGGACAACAAGGACAGCTTGGTCGTCGTGTCATCGAGCGAAGAAAGCGCAACGCCTTGGTACCTGTTTCTATGGCATTACGCAACATCAAAGCGATTGGCTCAGGTTCTTACCATTCGTTCGCTCTGAGTCACGACAACGACCTTTACGTGTGGGGCTTGAATAACTTCCAACAATGTGGATTATTGACAAAAGAAACTCCCACCGCGCCGAATACTGTGAATGTGCCTACTATCATTCGAGGATTGAAAGGAAAAGGTCCCATCAAGTCGGTCACGGCTGGTGAACACCATTCGCTTGTACTTTTGGAAAATGGCGACATCTACGGTTTTGGTCGCGCGGACTCGTCCCAGATTGGTTTGCCACAGTCGATGATTGATGAACTTCACACACATGAGGAAGGACAGGATACATCGCAATTTAAACGCGCCATTGGTTATCCCACCAAGATACCCGCGATATCCAAAGTTCGCCAGGTTAGCAGCGGTAGCAACCATGCCATTGCTGTGACAACACAAGGCAAAGCCTACACATGGGGTTTTGGTGAGATGTATGCTCTTGGTAATGGATCCGATGAGGACGAAGCCGTGCCTACGGAGTTAACGGGCCAGAAACTCGAAGGACATCAAGTATTACGAGCAGCAGCCGGAGCTCAGCACACGATTATCTTGGCCACTTTGTAAATTAATAAACAGTTGGAAAAACATTCCCATTATGCGAAGGAAAATGATGACCATAGCCGATCTCAAAGCAGCAAACCACCCCCATCAATGTAAAAATAAATTTTTCTCCTAGGTAGTTTTGAGTAACGAAATTTGCATGTATTTTATCCGTTTCGTAACTTTTTATCGACACGGGAATTGCTGAGCAGGGGAAAATCGACTAGAGCTCGTGAAAATCTGTCAAGCGGTGGCGCAACCAAAGATGTTGACAGTAATAACCCTTAAAGTTGCCGCAACAGCTCAAGTTCCGCTTCCTCTTCTTGACCCTGTAAATCACTGACATCGTCACTGACTTCCTTGATATCAATAAGAAAATCACGAATATCGTCTTGAAACCGCTGAAGATCACCACTGTACTCGAACATGCCAAGCACAAGCACCTCGATCTGATTCCTATATCACTCATGCGTTATAGGGAGGGAAGATTGTCATTAATACAATGCATGAATCACTCACTTTTGTAACAGTGGGAACGCAGCCGTCAACAGTTCTCTGACATGATTTTGAAGAAATGCAGCATTGGACATGAAAGAGTCTCCCACCGTACTTGGATCGTATATGCGTGTATAGATCTCACCTTCTTGGACCAACTCCAACATGCGTGCAAGGAGCTGGCTTTGATAATTGAAGGCTATACATCATGTTAGAGAGCGGCACTGAGGCATACATATTTTGAATCCTTTGATTTTACCGTTGCGACAATCGGGGTCCAGAAGCACCACTAGTACATCTTGTAGAATTCGAACAAAGTATCTTTCATAAAAGGCGCTCGCAACGTCTTCGTCTTCCAACTGCGCCATTTTGTTGATCAGTTGCAAACAAGTCTGCAAAGCAACATGAGAAATTTCTCGTGCTGTATGCTTGATCCCCCACAGAAGACTGTCTATCAAAAGATCGAGAGCTTGGGTTGGCATCCTCAGTAGCTCTATTCAAAGGACTGATCAGTGTCGGATTCTTTTGGCAAGTAAACACCGCTCCGCTCACCCTCAAGATATTGTTTGGTGAGCCCACGCAGTAATTTGTAGAACCCTATCCGATGGTCCGGAAAATCGACAAAATTTTGATTGACCATGAATAAAGTAGGTTGGAAAAGCTTCTCCCACAACAAATCCAGCAACTCGGTCCGCAGTACGGTCTATTTTTAATTGATTTCAACCGAGTGAATAAGGCAATCATCGACGGCGGCGACCCTATGAAGCAGCTTACAATAGGTTTCTCCAGCATATTGCTTGTCAAGTTGATGACGGCAACTTCACGTACGGGAGGTGGGCATTGTTGATAATCTGTGCACAATTCATTATAGAAACCCCAAAACGCACCATCCATGTTATCAAGGTGTTCCAAAGAAGAGATGAAAGTGTCGATTAATGTCAACGCTTCCTGTTTGATACGTCGCGATAATTTGAGTAAACCGGAATCCAGGGTTTCTGAAAAAAAAAAAAAAAACCCAATGATATATAAGGTACTGATTTTACGTAGACCGCAGGTATATATTACCTTTGTGATGCTGTACGTTGTTCACAGCTAAATGGTATGATGTGGGTAGATATTGGAAGATGAAATGGAATTGCGAAGCGTAAATGGGCCCGATAGCTTGACATACAGAGTTATTGATTTTCAACACATCGATGATCCATTTCAATGTATTTGTGTCGTTTTGGTTTTGAGGCGAATTAAAAACTGTCTTGCACTAAAAATTATTTAATATCGTTAATGCATGATTTTCGTCCTTCTTTTTTCTTGGCCCTTCTTTCGCCATACTTACAGCTTCTCTGGAAGTTTTCATGAGTAAATCGATGCATGCTTCTTGCTGTTGTTTGTGTGTCATTCCAGATATAATGTATCCCATGGCTTCATAGACGATACATAGCTACAACAGCCAGCGAATTTAGCAGATTATCGGATAACCCACAACCGCAGTGAGCTCTTTACCTGCTGAATGTTCAAAAGTCCTTGCAGTTCCGGCAACGCAGTGACAAATCTTTCGAGCCATATTGGGATAGAGTCAGCTGTGTCTTGAACAATGGCTTCTCTGCATCCTTGACAAAATTTGAGCAATCCATCGCTGGATAAATCACGGATATCGATTTGTGGTGAGTGAATCAGTTCGAATGCCTTGGCCATGACATAATCCATAAATTCTTTGTGTGCTTTGAGAAAACGTGGATGTTGGCCTGCAATATACAGTATACAGGAAACAATCGCCAGTTCGTTATCCACATTATACTTCATATTGTCTGCCAGCTGAACGAGATCTCTCATGATGCCCGTAAGAAATAAATCTTCTCTTGATTCATCCATCGCCCCCGAGATTGAACCGATATACCAGCATACTTTATTCAGCTCGGTGATGCGCCATGTTTCTGTATGTATCTATTATTTGAACAAGAATCACAACCTTAGCTATTTCGATCCAGAAAATGTGGCTGGTCCAGGAAAATGGACAAAAGTTTTCTTTCAACTTACTGCCTTGGCAAACTTATTGCGTATGACAACCTCTGTATCTTCCGGATCCATGATTGTTAGCAGGCACACGACATGCCGTATTGAGGTATAAAGAGCGGCATTATCGCTTTGTTTAACGTATTCGCGAACAATTTCGCCTTCATCATTTTGCACTATAAGAACCTAAGCAAATATAAATAGACTGCAACCAATAAAACATCATCACTTTCCAGCAGCATACCTCATCTGGGGTGACCATTCGTTCCATAATAATTCGTCGCAGATCTACAAAGATTTTTTTGTAACCATCCAAGATTCCTCTCGCTTCTTGTCGATGTAGCTGCTGTTGTATATCGTAGGCCTGATTATGTTACAAAAAGAGGTATAAGCATCGTTGTGGTGGATGTGGTGTTTTACGCTGACATACTATTTTCCCCCAATAGTCTAGACATATTTTCCAAATATCCGTCTCCTGGATTTGAGATAGCCTCAACAGATACAAGTGAGCTTGAAATACGATGTCTAAGCCCAGAACTTGCTCGGCTATCTACAAGTCAAAAATAAATGACGTGCACGGTCTTTCCAACAGCCATTTTCGTTTTTTGACATACTGCTCGATGGTTTTCCAGAAACGTCGTAAAAAATAGCGTGAGCTTTTGGATAAAATCCTGGTCTTCCAGCTTGGCGATTTCGTAAAGAGCTACGATTTCTAAAAGTCGTATTAGTACAGTGGCCGATAATTTGATACACTTGATAAAAACAATTACCAGCTTCCGGAGGGATCGTTTGACGGAAAAGTTCCATGACAGTTTCGAACAAGGACGTTAAGCGAGGTTCACACCCACTAGGGCAATCGGAAGATATGATGTCGAGGAAACATTGCAAGGCTATGTTGCGCACGTTGGGCGTTTGAAACAACTGAGACACATCAATGGGTTATCGACGTGTTTTCCGGGTCCCCAGGCGATGGCTGCCATGTTACCTTTGGTTGAATGCCCTTGATGAGGTCTGTCCTAAATACATAACTTGCGGGAATCCAGCCAAGAAAACGAGACACTGTCTCCAAAGTCGCTTGAATAAGGCTAGGAATCTGTATGTCACTGAGAAGCACTCGCTGGCACAATTCCAGCATATCCCCGAATTCTTCCATCATTTGAGTTTTGAGCTTTCGCATTTTGGTGAGTGTCATCTGATCACTGGAAAAATCAAAGATCTCCTCGCTACCGTGGTGAGATTGATCAGATAAAAAAAAAGAGAAGAGAGCAATAATGCATGATGCAACTCATACCTCAATAAACGTATGATCCGCATACTATTCTCGCATAAACTTGGATTCGTTTGGCTTGCTTCAACTATCTCACTTATAAAGGTGGGCCAGTATTGTGGCCAATCTTTCTTTAGAATCTGGATCGGACAGAAAAACATTGATTAACGAAAATATATTTTACATAATTCATGGTCAACCAACCTGTACGAGAACCATATCTAATTTGTTCAGATATATTCTCTCGGAATGCATTGTAGATTCTCTAGAGGATAACTCCACAATGATCTCGACAATAAAATTGCGGATAACTAGATGTTGGGGAATAAGCTTTGAAAATCTGACTTTCCCCTTGCAACACTTTGACACATACCTAGCCTATCTGCTATTGGTAGCGTATTCCACCGTACTACCACAAAAGTTTCCAAGATACGAAGAGCAAGAAACTAATGCATACCCCCAACTCATTATCATCCATGGGTACGAAAAAATTACAGTGCTCTTTTTGACAGGTCGTACACCAACCTTTGTACGGACACTCTGCGATTGTCTCAATATTTGATCTACCACTCGCCAGGAATCGGGATGATTTTGAAATTTGGTCAATATTGCTTCGGTCCTCTTATGCTAAGAATAACTCGTTTGAAAATATTGCTTTTTGTGATATTGTACTTATAAACGACATACCACAGCCGGATCGCCTTCATAGAAAGCTTGGACTGCAGCATCCAGTAACAGAACATTAAAGGGCTGGGTGTCATCGACCAACGACTAATGACTCTTATTCACTTTAAAAGTTCTTTTATTTCAGCGATTAAGCGACCTTACTTCAAAGTCCATGGAGAAGAGTTGCGCAGTTAGCATAAAATTGGATGAAAAGCCGACAAAGCTGCCCCGCCTTTGATTCTTGCCAATGCTGGAAAATTTGGTGGCTTTGCGGAAGAAATAAATTACAGGACAAAAAGACCAATGTTCCTGCTGTGCATTCTTCACCATTCCATTTTTTTTTTCGGTTACCATGGCAGATCAACAGGAACACAATGCGCCTACAGATATCGTCTTTAACAAATTTAGCAATGGTCCAGCGGTCAAACAGAAATCACTTCGTTGCAACGATCAGTTGGAAGACCTACTGATCGGCATATCACAGTGGCCTATGGATGTGGCAAAACCATTCTCCGCCTTTTGGCAGTGTTTGAAATCAAAGCCAGGCAAGTGTGTCCCGCTTTGGGATTACGTCAATATGATTAGTGAGATTGATGGTAACCATAGGAGACGAGCCATCACCGCATCATCGTATAGAGAAAACCAAACAACAAGAAGACGATCAATTAGCATAAGAAAACACCGTATATCATTTCCTATTATTTTGTATCTTTCTATTCTCATCAAAATATCATCATTATTCCTATATTTTTGATTGATCTTGTCATTTTTTCCACTCGAGTCTGGAGCACCGGTCCCTTTTATGGCAAGTTGACGACAACCAACCAAATATCCTTTTATCTCGTTTCTTTTACTTGAATTTTATTGCATAAAATGAGTTGCAACGGTTCACAGTCCAGTGCTTACTCGCCAAACCTATCCAGCAAAACACCTGCCATGAAACTCCATGTATCTCAAGATGCATTCATCCTCGAGAAGCACGGTTTCATATTACGTATTCCATTCAAAGACATGCGAATGAGGCGTCAAGGTATTACCACCTTGTGTAGAGTAAGAAATTGGTAACTGGGCTGAGAAACAGTATTGGCTGCCGTAGGGACGTATAACAAAGAGTCGATCATACGCAGTTATGAAATCTTTGGGATAGTCGGCATTTTGGAAGGTGCATTTGGTAAATCGTCGTCTACCCTAGTCTTTGTCTTTTTGGTTGCAACGGGTTTATTCACTGCTCGACAGAGAAATACTTGATAGTCATTACTCGTACACAATTTCGAGGATATTTATGTGGGCATGCTACTTTTGCGATTGAGCAGATTGCGTGCCTGAAATTTGATGCGATAGCCGCGCAAGAAACTTTGGACAAAAAGGTAACAGGGACATGAATGAAAACCGCCCTGACGTAGACTGACTGTTAAAAAATGCAGACGCGAGCGCTGCCTGATGCGCTTGACGATTCGGAAAGCGAGAGTGAAATTCCTGGCGAGATCGCAGCAGTGGAGAACTCAGCTGTAGTCTCATCTGGACCGTTGACCGCTCCCGCAAGCAGCAGTTTACCCCCTTCGATTCTCAAACGTTCTGCGCCGTTACTCCCACCCTTCAAGATCCCATTTTTGCGAAAACATACCAATCCGGATAATACCATACAACCAGCAGCCATTGACGAAATCGATGATCCATTGCCGGCAGAACCTTTACCTAGAAATGAGGGTAAGCGCTCAGCTAAAACTTGCTACTTGCCCGGAGGAAACTGACTATTGCAAATATATTAGAGGATGCATTGTTGGAGCAGCGTCTTGTGAAACAGATTGTTGAAATGTTTAGTCGACAAATATTTATTTTTTCATACGATTGCGGTATGTACGACTTTTCTCTCAACCGTGATACCATTATGCTAATGCGCATCCATCAAGATATCACCAACAGTTTTCAGCGAACTGAAGACAATCGACCTAACCAGCCATTGTCAGAGCACTTGTGGCAAAAGGTAAGCGTAGTGAGAGCAGCTAACAACTTGACGAATCCCACACGTCCCGCTAAACGGATTGTATTCAGGCGGACAAGCGCTTCTGGTGGAACGAACATTTATGTCAGCCGTTGATTGCTGAACAGGTGAGTGGAATTGAGGGTAACCGTCTTCTACCTTATCTCTTGCTGACAGTAAATGTTATCTAGCTGGATGAGTGGATCTTGCCGGTCATGCAAGGATATATACAAACTGAGAATTGTGTCATTGACGAGTATGAATTCGAGTTTGTGTTAATCTCGCGACGAAGTCGAGACAGAGCTGGTAATATCCAGGGATTTTTCATGACTACAATTGAGGGTCAAATAACTCAACCGCGACCGTTGACAGGGATGCGCTATCAGCGACGAGGTATTGACGAGAATGGCAATGTTGCAAACTTTGTGGAAACAGAGCAGTTGGTATTTTTCAAGGTAATTGCAAAGCGCAATGTTAGTAGCTGTGAAGTATGGGGAATCTGCTGACTCAAAATACTTCTTTTTCTTGCTCTTTTTGCGCAATCAAAAGCAAGATGGAATACAATACGTAACATCGTTCGTTCAAACCCGTGGTTCCGGTAAGTTCACGGCACATCATTGAACCGATAAATTGTTAATCAGGATATGTTCAGTTCCGATATTCTGGAGTCAATCTCCGTACAGCTTGCATCCTATTCCAGTACTCGAGCGCGACGACGAAGAAAATCAAGCAGCATTTTCAAGGCATTTTTCGAAACAGGAGCGACTTTATGGAAAGCAAGTAATTGTCAATTTAACTGAATTGACTGGAAGAGAAGCCATCGTTGGATCAGCTTATCGAAGACACGTAGAACAACAGGGAGATCCAAACATCATGTAGATCGATCTATTCACGAGTTTTGGTTGGCTTTCTTTGACTGACTGAATCGTGTTTATAGATACATCGAATTCGATTTCCATCGTGAAACAAAGGGAATGCGGTTTGAAAACATCGATAAATTGAGAACAAGCTTAGCAGGCGAACTGTCCAAAATCTCGTAAATTGTTCTTGCTGCCTAGACAAGTCTTTCTTTTTGGTTGTATACTAACAGAAATCATAGGTATATGTGGAAGGGCAACGATACTGTGTATTGCCGACAGCAAGGCGTATTTCGTACAGTAAGTTGATATTGGCATTGATATTTACAATTGGTTTGCATGTCTAATCCCTCCATGTTAGAACTGTATGGATTGTTTAGATCGAACCAACGTTGTTCAGGTACAATAAGTTAAGCGCCATTTTTCGTCGCATGCACTCATTTTTTTTCTTAATATTAGAGTGCATTTGGCCGCAGTATGCTTCAATTACAGCTCACGCGCTTGGGAATAACGGAATTGCCAAACCAAGGCCTCAAGCAGTATGGGCAGCTGGATAGGATCTTTAATAATGGTAATAGAGAGACAGAGCTCAGTCGGTCAACCGGGTACTGATTTTTTATTTCATGCAGCTTGGGCTAACAATGGAGACATTATCTCGCGAATGTATGCTGGCACCAGTGCTTTGAAGGGTGACTTTACCCGGTAAGATAAAGAGCAAAGAATAACGTGGGTATCTCTCAAATAACTCATGCGCATATAGAACGGGAAAACGGAACATCACGGGAATCATGAATGATGCTTCCAATTCCTTGGCCCGTGTATATTTTAATACAGTCAAGGATTTTTGGACACAAGCTGCGATAGATTATATCTTGGGTAAAAACAAAGGAAGACCTACAAAACCAAGCTGTAGCATTTTTTACTAAAATCATCCCTAGGTTACCATACATTCGAGATTTTACGTCAAGTGCGCGAAAGTGTGCTAAGATCAGCCGAGCCTGGAACGGAACGTCGATGGGCCAAAGTCAGAGCCGACGCCAGTAATAAACAGAAACAGATTGAGCTTAATTGCGAGTTTGGTTCTGATGCAAAAATGATTTTTTTAATCTTTAGTTGAAATCAGCAGCGCCATCGTCATTGCCAATGATGAAAAGCAAATTGCAGGTTGGACTCTGCTGGCACCGGCCGAAGAGCAGAAGAGGTATGTATAATCCCCTTCAGCCGCCTGTAGTGACGTGATGAACTAACCTTGAATTGAAGGCTCAGCAAAAAGTTTGAAGAAAAAGTACTCTTGCTGACGGACAGTGCCATCTACTTGTGCAGTTACAATTATCGTCTGGAAAAAGTCGTGCAGTTCAAACGTATAGGGTTAGACACAATCGTTCGATTGCAAATTGGCGAGTACATTTTGTCGACGGTTGCCCCAGCTTCATGTAATATCGATCAGAACTATGGAATGATATTATACTATCGAACGGACGGAGAGCTCGTACGATGGAATACCGGCAGCATGCGCAATGAGCACTTGGCCGACCTCAATATTGTATCACCTTCATCTTCAGAAGTCGCCGGCAGTGATCAAGATAGGAATTTGGACAGTGACACGTCGTTGATGAACAGCCAAGATATGGCATTTTTGATATTCAAAGCCGTTCGACAGAATGTTTTTGGAGAGCTTTCAGAGCCTGCGAGTCTTATGAATTGTCGGGAACAAATTGAATCAATTGCTGCAAAAATTGCTACCGCTTGTGGTTACAAAGATGCCTTGCAAGATGAAGAGAAATTTATTTCTCGTAAGCCGATTGTCAGGTATGATGATGGTCATATACATTGATTGGGCATATGTGTCATGTGTCAAATGCTAAACCCTGGCTTGTAGTTTTGAAGAAGCAGAAAAGAGAGACGGATTCATGAAAAGAGTAGGTTATAAGCTCAAGCAGTCCATATTATGGCCCTAGAAACGCCATATCATAGAGTATACTTAAAAACAAACCATATTTATTTTCCAATGAGTAATAAGGAAAGCATTTACTCTCTCTTTCTTTTTGTTTCTGTAAAAGCAGCTCTTCATAGCACTAAATAATGCGATATAAAAGAGACAAAGGTTTTATTGATGCTGTGTGGCTGTTTAACAGCATTTGATAGCTATGGCGGCGCCATAAATAATATACATAGTTACTACTGGGAACGGATATGAATAAACAAGAAATGGCTTATGGGAAATTATCGAAAAGGTAAATACATCTGTATGATACAGGGCAAAGTCGAAGGAGACAAGCAGCGGGTAAGCAAAAGGGCACGAGGAGAGGGGGGATTAGAAGGTGGGGGGGGGGAATAAAAAACTTAGATTTCGAAATCTTCGCAGTGCAACAAGAGTTGAGAGTTGTGTTTCGTTCCCGCAACAGCGTTCTTGAAACTTGCATTAAACCCAGCAGGCCCGCAAACTATCAAGAAAAGAAAAGGAGTTGAATAATCAAGCGGCGGGAACAAGGGTTTAATTATCATTTGACTTACCGTAAAGCCCGAATGACGATTCTGGCTTGTAAAGATCCGTAATGAGACAACGGGCATTGATATGCTGTTTGTGGAACACGGTAGGCACCACGGTGGAAGGCTCACTGCGGTCGTTCATTTTGGGAATAGCCGCCAGAGACAAATCGTCGTATTTTTCGATAGGGGTGCCGGCGTCGGTGGTAGAGCCGCCGGTGATGTAGTATTGAATGTGTAATCGAGGCATGCTGGACGACTTTATTTGGTAGGCCTTGTCAAAATCGGCAAGCAACTGGCGCAGCTCAAAGTTGAACCAGGCTAATTCTTCTTCATGACGGACAGACCAAAGGAAATAAATGTCCTCAAGGACTACCGGCCCCGTTTGGATGGCCGTGTCGTTTTCCGACGGGGTCAACAAGGCAGCAGCCAATTCACGAATGAGCCGCATACCAAAAGTGATGCCGGCTCCGGCCGTAACAATGGCGACGGCTTCATTGCGCAGCATGGTGGCCGATTTCAAATGATCGTGAGCAATGCCGCAGGGACCAGCCACAAAAGCGACCAATTCTTTATCGGGATAGACTGTGTTGTACAGCTTTCGCGTGAAGTTGCCGCGTACGCACGCATGGACCTCGACACGGGTATCGCAAGCGCCTTCCTTATCAACTTGTGTACTGGTAATCGTAAAAGGATGCCATTCGATCTTTGAAATGCTAGGCAAGCATACGTAAATGTGTTGTCCGGGATGATGGACCATGGGACTCGAAAGCCGCAATGTAAGTCGGGTACAACGTTCTGGAAGGATTTCAATGCGAGCGCGGGCCAAATAGGATTTCACAAACCAGCCTGCCAGGGCATTCAGGACGTAGCAGAAAAGGCCTGCAAAGAAATAGCGGAGCGCGTAGGGAGTGTGCTTTGCAATCGCCCCAAGAAACACAAAAGCTAATAAATGTGTTCCCAGAAACACTTCGTGAGCGTACTTGCGTACGGGGTAGATGCTGCCGAGGACAACCACACACAAGGACCCGTAACCGACAAGGCCGTAGTGCACTTTGTTCAGTTCCAACTGAGATTGCAAAAACGAAGGAAACTTTCCCCAAGCATACAGCATGCAAGCCATGTGAACCGTTGTCAGGAGTATCAGGGCGGTGCCAAGGAGACGATGAAGCCAGTTCAAACGAACAGAAGAAATCCCCGTCAAAAGACTGACGGCCGAGTTCTTCCCTGTGGAAGCCAGTAAAAAGGGAACAATGGATAGCGCCAAAAATCCGGCACGGTTGGAATTCACTTTGAGGTCGGTTTGAACGAGCAGCAGCGGAAGGACAGCGGAAATAAGGCTGATGGCAATCAGCAAAGCGCCCAAAGGAGGAAGAAGTGGTTGGCGACCAGCGCATACAGTGTACGAGCAAGCATTAATGACACGCCGTTCGGCTGAACAATAGCTTCTAATGATAGGGTCCAATCTTGTGAAGCAACTGCCGACCCATGTGGATGGGTTTCTTCGTCGCCATGCTACCAAGAACCAACAACGGATCGTCAATAGCAGGATAAATCCGGCAAGCAATCCCGCGAGTGTGTTGGCATATGGTGCGTTCATGTTAGGCGGGGTGGCCTCGGAATCCATTGAGCCCATATCCATATCCATGGTCGAAAATCAAATGAAAAAAGGTAAAAAGTGAAACGAGAATAAAAAAAAAAGAAGAGGGGAGAGGAAACAACCAAGCTGACTAAAGTATGAAATAGCAAAACCAAAGGATAATTTTAACGCGCTTTTTCGGATCAAATGAGAGAAATTGAACTGACTGCTTTTAAGACTTGTCCAATCAAATGACGATCGAGAGCGAAAATCTCGCACTTGGAGGAGCTTATAAAGACGGCTTGATTTTTTGTTTCTCAATTTCGTTCATTTTCTCCTGCATCACAGTGCTTTACTTTCCCTCTTGTTCCTTATCCCCACCTGTGATTCTTTGACATAATCTCTAGTATGGCCCGTATTACTGCTCTTTGCTTAAGCATGATGGCTCTCTTCAGCATGTTGAAGGGTGCGGATGCTCATTTCCAATTGACATATCCGCAAACGCGTGGTATGGATCATGCCAAAGAACCGACCGCTCCCTGTGGATCCTTTGACTCGGTCGGTCCTCGTACGGAATTCCCATTATCAGGAGGATTCGTTGAAATCAATGCTGGTCATCCTCAATACCAATATTCTGTCAAGGTGCTGGTCAATGGCAACCCCACCGCGTCCGATTTCTCCGGTGACAATTTGAAGGAAATTGCCTCTGGTCAGCGCAATTACCCTCAACAAGCCTGCTTACCCGTGGACTTCTCCAAGGTCTCTGACGCCAAGAATGGTGCCAATGCTACTTTGCAAATCATTTTCAACGGTGGTGACGGCGAGCTTTACCAGGTAACTTTTTTTAATTACATTTGTTGAACTTTAATTTTCTGTATCTCACGCTAATGTCTCTTGTTTTCTTTTTCTAGTGCTCTGATGTTACTTTGGTTGATAATGCTCCCAATTTCAACAAGAGCATGTGTATCAATGCCGACGGTTCCAAGCCTTCTGAGACTTCCGGCGACAGTGGTAACAACAGCAACAACGGCCAGAGTGGTGCCTCCTCCTTGACCCTGACCAGTGGAGCTGCGGTTCTTGCTGCTGTTGCGGCCGCCCTGAGTTTGGCCTAATTTATCATCTAATATGTACTTGTATACTGCATAAATGTTTTATAAAGATTAAAAGCTGCTGAGACGGTTACACTATAATTTACTATACGCTTCTTGACCCTTCCAAGACTCCCTCTCTTTCTCTTCTCTGATGTGCAATGGCTTTTTAGGATGTGAAGGATGATTTATCGATACATTTATCAATTTCGAAAACTAGAGAGATCATGATAAATAAGTTACTGCATGATACCATGCTGGCTGATGATACTCATATTGAGATCAAGGAATAAAGGACGTATATGATCATTGGGCAGAACGAAATGTAATATGCGGTGGTAATTATTCAATGGAATTTCCCACTGACAGTTGCTACTATGGCACGCCTTGCCATGCATAACATACTTGCCTAATTATTGAAAAAGCTGCATGCAGCGCACAGAATTTGGAGGTTATGCTTCATTCAATAATTTATATCAGCTGCCAAGAATGGAAAGTCATGATAAGCCTCGCTTTGACGAGAGTGTCAATAAAATCACATGATGACCTGGTAAAAAGCGTCTATTGATGTTATGTTTTGAAATGCAATCTGTCTTCTGTCTTAACATCATTATGATTTAGTCGATCGCAAAAAAAGTGCGAAGTACGAATTATTATTTTTTTGTTTGTTGGGGGGAGGGAGCGAAAAAGGGGGGAGGGGGGGAGAGAGGGAAACACCACTTGTATCAATTTGGATAACAAACGCCATGCTTCTGTAGTGAAGAATCCGAACAAGAGAGTGTGTGCAAGATTTGTCAAAGGAACTATAAGCCGGACAGGCAGAATAATAGAAAGTTCCAAAAAAACCTGCATTGTCAGAAATCAAGTTATTTGTGCTTTATAAGGTTCAAGGTTGGACAACAAACAGTCAGATCATGCTACTGCAGTTTATCTTCCGAGAATTCTATTGATGCAGTATGAGAGAAAAAAAAGAAAAAAGATAAATATGCTATTTACAAGATGAAAGTAGTTGTACAGATAAGAGAACAAGGTAAAGGTAACTGCTGGGTTAAAGTTCATATGGAGGTGGCGGTGGGTCCAACGGCTGCGAAGAACGAGACGGTGGCCCTGGATGCGGTCGTTGTTTCTGTCGTTGTTCGTCATGTCGCTGTAATAATTTCAGCTGTAACCTGTATTGTTGCATGGATGGGGTGACAATGGTTGGACTCGCGCCTGACGCCGTATCGGAAGAGATGTTTGTGTTCAGTGGATTGGAATCGGGCTCCACAGCATGTTGACGTTCGTCATAATAGTAATTATTTACAAACTGTGTTAACCGAGTTGACGCAGCTGCGGGGGACGGGGATGAGAGGTGGGGAACGCCCACCATCGATGATGCGGATTTTTCGGTATCATCGGTTCGCCGGGCCTGTCTTCTCCGGCGGCGACGGTACATGATGAAAACAACAATAGTGACGATTGTAGCTGCTATAATACCGAGCACAGCGGCCATAACGTGAATGATATTGAATGCAGCACCGTTATGTGGCTGATTCGTGAATGTCGATCCATTTCCCCGCTTTTGCAGATGGTTGTACAAAGCTGGTGGATGACCATTCGTTGGAACATTTCCATTCACGGGCACGAATGGTTCATCTCGAGAATAGCCAATTTCTATGTCGCGTAGTAAAGGTTCTCGATAAAACAGAGCATCATGTGGTGGATCTCTGGCATTGGCAAGTGACCCTGTCACAACATTCCATCTCCTTTCAGACGAAATCCTGTTATTCATAAGAATGAGTATCGTATTTTTATGCACTCTACCGAGCCGTAAGAGAGAACTCGACCACAAAGTGGATGGCTTACAAGCTGATTCTCGACGAGACTTGGTCGTTGGTTTGAGTCTGAGAATGTTGAACAAAAGCTGCGACGTTCGATTGATGCCGTGCGTTTGGTGGCAAAAGTACTGCAGCCGCCTGGCGAGGAAAATCAAGATGGAAAACAAGAGGTAGCAGAAAGTATAGACTTGTTGGTTTCATGATGACAAGAATTTATGCAAAAAGAAAGGTGATTTCAAAGAGACAGATCACATCCAGCAAGGAAGAACCTCAATTTTTAGTTGAATGAATGGTAAAAAAAAAAAAAAAAGAGTAAAAAGAAATAGAATGAAGCTCAAAATAAGAGAAAGAAGATGAGAGCGAAAATCGAGTCAAGAGCGTGATGCATGTTGACTTAACGAGGTGTAATTTACACGGCAAGAAATGAAAGAATTTCGCGGGGCTCGAATCGATTAGTCGGAAAGGAAAGAATGTCAGGAAGAATCCTCTATCTCTTTTTCCTCGTCCTTTATAAATGTTTATCAGTACGTCAACACTGAAAAAAATAAAATAAAATCAACGGCTCCCACGTTGATTATTCTCATGGTGTATTGATATCTTTGCACTCTCGTTCCAATGGTTGGCTTCCCAGAATGGTTGGGTGTGAACAGGGACATTTTGGGGTGGTGGTGTTTCTCAAGAAAGCAAAGGGAAGTATCACGCTTGCATCAGTGGCCATGGTGATCTTTTTGTTTCGCACGTGTTGTGTGGCTTTCTTTTCTTTCTTTGATACCTTCATGGGTGCCACATAAAAAATAAAAAAAAAAATAAAAAAAAATAGGGGGTTTCGAGAGAACAGAGAAATAGACACCGAGAGAGAGAGAGGAAGAGAGAGCAAAGACAGGGAAGAGAGAAAGAATGGAAGGAGTTAAGAATAGGTTCCAAACTGAGGGACACAAAGTGTTATTAACTTTCTTTATTCCCTTTTTTGCTTTTTTCGATTATGCCCCTGAAGAACTCCTTGGATCGGGTTTTTATTTCATGGATCGTTCTGAAGTGTGAACGCACCGATTTTTTTTTTCTCCATCTGCGGGGCTGCCCAATAAGAGGCCTCTACTGATGAGTCAACTTTGTATGCGGGATTGCAAAAGGCTTTGCCGTTGACCCAAAGAGACTAATTCAAACCCCCTCAGAAACCGCCGCGTTTTTTTTTCTTATATTTGTATTTGACATGTCAGACTTGCCTTCATTAAGAAAAAAGATCGATTCTCTCGATACAACTCTGGTCAATATTCTCAATGAGCGTGCCCGGGTCTCGCTCGATATTGGCGCTGCCAAACGCCAAGCTGATGAAAAGTGAGCATATTCATCGTTATTGATGATCACCATGGCCGGGAAGACCCACCTCTTATATTCAAAAACCTAACCGTTTCCATTTGTAAAGGGTACAATCACCTTCTGAAACTCATGTATATATGCCTGCCAGAGAAAAGGAGGTCTATGCCAAGGTATAACCGCCGCCCTTGACTGTCACCTGCTGCACGTGAATATTCAACTGCCCTTTTATAGCTTGAACGTTTGAATCGCGGCCCCTTGAAAAGTGAAGCGCTTCATGCCATCTTCCGCGAGGTAAACATGTCGACTTTTTACTGGAGCTTCTGTGTACAAGCTAAAATGGCGGAACTTTTTTTTTTTTTTTTTTGCCAGATCATGTCAGCTTCGATTGCCCTTCAAAAGGATGTGTCTATTGCTTACCTCGGACCTCCCGGTACTTTTTCACATCAAGCAGCCTATGAACGTTTGGGTGACAGTGTCATCTATGTGCCTCAAAAACAAATTGCAGGTAAAAACGTCTTTTTCTACACTCACGGTTCATTTTTGATCTTTGGGCGTGGGGATTGGTTGAATATGACGTCTCATCACTGGAATTGCAGATGTGTTTGAAGCGGTAGAAAAGGGTCGAGCTACTTATGGTATTGTACCTTTTGAGAATTCAACGTACGGAACCGTGGTGGAGTCATTGGACTGTTCCATCCATACACCTGTCAAAGTACGAGCAGAAACATATCTTCCTGTACATCAATGCTTGCTGTCAAATACCGCATTAGACAAGATCACCAAGGTTTACAGCCATCCACAGGTAATAAAAAGGGAAACCCGCTGGAACACGAAGCAAGGGAGGTTCAAGTGAAAAAAAAAACCAGAACTGACACGTGGAGTGGGTAAAATGTTAGGGGTTAGGTCAAACGCAGAAATGGCTCTCTCAACACGTGCCGAATGCCAGACGTATCTCTGTTAAATCCACCGCCGAAGCCGCTCAGCAAGCAGCACTGGAAACTGGAGCCGCAGCTGTATGCAGCGAAATTTGTGCCAGTTTATACGGATTAGAAGTCGTGGCTCGCGATATTGAAGATGCAACTGCCAATACCACCCGATTCCTTATTATCGGTACTTCGAGCGATAATGCGACCCTTGACGATCACACCTTGATCCGATTCACCGTCGATCATCGTCAACCGGGAGCGTTATGCGATGGCTTGAAAGTGTTCAAAGATCATCAACTCAATCTCTTTAAAATCGATTCGCGTCCGAGTGGACAGCGACCTTGGCATTACGTGTTTTTTGTTGAATGTTCTGGCCATGCTCAGAACGAAGAGGTACAAAAGGCCGTGAAAGAATTGAATCAATTCTGTTTGGATGTGGTCGTTCTCGGCAGTTTCCCCAATCAGCGACCGGAATAATACTAGATAAGGAATTGAGACCCAAAAAAAAAGAACACATACGAAGAAGAGTATGTAATAATTCCCCTGGATGAATAGATTGCTCCTTTTAGTCATAACAGAGAACATATCACAGTCATATCCCCTTTGTGTTATTTTTTCAACTGTATGACCTTTTTTTATTTTTATGTATAAAAGGGATTTATCATATAAAATCGTGGTATCTTTTTTTTTTTAATCCTTCCTCTTCTGCCTTGCTTTCGCTTGCAATCCACTCATTTTAATATCTTCATTCACGGCACCAATGCTAAAGCGGTTCCAGTGCTTATTCACCCGAAGCGATCCGGGTTGGTCTTCCGAATTGAATACCCAACTCCAGCCTTCCACGGAGTAAATATTTGACATGATTCTCATCAAAGATCACCCACTTATGAGAAAAAGTTGATATAGGCTGTGGGAACCGCCATCCGAATTAAAGATGGATCAGGTGAGTTTCAGGAAAAATTTAGAAGGTGACAAGGGCCTATCGCCTTCTTATTCAAGAATTATTTCTCCAGGGAGCAATAATTGGATCCAGTGGTCGTCGGTGTTACGACGCTTTTGCGGATCCTCAAGTGGACCAACATGTGCAGAAGGGTATTGAATACCACGAATCAGGAGAACTTGAAAAGGCGACCCATCATTTTCGATTAGCAGCCAAACAAGGATCACCCATTGGTATGTTCCTTTACGGGATCTCCTTGCGTCACGGTTGGGTACCTATAATTTCTCTTTTTGTTACAATTTCCATCAAGCTCGAGACAAATGAACTCATGGCTTTTTTTTTTCTAAAGGGTTGTCGACTGAATGGAGCATTGGCTTTTCAATATCTACAAAAGGCGGCAGAACATGCGGTGGAAGACTTGTTACACAGTGATTATGCATTAGCGTCCAAGGGTGAATTGATTATGGCTATTTACGAACTGGGAGTTTCTTTTCAACAAGGATGGGGCGTGGCCAAGAACAAAGAAACCGCCTTTTATTACTTCAAAATTGCGGCGGAATTAGGCGATGCCGACGCTCAAAACGATACAGCTCATTGTTTCTATCATGCTCAGGGAACAAAAAAGGACATGTTCCAAGCAGCTAAATATTATCGATTGGCTGCAGCACAAGGTCGAGGATTGCTCGGAAACTCGTGGATCTTCAAATCAAAATACGATCCGCAGGTTGGATCGTCATCATCCTCATCTACTTTATGATAAATAGTATACAGCATTACAGAAATTCGTCATGTAGGTCGCTGGTTCGACTGCAAAGAAAAAACAAAAAATGAGAAGCTTTTTCAATAAAGGGACCTGTTTCGATTGATAATAATATTGTAGGGTGGATGCTAATGATAAAAGCTGAAGCGAGCTTGAAAAATAGGTATGATGACAAAGGGATGATATGCGAATAAAAGAAATAGAATGTTTGGGTTGCCAAAGCAATGTGGCGTGTAGCTTGCGTAAAATTGGTCGCTAGTTCTCGGTTGTTGCTTCGTGCCAACAAACATACAATCAAATGCATTCCAGGGTTATGCATCCGCATCTGAAAATTGAATTAGTGGACCATTGTAACCTCTCTATCCAACGAAATAGGCGATTAGTATAGTGTTGTAACGTGAAATCTTCCACAAATCTAGTGCCCAATTACCTTTTGAGCCGTCACTGAATACCAGGACATGTAAGTTTTGTTTTCTTCGATTTCCTTGTGTAGCACTTTCAAAGTGTTCTTTAGTTCGCTTTCTGAAATCATCTTGTTCTGAATCCAAATCGGCTTTTGTAACTGAATGTATCGATCCCAATATTCTAGTAAAAGAGTGCCTACTGCGCCTCCATGCGCGCCAACCGGTGTATGAGTGTGTTTGATCTGCATTCCTACCAACTGGTTGCAAGCGGCTAGACGATTAGGCCAAGGATTCTGATTCGCAACATGTGGATGAGAGGGCTGATCCGCAGCCATTTGAGAAGAGGATGATCCGTTTGACACCGATGCTTCAGGCGTCGCCCTGGAGTGATTCACTACTTTATGATTCTTAGCAAACGTTCCCATTTTTGTAATCCGGTCTTCTCTTTTATCGATTTCCCAAGTACTTACAGTTCATAATGGTTGTCATGGCTGGACCAGCTTCGAATAAATCCGGATACGCCTCGATACATTCGATGTAAGCACCTTTTTTCATTATGCGTACCAGTTCGTTCAAGACCGAGTCCCACGCCTCATCGGGAAGAGTACTGATCATTGCTCGTATGAATATGTAATCAAAGGTAGAATCCTCAAACGGTAAAGGTGTGTCTACCAGATTGACCTGATAAAAACGAAGGTTCTTCGGTACATTGCTGCGGCAAAGAAAAAGGGTAAAATTTTAGCGAACGGTGAGTCCTTTTCTCTGGGGAAAACAGAGTCAATCATTACTTTGTGGGTAGAATGTTTTTATCGACATCAATGCCAGTGAAATGCGACAGCCGATATTTGGTGGCCATGTCCTAAACACAATCCTGGTTAATGCGAAAATATACAGAGGGTTGTACAAACCCAAGAGTCCATGCTTACCATTGTCCAAAATCCGGAACCACATCTGTTCCAACCCGAGGAACCGCGATTTTGTCGAGAAGATAAAAAAAAAATTGTCGAGCCAAAAATGAGATTTTCAAAAGGGGAAGAAGGAGACTGAAACTTACCCAATATCCAACACTTCGTTTCCTCCTGCCTGCAATAACCGTTGAAGAGGAGCCTTAAAGTCCCTAGTTACAAAACACACAATGGGCGTTTCAGGTTAATAAGCGATCGCTAATGATGGGATTCAATTTGGCTGTTATGTGGATTATTCGCACCCTTCAAATGCCAGTTTAAGAGCGCTATGCCTCACCCAATCGCATTCAATGTCGTTGATGGTATTGCCGGCAGGGTGTCTAGATAACTTGGCATCCTTGTTGGTACGTCGAATGGATTTCAGAAAACCAGCGAAACCCGAGGAAGTTGTCCCTGGCTTTTGCGACAGCATAGCAGTCTTGGCGGAAAAAAGTGTACTACAGGAATAGCTAGCCTGCGTTTTGGAAGCGCTGAAAACAAGGTCCAGGACTGCATGTGACCATGAAAAATTTGAGAATTCTGGTGCAACATCTGCAATTGTGCTAGAAATTCTGCCATCAATGTTAAACGCAGCACCTATTAAACAGTTCAGCTGAGGATTTCTCCAACATGCCGTCATGGCAACAAATGCACACAGAAATAGAAACAATCAATATAGCAGATGGATAGATAACTAATTGCCCGTATTACACGATGGCGATAAAAACTCTGAAAAAGTTGCTGCACGATACAAATCGTATTTACTGTGTCTGATTCCGTGCGTCTGCAGCAAGAAGACGCGAGCAATAGAAAGGTTTTTCTAATGTATTTAAAAAACATAAAGATCGAATAAGGGCAGAAACATGGAAAATTTGTGTTATCAAAGGAAATAATGATGACTTTCAAAGCATTTGGGCACTATAATGAGATTTTCATGGGTACCATGGGTGCCATAAAGAATATGATAACGAGCGCTGAGGCGACCCAATGATGCAGATGGTTTGCAGAGAAAATCCGATTTAGTAAATAAAAATAGATTTTAATTGTCCGACTGACCCGCCGATAAACCATTGAGTCAAACAAGTTTGCCCTATCTGATAATCGACGTATGTGTGAAGAAGTGATGGGTACTAGGTAACAAAACAAACAGGTCAAAGTAGAGGCATAATTATTCATTCAGTGTATTTTATACAGTATAACGTACCAAAGGGCATCCGATGGTTGGTGTGTAAAAGCTTAAAGTTGACAGTGTTGGCTCATTCGCAACCAGACAGGGCAAAAACCCTAGGGCTGAGCTGACTTTAAGCTTACATTATACTGCACCCATCTAAAATACAATTACAACGATCCACTCATACAATTCTCCGTTATTGAATAAAAAGGCTAGAATGATGAAGTAAAAAAAAAAAAGGGTCGATCCAGTAAGGATGATTGGATATTTATAGAGAAAGGTCGACTTTTTTTTTTCATAAGAGTCCAAAAGGAGTGAACAAAAGGACCGGATTCCGAATTTAGGCATGTAGTGAAAAAATCACATTCATTGGTGCTGGTTTCATCCCAGCATCAAAATGGGAACGCGATACGAAATTAAAAAAAAAAGTGAGTTTTTTTTATTTTTTTAAGCTTCAACTTTTTTTTTTTTTTTGGGCTTGCCGCAATAAAGCACTTTTTTTGTTTTTTCTGTATCTTTCCCTTTTTTTATTTTTCTTTTTACTTTCAAGATGCTAAAGGTAGGATGGCAACTTCAGTTGCTTTGACGACTTTTCTGGGTAACGTGCTCATCCTGTTTATTTTTCTTTTGTAATAGACTATCAATACCATCGTTCTTCGCGAAAGTCGCAGTTTCGCTTGCGCTACTCGCTGTTATTCCGTTCATTCTGACACTTACAACTCCACGTCACCCAATGCACCGCCACCTCCACCTCCTGCCCAAACCAAAAAGTCAAATGACGCTCCACAAAATAAAACACCCACCGAACCTCTGTTCACTGAAGAAACCAGAGAACGCTTAGCACGACTGCGCCAACATCATTTCCACTCTACCAATATTCCAGATTCACCCGATTTTGGCACCAATCAGTATATTAATATCAATGAGGAATTACGGCAACAACTCAAGGACATCGTTTCCACGTTTAATGCGCCTGTACGTTATGCTTTTGCATACGGCAGTGGTGTCTTTCAGCAGTCAGGTTATGATAACAAGGTAAAAAGAGAAAAAAAAAACTCACACACTGGTGGTGTTAACAAACAAACAATCACCAAATTATTAAGCGATGACAACCGAGGGACTGACACGTGGTTTTTTTTTTTTTTTTCGGTAACAATAGAAGAAGCCAATGTTGGATTTCATCTTTGGTGTGACTCATCCTGGCCATTGGCACGCACTGAATATGCATCAAAATCCTCATCATTATTCCGGTATGCGCCTACTTGGTTCTGGCGCAGTCGCCATGTTACAGGAGAAAGTGGGTGCGGGCGTCTACTTCAATCCCTACGTAGAAGTCAATGGCATGGTCAGTAAAAAAGAACCTCATCCCAATAGACCGGTCGCCACCGCGACCTCCTCCCTTGACATTGCGTATTAATTAATATGCATCCGTTTCTACTTTTCACTGCAGATCATCAAGTATGGCGTTGTATCCATTGATCGGTTGTGCAAAGATCTCATTGATTGGGAAACTCTCTATCTTGCTGGTCGCATGCATAAACCTGTAAGTTGATTCGTTCGCGGTTAATTGGGGTTAATTCGTTTTCGGTTTAGTCATGAGCACATGGTTGATTCATATTTTCTCCTTCCATGCTAGGTAAAAATCCTTCGGGATGATGCCCGTGTGAGATTGGCCAATCAAGTGAATCTGACAGAAGCCGTGCGAGTCGCTTTATTAACGTTGCCGGAAAGATTCACTGAAGCGGAACTGTTTGAAAAGATCGCCGGTATCAGTTACCACGGTGATTTCCGAATGGTGGTGGGTGAGAATCCCAACAAAGTGAAGAACATTGTCAATGCACAGATGGATCACTTCCACCGGTTATATTACGGTTTATTGGATGATTTGCCCAATGTCGCCTTTTTACGTGATGGGCATTATCAGGTAACGTTAACGTGGCAAATCAGGTGGCTTTTGGTTTCAAAAATGGCAGAAGAATTTAACTTTTTTTTTTCTTTGATATTTACAGCAAAGTCAAAATCCCAAGTTCCGTGGTTTGATGGTGCAAAAGCTGCCCAAGACGTTGTATGATAAAGTACTGGCTGAACATCGCAACTATGCCGCAAAGCACAATCTTTCACTTCCGGAGGAAAAGATTGAATTGTATCAGCAAATTTCATCGTCGCCTATGCTATCAAAGTATATTGATAAGTGTAAGTGATACCCCGGTGCAACTCGGAAAGCTGATTTTGTTCGACGGTTGACTGATATCATTGTGATTTTTTTTAGCTTTGTACGACACCATTGCCCGGACGGCCATGACACAGAGTATCAAAGGTATTATCACCGCCGGTCCCGTGAAGACAACACGATACGCTGCTGAGAAACTGAGCAAATGGTGGAGTGCCAAGAAATAAACAAGCGGTCAGGAAGACTGGAGTGAACTGTTATCGCATTCTTTTTTTTTCATACTCTTGATCAGGTCACTATAATTTAATATCCCATTCTGGGGGAAAGGGGGGTTTTTTTTGGGGTAGTTCAATCCAGCACAAAGGCTGTATAGTTTTGAAAAAGAAAACCGTGTTTAATACGGGGCGATATAAAGAAAAGAACGATTTACGGTTCCCAAGTAAGGGCAGCAGGTTTTCATGTGATGTTATAAGCGATGTTGTGAATGTTTTCTTTGTTGCTACGCTCGCCCATGTTCTCTGTTCCATATCATCCGCAACTTTGGCCAATGCAGGCCAATCAGAGTGTTCGTCATAATTTGAGCTTGGCAAGAGTATCCGTGAGTTCCGAATTTGGTGGAGAGCCACGACTCCGCCGTTCTGTTGTCTTTTCGGCTCTTCACACAAGATTCCCCTCACGTCAACTCAGTAACCTTTACCGGTATAGGTAGAATACCATTTTTCTCCAAAAACACGCCCACTCGCCACTGGCATTAACCGTTTGTCGTGCGCAAAGATCCCAGGATTCCACTGCTTGGAGTCCTTCGTGAGCATCTTTGCTCGTCTATTGCCTATCAATAATATACCTTTATAAGCGCTATTGGCGATAAATAGTTTTATTCTTCGTATCTCACTTTGTTCTTTCTTCTTTTTCCCTTTCTGCTCCGGCCCTTCCTTTTGCTGTCGCCTCTACTTTCTTCTTTCCTTTTATATTTTTCGGCCGCTATCGACATTTCTGCCCTGTACTTTGCACGCAAGGGTAGAACACCCGTGTTGCTTAGTTTACAGTTACTGCTTGCCAGTATTTAATCCTCGATACCCTATTGTCGTACGCCTTCTCCCCATTACCGACTATTAGTGTCCACTCCTTTCCTTAGCACGTCGCTTTCATATTCTCCGATGTCACTTATTCTCGTTAGCGGCAGACTGGACTAATTGGACTTTCTTATCACGAATATGAAACTGTCACCGCCAAATGTCTATCGAGACTGCATAGATATTTTTTTGTTCTGGTAAATTCGGCAGATTTGAATCTGCTTTATTCTCAGGTTGGGACTGTCTTATGACCATGAAAAAGCTAAGCTTTGCATGTTTAAGAATGGGATGAACTGACCGAGACGGCTTCCCCACGAAATTGGAAGTTTCAACACCCATAGTGAACGATACTTAAGCAACGTCAGTCTACCATAAGCTCAAGGAGGCCGGCTATGGGCCGCAACAAAAGAAAATGACATTTGCAGAATGCATCCGTAGTTTAACCGGTCGATTCGTTCGTGAAAGGGAAGCGGCGCAGGAGAAACTCAACATCTGCACAGATGTAGTATATCCAATCATTGTCCTGGAACTTTGACTCTAATCCAATCGGCATCGGTATTTATGGCGGAAAACGAAATACGATAGACAAAACAGTATCCCTAAATGGCGAACCCGGAGGGTGAGGATTGGTCAGTGATGGCATTGATAGAGAGACAGTATAGATAACCCGATTCTATGTTTTTGTATTTCAGATCGTCACCATCGGGAAACGGCGAGTAAAAAATAAAAAAAAAAGAGTCATGAATGCAAATAAAACAATAGAGTCGCTCAAATAAACCTTGGGAATATCGTTTTTCGAATCTCCAAAGAAACTGTACGTCGAGCTTTCCCGGTGTTATTTTTCCCGGCCCAGTAACGCAAAACGAACATTGTTATTCTCATGCCTTCCGAAATAATATTTTTGGATTCCATTCACAACGGCACGTCCATAGAAACTCAGTGGACCTACAAGGGAGCAGCAACGGAAGCGCCGGCAATCATCATTGCTCATCCTTATGGACCTTTAGGTGATTCAAAGGCATACCCAATAGGCTATTCTGTGAATTAACTCGTTTTGGGAAAAATGGCGTAGGAGGAAACTTTCACAACAATGTGGTAATGGCCCTTCATCAGCTTTGTGCCGATAACGGATTCCTGGCTGTTAGTATCAACTTTCGGTAAGTGAACCGGCGGCGGTTGTCGAGAACAAAGGTCATGCTGACACGGATGAAAAAAACGGCGCAAGTGGCTGCGGTCATTCCAAAGGAAAACCTAGTTGGACAGGCATGCCAGAACGAGGCGATTACCAATCCGTTGTAGACGCTGTGACTCAGCCCACGGAGAAAACCCAACAATTTCCTCGCGCGCGGCAGCTCGTTATTTGTGTGAGTAGCATGCTTTCGGATAGCTTTCTCATCGGTGTCACAATCCGCCGCCTAACTGACTGAATTTCAAAAAAATATTGTTCACACAGGGATACTCTTTTGGTGCCATGGTAGCTTCCAGTATCGATGTGGTTGAAAATATTCCGTGTTCCTATCTACTCATTAGCTACCCTTTGAGTGTCACCTGGGCATTGGCCACGGTAAAAACAGGTTACTTTCGTACGCGGGCCACGGCTCTGTTACAACAGCGTGAAAATGATGTGTTGGTGATCTTTGGCTCCAACGACCAATTCACCGGCAAAGGATCATATGAAAAATGGCTTCAGCATAAAAGTGAGCGAGTCCGAACGGTGCTAGTGCCTGGAGCTGATCATTTTTGGATGGCCACCGAGCCACAAGATCAACTTGTCCGCGCCGTGAATGACTGGTTATCAAGAACAATAAAGTCATGAATTGGAAAAAAAAAGGGGACAAGCGACCATGAGAACATAACAAGGTGATGGTGTCATCCAACATTTGCGCAGTAAGATGACTGGGTTTCGAAAAAATCATCCGCATCATTTGTCCGGTCCATTCCATTCATATGGTATAAATTCTTTTGAACCTTAAAAAATAGAAAACTCCCGCGTACTATAGTTGCACACCTTGGCCAACTGTCGACTTTCTCTGACCACTGTAGTATTTGTTTTTCTCGCGATGCTGTTTTGTAGGATACGAACAACATGTTTAGTGATGAAAAAGTCATGCATAAAAGAGATGTTGTGCTGTATCCATGACAGCTCATTTGAGCTTTTTACTTTTTTTTTTCTGCCGGTGTAAAATTCCCCTTTTTGCCTGCCAATAAAATTATAAAGAGAATTCTCACGCCTGAATTTGTCTTGGTCACTTTCTTCACTTGTTCTTTTCCCCCCAAAACATGCCTATTACCTACATCACACGCACCGAATCCTTTTCCGCAGCACATCGTCTCCACTCTTGTCATTTGACCGACGAAGAGAATGCGCTCCTGTACGGCAAATGCAACCATGCCAACTTTCACGGACACAATTACAAAGGTAAGTGCCTTGACTGCGGTACTATTGGTTCAATGGTCTGCGTAAATACTAACTGGAAACGAACAGTTGAAATAACACTGAGAGGAAAAGTCGATCCTCGCACAGGCATGGTGATGAACTTGGTGGATTTAAAACAATGCATCAAGTTGGCAGTGCTGGATCCTCTGGATCACCGAAATCTGGTAAGTTGGGGAAAAGGACCTTGTCGGAAACAAGCTGTTGAACGGTAAAGTAGGACTTGGATGTGGAATATTTTCAGAAACAACCAAGGTATGAAAAGCAATTATTGTATAGTGGGCAACTGATAAGCTTATCTTTCTTTTTTTGGGGGAGGATTAGCACCACCGAAAACCTGGCCATCTTTATCTGGTCGAATTTTCAACGCCATTATTCCCAAAATCCAGCATGGCGATCATCGTCAGCACGATTATACAAAGTGAAGATACATGAGACAGATAATAATTCGGTGGAATATATGGGAGAAGAGGATGACGAAGCGATCATGGAGGGCAACAAATTACCGCAACCGTAGATACAGTCGTTACTTATTACTTCTTTTTAATCAGATCCATACCATCAAACACATACATCCTTATTTATTACCTCTAGACGAGTTAGTTATTGCTTTGTTATTCACACTTGCAGAATGACTGTGTAATTTTTTGCTTTTCCCCTTTTTTCGTTACCTTTGACTTGCCAAAAATGCATGAAAGATTTGGATTGGCTGGTGGCTCGGCCGCTGTTGGAGGAAGGTCGACGTCATTGACTTTTTATGAAAAATTCTTTCCCCGCTCCGGGTCGAAAAAATTTTTTCTATCCATTACAACCAATCTCGTGGAAAAAGGAATTCTCCCTCTTTTTCAGCTCCAAGTCACTTTCACCATGTGAGTAGCTTCTTCTTTGCCATTTCCTCTACATGCAACAAAAGAATAAGCTTGCTTCACAACATCGTCGAGTTGTTCGTCAACTTTGACTGTTTTTTGTTCGTGGCCGTTCCATGTCACATGTCAAGTGTTGTTGCATGTCGTCGACCCATGTCACCAAAAAAGCTTATTTTTTGGGGAAAACCCCATGTTCATCCATTGTTGTTTCCTGTAACTAATATGTCCGTTCTTTTCTCTTCAGGGTCAACTTGCGCACCCAGAAACGTCTGGCCTCTTCGGTCCTCAAGTGTGGTCAAAGAAAGATTTGGCTTGATCCCAACGAGGTCAACGAGATCTCCAACGCCAACTCTCGTAAGTTATTAACCACCTCCCGGACCTACACCGAAAGAGTGGCGCAGTAACTCATGACCCCCCTTTTTTTTTCTCCCTTTCGTGACAATTTAGGTGCCAACATTCGCAAGTTGGTCAAGGATGGTTTGATCATCCGCAAGCCCGAGATCAGCCACTCCCGCTTCCGTGTCCGTGAGCGCAACGCTGCCAAGCGTCTCGGTCGCCACATGGGCCACGGTAAGAGAAAGGGTACTGCTGATGCCCGTATGTCTCGCCAGGTTTTGTGGATGCGCCGCATGCGTGTCCTCCGCCGTTTGTTGCGCAAGTACAGAGAGGCTGGCAAGATCGACAAGCACTTGTACCACTCCTTGTACCTCAAGTCCAAGGGTAACGGTTTCAAGAACAAGCGTGTCTTGATGGAATACATCCACAAGGCCAAGGCCGAGAAGCAGAGAGCCAAGACCCTCAACGAACAAGCTGAAGTTCTCCGTGCCAAGAATAAGGCTCTCCGTGAACGTCGCAAGCAGCGCGCCGAGGAAAAGAGAACCGTCTCTCAACAGTAAATGTCATCCTCCCCGCATTTTTGAATCGTTCTCAATAAAAAGTAAAATCACACTTGTCATTAAAAAAATTGTCTCCATGGTGGCGTAGTCAGTTGGTTGCTCGGATCAGGAAAAGAAAAAAAAATCACAAAAGGAAAATCATGCTCCACACATCCTACATGCCATTATAGTTTGGTCACATAACACATCTTTGAATGACATCCTACAAACCCGAGAAACACTGATCTATTTTGCTGATCCAGCGAAAAAAAAAAGAAAAAAAAAAAGACACGCTAAATTATGGTTTAAATTCGTCGAGTGTTTCCATAACTTGATTCAAGATCCTCCACGGGTCTGAGCGAACCATGAAGCCTGGATCATAGAGAGTCTTATATGTTATTTTTATGATGATCTGCCTTACAATGAATATAACTATCACTTTATGAAAGATGGGTCGTAAAGATAGAGTCGCGCTTTTCCACGGTTATTGGGTGTGATAGTTCATGATGTGACACAAAATTCGTACCTTTTTGCTGCAGATTTTATTGATTTTCTCTTTGTCTCTCTCTTTCTCTCTCTCTTTTTCCTTGGATATGTCTTCATAGACTTAACCTTTGGCGATATTCCTCTCTGTTATTCTTTGCTATCCGTAAGCATGAATCCGTCGCCATCTTGTCCATCTCCGTCACCTGCTCCTCATCGCTTTCGCTCGTCCTTACCTAATAAATTGCCTGCTTTTGACAACTCCATTCTTGCTCGTCCATTGTCTTCGCAATCCCACCCTTTCCTCAATGACCGCTCTCAGTCATCGCCTTTACCAACCACCACCACCGGTCATCAACTTGACGCCCGGTATAGTAAAGGTAAGCTATTTTTCGTGATGAATTTTTTGCACCAGAATGACGCATAAAGTATTTTCGAAAAGAATTGCTGCTTTGTGTCGTGTCTCTCTCTCTCTCTCTTTCTCAATATTCTGTCGTCTAAAACGCGCTCAATGCAGTCCAGAGAAAAAAGCAAGAGGTTATAAACCCGTCAGAAATGGCACGATCCCCGATTGTTTACCCGGCTTTCTTATCTCGGGTCGCTTTTGAAATGCGGCAACGGGTCACATTGGGCGACCGTATTAAAAATAGCATCGAATATAAAAATGCGTTTGACGGCCAGGAAGCGGTGGTACGATCGATTTTCTGTTTGATCCTATCATGCAACCAGACACACCGACATTTTGATTGACCGGTTTTTAGGATAAAGTCGCCCTGATCATCAACACTTTGGATCGCCAGCTTGCTGTTCGCGTTGGAAGAGCACTCGCAACGCAACGTTTCTTTCACGACGTCAATTACGAAAATCGCCTCATCGATTCCTCTTTTGAAATTTACCAGTTTTTCTATGAACGAACCATGCCTCGACGGAACACCGACGTCGTCGTCTCTCCCAGCAATAGCAGCAACAGCAGTGTGAGCAGTACCGGGTTTCCCGAGGAGGACCATTTAACCTACGATTATCTTCCAAATGGTGTCTTTACCGAACTCACCCACTGCTATGTTCCAACCTGTCTTGGAAAAAACCCTTGCTACAGCTATTCTTGTCCAAAAAGAAACAACGCCAAGGTATGAATAATCATCCAAATCCATCCTTATGTTACACAATACAATGTTTCTCATATGCTTTATTAGCGACATCGGACAGAAAGCATGGGGACGCTTGGCCGACTTAGCAGTAACATGTACATACGACAGCAGCATCGTGGGTTATGGGCCGACACCGTACCCAGTGAATTGTATGCGACCATTTCCGGCACTGAACGTAAACGTCAAGAAAATATTTATGAGCTCATCTATACCGAAGACGACTTTATTGCCGATTTGGAGTATTTGGAAGAGGTACGAATCTTTATGATACTTGAAGTCAGTCCATCATCTCATCTTTTTTTTTTGGTTTAGATGTGGGTCCAACCTTTATTAACAACCGATATCATTCCCAGTGAGCGGCGAAACAATTTCGTTGCCAAAGTATTTCGTAATTTCAGAGAGATCCATCAAGTCAATGCTCGGTTTCTCAAAGCGTTGCAGGCACGGCAGTGTGAACATCCTATTGTCTTTCAAGTAGGCGACATCATTCTGGACTTTGTCATCTATTTTGAACCCTTCATCACCTATGGAGCGAGACAGCATGAAGCAAAAGATATCCTGGAAACAGAACTTTACCTCAATCCATCATTTGCCGCATTTGCCGAGGTAAACCTTTTTTCACATCCTTAGTCCTCGTAAACCATTTCGGCACTAACAAATTATGGATGGTTCAAAGGAAACGGAGCGGTTACCTTGCTCGTATAAACTTGAATTAAACGGGTACCTCACCAAACCCACCACACGCCTAGGACGTTACACCCTGTTATTGAACGAAATTCTGAAGCACACACCGTCATCCCATCCAGATCAAAAACTGATTCCAAAAGCTGTCAATGTCATCAAAGGTGTTCTTCATCGCGTCAACGCGGAAGCAGGCAAGGCCAAGAATCGCTTTGATATCGACCGCATTCATCAACATTTATCATTCAAATACAAAATGGATGAAACTGTAGGCGGATAGCTTTCAATGTTCGTAAAAAACAAACTTACCAAGGGTGTCCTCTTTTTTTCTTTACGCAGGATTTACAGTTGACACACCAAGGCCGATCCATTGTGAAACAGGGCATCCTTCGTAAAAGCGCGTCCTTGGATTCAACCGAGTACCAAGTCATATTATTCGACCATTATTTAATTGTGGCCAAAGTCAGGCTAGTCCACGGCATTGAGCAACATTATGTGGTCCAAAAAAAGGTGAATATAATCAACTGCGCCGGCATGTTAACTTGTATTAAAATCTTTGGTTAGCCCATCCCCATTGCATTGCTGTTGGCTACTATACCAGACATGCGTCCCAAACGTTCAAGTTCCATTCTTCCTCATCTACAAACCCAAAGCTCAGGCAATTTGGTGCGACGCGCCTCCTTGGAATTGATTCCCTTTGTTAGCAGCGGAAGTAGCAACTCTCCATCACCTACCCAAAGTACGGAGAATCTTTTATCGGCCAACAAAACTGGATACCCCATCTTATTCAAATATCTCGGTCGACAAGGGTGCCCAGGCTTTACACTGTACGCACCATCCAATGCGACGCGCAAACCATGGATTGATAAAATTCGTCAACTTCAAGCGACCAAAGATCGCCGACAACCTGTCTTTGATCTTTTGCCGGCTGTCCAGGAGTGTGCATTTCACGTTGATCTCCGAGTCAACCACATGATAACATTCAGTAAGCTATTACCTAAGCAGTGTGATACGGAAATAGTAGTTTTTTTCTTGTTCTGATTTACGGGTTTTAAAAGATAGGGGACAACAATATTTGCTGGCGACGGATGACGGTGTATACGTAGGTCATACGGCACAATCACGCGTGGCACATAAAGTGCTTCAACTCGAACGTGTAACTCAAGTCGAGGTCCTGGAAATCGCTGAAATATTACTCATCTTGGCGGACCGCACATTATGGGAATATCCTTTAGATGTGGTGAATAGCAAGCCAGATATGCAGCCTCCCGGACGCAAAGTGCAATCCCATGTTTCTTTCTTTCATGTCGGTGTGTGCTTGCAGAAAACCTTGGTGTGCGTGCCACGCGTGTCTTCGCTGAAATCCACCATTTCCACCTTTGAACCTACCCATGCAGCCGAACATCTTGCAAAGAAACAGGGACTTCTCGAACGCTTGGTCCGACCCTTGTCCTCTGCCAGCGGACTACACTTGAAACGGATCAAAGATTGCTACATTCCAAGCGAAGTCTGGGCCATTGAATTATCACCCAGCAAGATGCTCGTCACCTGTCCCCGTGGTGTCATTATGATCGACATGCAAACCGATAAACCCCAACGTAAGTCGCCTTTACTAAACACCACGCCCAACTATGTTTTGACCTTAATTACTTCATGCAGAGCTATTGAATCCAGCCGATAAAAATCTCTCGTTTATCACTGAGCGGGAACGAGAAGAATCCCCACTAAACTTGCGTCAAATATCGCGAAAACGTGTAGCCATTTTCCGTACGCCTCGCAAAGATTATTTTATTTGCTACGATGGTAATTTCATTGTGCATTCTCTCTTTGAAGTTGATGCTGATGTTATAGGGTTTTTAGAATATGCATTTTATATTGATGGCAAGGGCAATCGCACATTTCCCAACTTCTTGATTGAATGGGAAGGGTATCCCGAAGCCTTTGCTTTCAATTACCCTTATGTCATGGCTTTTGATCCTTCGTTTATTGAAATTCGCAACATCATTACGGTAAGATGCGGGCGGGCAATTATTTCCTTGTTCGGGTTTCAATGTTTGTAGAAAAGTGATACTGACAATCGTGGCATCTGCAGGGTGAATTGGAACAAGTGATCCGCGGTACACACATCAAGTGCCTGAATAATGGCCACAAGGCTGCACTGCCACTCATCTTTGGTACCATGACCGATCTCAATGATGGCACGTATCAATATATTTTCCAGCTTACATTGCATTCTCCGCCGTCTTCATCGGATCCTTCCTCTACTCTATCCTTATCAAATCTACGCATCTAAGGCTGCCATATAACCCCTTGAATTCTAGTTAATATTTAGCTACTACTGCGCTATTATAATTTAATCCACGTAGCGTGTTGTAATTCCTTATTCTGATAGTAGATCTGTCAGTTAGACTGTCCATATATTCGCATATCAAAGTGTGTATAATTTATTGATAACCGACTCTTTTTACAACTGAGATTTTTTGGATTCCATGGTATGAGCATTGATGGCACTGGCCATGTTGTAAATTGTCTCCAGGTGAGGAATATCGACACCTTTTTCTTTTGCGCGACGCACCGCCGTACCAAGAATAACTTCGACTTCCATGGGAGAACCACGTTCCAAATCCAATTGCCTAGGAAAGCGAAATGAAAGCAAACCAAATATCAGTTGAAAAATCCGGGGATGATGGGAACCGTTGTTACTGCATTTCTTACATGGACGGCTTATAATTTTGGGCGGTTTTCTCTGTTCTTTCCAACATGATTTGCGTCTGTTCTGCTACGTCAAAATCGTATCCCATAGCGCAGGCGGCTCTCACAACATCGCTGATCAGGTTTTTCACCGTGGCAACGGCATTCTCGTTGCGCAGCAATTCCGAGGTGTTCATACCCGTAATTGCACACACAGGAGAGAAAGAGGCATTCCTAAATCCACTATTAATACTGAGAGTAATAAGACAGAAAAAAAAGTGCCAAGTACCAGAACAATTTTTGCCAGCGGACGCGTTCAACATCATCGACTTTCTGAACCTCAACGTTTCCCTTTTCCAGTAACCCGATGAATTTCTCACGCTGTTGCTCCGAGTCTACGGGGGCGGCGTTATAACGACCAATGACCAGCGATTCACCCCCGCCCATACGAATGACACCGGGCTCCACCTGTGAAGTGCCAATATAAGCGACAATCGATACAATGGGGTTCTTTGGAAAGGCAGTGGTAATTGGCTCTTCAATGCCTGATCAATACAAACGATAGGGAGGTGAGGATTGAGTGATACATGATTTTTACCCAAACTGTCGGTGCGGGAAAATCCGTTACCTAAGCCGTTTTGCAGCAAGACGATGGTGGTGGTAGGCGAAACAGCCGGTGCGATCAGTTCAGCCACATTGTAGACTTCAGGCAAAGCTTTCAAGGTGACCAGGATATAATCGAAAGGTTCCTCGGAGGCGGCAGCAGCTTCAGACACCGTTTTCACCACTAATTCGGATCCAAGATCCAAATTAAAAAACAAATTAAAAATAGATTCACATACTCTATGCTTTGGACAGATCCTTCATCGCTACTGTTACAGGGAGGATTGAGTTTGTAGTATCCACATACCGTGATCAGGTCGGAAGATGGCTTGTCCAAACTTTTTGGAATCGATATTGAAACCGTTGGACTTGACTACTTCATAGTTGGAGCGGCACACCGCCGTAATATTGCACGATTGCGACAAGCGCCAAGAATAAATAGCACCCACGGCACCTGTGCCGACTGCAAGAGAGACACTGAGATTAGTTAGGGGATAGATGAGTGGAAGGCATGGCTACGGACCTGTGAGGATTCGAGCAGAATGAATTGTCATTGTAGAATGAGCACGACGACTGACGAAGCAAGCAGCGGTTATTTTATATTCCAGTTTGGAGACTGGACTCCGACGACGTGAGACATGAAATGACAGATTTCTCGCTTGAGCGTGCATATGGACATGACAATTCCGTAAAAAGATCGAGGAACTGATAAATAACATGATCTTATTACTACAAAAAAAAGGTACGGTTTCTAGAAGAACAAGAAGAATATGAGGAGAATAAATGCCCAAAGCAGCGATATCAACGTTCGGAGATCATTTACACATGTGTCATCTTTGAAACGTTACACCGTCAGTCCGATCCAAGAGGTTGCACATCCTGCAGCAAGCAATACAACTCGATTCGACGGTAAACCAGCCAGTGGTATGGGCGTCTTCACTGTAGGATCCTCTTCCACACCGCAGTTACCATGCTCATTCCAACCCCATGCAAGGACTTGACCTTGTGTTAGTGCCAATGCGTGTTCCGAACCACAGACGAACAGTTGCACATTGTCCAATGCCTGCAACTGACCATGATCGTTCCTTCCCCACATTATTAAACGATCCGCGCGATCCAGAGCCGCCGTATGATGCCATCCCGCAGAAATATCAGTAGCATGGATTGCCAAAGGTACCGAACTTTGGCCATATTTATCGGAACCAAAAGCATAGACCGTCCCTTCTCGACTTTTCAACACCGTATGCATGTGCCCGCATGCCACTTTGGCGATCGGTTCAGAAAAATTCCAGGCTTGCACGGGCCGTATACTTTTAGGATAGACCATGCCGCGATCGGGACCAAGCTGGCCATGGCGTCCCCAACCCCAGCTGTAGACTTGACCGTGACCATCCAAAGCCACGACATGACGCCAACCACAGGCGACAGCGACGATATTGGAAAGCTGTGCATCGATTTCAATCGGAATGTCGCTGGACATGGGCAGTTCTCCACACTTGGCTGACCCAAATCCGTAAACGCGACCCTCTTCGCTCACTGCAATGGTAAAAGCCCAGCCACAAGCCACGTCTCGCCACCGGTGTTGTCGCAACCAAGCCGGTCGCTGAAACTGGTGCCAACTTTCGCTGTCGGACTGGGTATTGGAGAGTCTTGGTATATCGCCCCGTTGTGAAGCGCCCGTCAGGTAAATCTCGCCCTGACATGTCAAAGCAGCGGCATGATTGCCACCACTTGCAATTTTTATTATCGACTGATTCTCAGGTAGACCGAGACAAGGGGTGAGGATAAAGGTATCGTCCGTGTGACCGATCCCCAGTTGGCCGTTACCATTGGACCCAAAAGCATACACTTGCATTGCCATGGTCGTCGGTTGACTGGGAGCCGCGACCATTTTTTCCCAAAAAGTGGACCAGACCCCAGATGCGGCAGTCAAAAATTTCAACTCACGTGAACTAGGCACCTCTTGCCAAGCGCTCGCGCACATAGTAATTCCAACTTTTTAGTCCAACTGCGCACCTGGTTTCTCATAAAGAAGAGACACGATTGGTCAGAGTGGAATGTCCGCCGAACATTGTTATTTAGAAAACCGTAATCCACGAGAAAAGACTAGAATCTAGCTAGCTGAACTAGAGTCCCAAAGGGAAAGCGTTTCTCCAAGTCGCCGATTGAGCGAGAAACCAATAGAATGGGAAGAGTTAAAGTGACCCGTTGGGTCAGATTATTTTAAGTCTTACCCAATAGAAATGTATTTGAACCTGAAAAAAATCATCAGATATGCAGTTTGCAATCGAAGTTTGAAATTTTTTTTAACGTTGATCAGTGTATCCGCAAGGGATCTACCATTGATCAAGAAGTATATCGCTGATTATCAAATTAACGACCAGACGATCGTTGCGGTCTCGAAATTTTTAAGCAGGGATATTCAATGAATGCCAGTGCGGACTCTTATCTATCGGAACACGCCTATTTGTCCCACCATCCAATTAGCCTTTTTTTTTCGCTTCTCCCATTCGTTTCCCCTTTTTCTTCATTATTCATAGTATACTTTGATCGTTTTCAATGAAGAGGACAGATGTCAATTGCACCATATCAGCAGCGTGCATATGAGCAAAGATAGCATAAGGGGGATTCGGAAACACGACAATGCTCGACATGGATTTTTCCATGATGCAACGTGAAAAACAAAAACGCTGTGGATCCAGACTACCAGAAGCATCATTTGTGTAACATCGAAACCAACCACCCAATGTCTAGATCGCCTGTCAATTAACAAAGGATCAGGGACATCCCATACCGGATCTAGTTAGTGGGATGATAAGATGCCACCCTGCTCTTAATATCAATCTGCGGTTATTGAAAAAGTAAAAACTTTTTTTTTCAATGGATCCCAAAGGGCCCACTCCAGAGTGGTATAAATAAGCAATGAATGCTCACAGCTGGTTTTTTTATTCCTCATACCAATTCATCATTTCAATGTTCCGCATTCTCCTTCTTACCCTTGTTCTCCTGCAAGTCATCACTACTGCATTGAGTGCAGCCATTCCTCCCCAGAACCGCAACCTTGAGCTGGCCTCCAACGCGGTCTCTGTTCCCATGTCGATGTCCACTGGTATGGCCGACTCTGCTCGCGATATCAAGAAGCGAGATAGTGACGATGACGATGACGATGATGAAGATGAAGATGACGATGATGACAAGAAGAAGCATCACAAGCATCACCATAAACATGACGACGACGACGATGATGATGATGAGGATGATGACAAGGACAAGGACAAGGACGACGATGATAAGAAGGACGATGATGACAAAGACAAGGACAGCGATGACGATGATAGCGATGATGGTAAATCCTACCATGGTACCGCTACTTGGTTCAAGCCTGCTTCTGAAGGTGGTTCCGAAGGTGCCTGCAGTGGTGAAGAAGAAGATGATGACTCCAACATTGTGGCTTTGAACGCTGATCAGTACGGTGGTGACAGCAAGTCTTCCTGGTGCGGTAAAAAGGTGTCTATCAAGGGTCCTAAAGGCGAAACCACCGCTAGAATCACTGATGAATGCCCCGATTGCGATGAAGGCGATCTCGATCTGACCCCGGCCGTTTTCAAGAAGGTCGTTGGCGACATGGATATCGGCGAAGCTGATATCTCGTGGCACGTTGTTTCTTAAATATGTACTCTGTTAAATTTGTTCTCTTGCTGGATAAGAGACTCTTGTTTCAATAAATAGTTTCATTTGCATTACACTTCACACATCAATACATCAACTCCCTCTCATTTCTCAAAAAACTATTTGATCTTTATCGATGCATCCACTCGATTTATGATAGTTTATATTCATCACACATTATTTTCTCGAGATATGTGGCCGCGCGTCACTTTACACACTTCACTGATTGATATTACCTTGGACTTACAAATATGGAGTAGCTTCTGGTGCAAATTGAGTTGCACCTTAACCCGTGTAAATGAATTTGAAATGCATGCATCACATCTCAAATTACGATAATTTTTACACCCTCTACGCTGCTGAAGCTCGTAATAAACCAGCAATAAAATGTAAAGTTATTATGGATACGTCAATGGTTTATAGAAGATGTTGTCAAGAAGAGACGCACAATGATCTGACAGCAAGTTTTGAGGATATATCGAGCATACGTGCATGGTAATACAAACCTTAATTAGGTGGCACCAAAAACTTGTTCCTTGCATATGTGTTACGAAATTTGACAGCTACTTCTTGTCATTCGCCATCAGCAATGGTTTTGTGTTTTTTAACTTCCCTTGAAAGTGAAGGCTTAGTCTAATCAGTTAAATTGGTCTGAGATGAAAATTGAGACTTGATATTGTCGGCCAAAAAGAAAAAGAAGAGGAGCATTTTCGACCTACTTTAGTCTTTGTTGAATGTTCCTTGCCATTGCCAGGAACGGATATGAAATATCACGAGTACCGTACAATAGGTGTTTCTGTATCCACGGCGAGCTGATCGTTTTTATTCAGCAGTGATGTTTTTAAAGGCTGTCGACTGACACGGGAAACATGTACCTTTGTTTCCAGGGCATGATCACGAGATATGCTATCAAATAACACCTAAATTATATGCATCAGTATCATCCTGTAATTTCAACCCGCGAGTCCATTATGGAAACGCATCAGATCTATCAATTGATCAGCTCCCCGCTACTGTATCTTGAAATACATATGAGCGGAACTATTCCAAATGGACCCAAAACAACGTTCCAGGCACTTTTGTGCGTTGATATCTATTTACTCTTCTTTACTTTGGATCATATTTCGTTGTAGCTCTTAACAAGCCGTACACCCGCTGTGCAATGGATGCCGCCTGCCACCGGAGGCCGCCCTCTTACATTGAGCGACTTTCGTCAGACAAAAAGCCTAACGCATACACGGCATAACCTGGACGAGAACTCTTGACGGAACTTCGGTATATTAATGACAACCTTATGGCAATACCATGCGTCGTGATTTGTTTCTGAACACGCGCAAAGCAGCACTGGTTCCCCCCCTCAGTTCCATCCCGCCCAGGCTATGATAGATCTACAAAGATGTGTGGGTATGTTGGGTATTTAAAAAAAATGAGTTAGTAAGCTCTTTGATTGATTCAAATTTTCGTCAAGATATTTTACCTTTGTTATTTGAGTTTTCGATAGCCATTGATCGCTTGACATGACTTGGATTATATGACATTGAAAAAAAGTTTGAATTAGTATACGTTCATTACATCATAGCAAAGGAAAAGAAATTGGACTTGCCTTTGAACCAAATGGTGTACCGGAAAAAAAAAGATGAATACGGACCGCCAGGTAAGCTTCTTCTTCGATGCGGAAAATAAACTTGCTTCCAGGGACAGTTAAGCGATGGATCGGTGGTGTCAGCTTGAGCAGGCAAAAAAATATTGACGTGGCCAGAAGTGACGGTAATTTCGAGCTGGATTCCAGATATCGAGAGTCCCCCGAATAAAAAGAAGAAAAACAAATAAAGTACATGATGATAAAAAAAAACAATGGTCGCGTCAGTAAAAACCTCCTAAAAAACCCTGTGGGAAAAAAAGAGGAAAAGACTGCGAAAAGAATATGTACATGAAATATAAATACAAAATACAAACTATAAACTACAAAATAAATAATCGGGAAGACATCTCGAATACCATATGATGAGAAGCAATCCAAAGGAGAGGAACATGAAGAGGACACGTAAGCGTTTTCCTGATTAAAAAAAGAGCCACACCACCAACGATGGCCTTTTACGTCATCCGATTTCGCCAGATGGATGAATGGATGGATGGATGGCGAGAGAAAGTCAACTTGTAGTATCCAGAACTTGTCAGGCGAAAAGAAAACGGAAACCGGAAGCTGGAAGAAGGATGGAAGTAAAGGAGAGGTAAGTCTGTTTTGCCGGAGCAAAATCGATGGTAGACCACTCGACGCTTACCTTTTTGAGGATGGTGGTCAATTTAACCAAGTTAGGTACACGGGATAAGAATGGGCTGGATGATGGATGCGGATGGGATCTTGATACAATGATAGTGAGGTTTATCAAGCAAACAGAAAGAGAGAGAGAAAATCAAAAGAAGAAAGATAAAATTGAAGACCAAAATATATGATTTCCCATGGATGAAACAATAGTCACCCTTCTGATGCATGAATTCATAGATCGAAGCACGTCTGCTTATGTATTATTCGATTCATTGAAAATTCAAAGAGAATGAAAGGACATATACAGTATAACTGACAAAAAAAACAAATCAGATGATGCTACAGAAGAACGCCAGTCGTATCATCAACCACTTTTCTTCAAAAAGAGCTCTACTCACATTTTTATTCGAAAAACGACGATACTCTGTTTGACCAGAACTGGTGCAAACGGCATCTTGCTGCTGATTGTTTCGCCTATTACCGTGGAAGTGGGTAGCGAGGCATGGCTGAAAGATGAAAAAAAGGTTTAACAGGTCCTGATAACTTAGTGTAGATCATGTGTTTTACACCAACTTATCAGGACCTGTTAATTCTTTTTGCACCTTCTTTTTTTTTGTCTTTCAGCCATGCCTCGCTACCCACTTCCACGGTAATAGGCGAAACAATCAGCAGCAAGGTGCCGTTTACGCCAGTTGTGGTCAAACAGAGCATGTCGTCTTCCAAATAAAAATGTGAGTAGAGCTCTTTTTGAAGAAAGGTGGTTGATGATATGACTGGCGTTTCTTTTGTAGCATTATTCGATTTGTTGTTTTTTTTGTCAGTTATACTGTCATTTATACTGTATATGTCCTTTCATTCTCTTTCAATTTTCAATGAATCGAATAATACATAAGCAGACTTGCTTCGATCTATGAATTCATGCATCAGTAGGGTGACTATTGTTTCATCCATGGGAAATCATATATTCTTGTCTTCAATTTTATCTTTTTTCTTTTGATTTTCTCTCTCTCACTATCATTGTATCAAGATCCATCCGCATCCATCATCCAGACCATTCTTATCCCGTGTATCTAACTTGGTTAAATCGACCACCATCCTCAAAAAGGTAAGCGTCGAGTGGTCTACCATCGATTTTGCTCCCGCAAAACAGACTTACCTCTCCTTTACTTCCATCCTTCTTTTAGCTTCCGGTTATCTTCGTTTTCTTTTCGCCTGACAAATTCTGGATACTACAAGTTGACTTTCTCTCGCCACCCATCCATCCACCTGGCGAAACCGGATGACGTCAAAGGCCATCGTTGGTGGTGTGGCTCTCTTTTTAATCAGAAAAACGCTTACGCGCCCTCTTCATGTTCCTCTCCTTTGGATTGCTTCTCATGATATCGTATTCGAGTTGTCTTCCCGATTATTGTATTTTTATGTTTCATGTACATATTCTTTTCGCAGTCTTTTTCTCTTTTCTTCTCACAGGGTTTTTTAGGAGGTTTTTACTGACGCGACCATTGTTTTTTTTATCATCATGCACTTTATTTGTTTCTTTCTTTTTATTCGGGGGACTCTCGATATCTGGAATCCAACTCGAAGTTACCGTCACTTCTGGCCACGTCAATATTTTTTGCCTGCTCAAGCTGACACCAGCGATCCATCGCTTAACTGTCCCTGGAAGCAATCTTATTTTTCCGCATCGAAGAAGCAGCTTACCTGGCGGTCCGTATCAACTTTTTTTTTCCGGTACACCATTTGGTTCAAAGGCAAGTCCAATTTCTTTTCCTTTGCTATGATGTAATGAACGTATACTAATTCAAAATTTTTCAATGTCATATAATCCAAATCATGTCAAGCGATCAATGGCTATTGCAAACTCAAATAACAAAGGTAAAATATCTTGACGAAAATTTGAATCAATCAAAGAGCTTACTAACTCATTTTTTTTAATACTCAACATTCCCACACATCATTCTAGGTCTATCATAACCTTGGGCGGGACGGGACTGAGGGGGTCCATAAGTGCTGCTGCACACATGTTTGGAAATCATGACTGTACGGTATGCCAGAGTATTGACATTAATATACCAAAGTTCCATCAAGAGTCTCGCCCAGGTTATGCCGTATTGCGTTAGGCTTTTGTCTGATGAATGTCGCTCAATGTAAGGGGGCGACGTCCAGTAGCAGGTGGCATCCATTGCACAGCTGGTGTACGGCTTGTTTATGTAGCAATGTAGTAATAGTAATTTGTTTCTGATCTTAGTCTTTTACAACGGTGGTGGGTGCTTTCTATGGATTTTTTAGCTACCACTGCTCATCCAAATTTCAGGTCCGAAAGCCATAGGCAGCAGCATACCTGATCGTCACTCAAAGATGCGATCAAAAAGTCGTGCACCAAGGTCATTGACCAGCAAAAGGGATACCAACTCACCTGCATGTTGGAAGAAGATGTGATGGAAGATCTGTCGAATTTCATCGGTATCATCAACTCAAAATGGCCCATCCGAGAAGGAAGTCATCACGTCAGCCGATACACATGTTTAGAAATCGCGCATGTTTTAACACCTTAGATCTTGTAATGCAATACACATACACAAAGAATGAGAAAAGAGAGAAAAAGGAAAAAAAAAGGAAAAAAGAGAAAAACTTTTTATCTATCTAGATACATGAAGATGATTGTATTGAAATTTAGTTTGGTTCAGCTTCCAAAACAGTACCACGCTTAATCTTGCCCCAACCAATAAGACTGCAAAAAGATAGCAAAACAACATGAGTATAATGTGGCCCATTTTTCGTATATATGCAAATTCAACAAGAATAGCCACTTACCGCCAATGTCTTTCAATCTTTCGAGATAACGCGACCTTGTCACCAACGTCGGTACATGTGGGACCGGTAAGCACGATCTTTGCCAAATCTGCCTTGACGCCTACTACTCGGCCACCAGTGGAGACGGAACCAATATTGACCAACAACAATTCACCCTTGGTAAGTTTTGCAACCTTGGCTTGTTTCTTATCATCTGTCTTGACACCAAGCAATCGGCGTAACAAGAAATATGAGATTTCCAATTCAGTGTAGATAGAAGGAAGGGTGCCGGGATAACCCAACACTTGACCAACAAGACGATCACCACGGCAAAGAGTAGGATCCATTTGTGTACCAACACCTAGATAACACAAGGCGATAAGTTATTTTCATGCATGATCTTTTTTTTTGTCATCCATTCCCTTTTACACAAAAAAACCGACCCACTTGATCTCCAGAAAGTCACTTACCAATCAAACCACCAGGAACAGCAAATTGCAATTGATTGCTTTCAGTGGCGAGGGTCAAAATCTTGGACAAGATGGGTCTGGCACGAATCTTGCCTTCCTGATCTTTGATAATGACACCAGGACGCACTTCGATTTCGTCTCCAATCTTCAACACACCCTTCAAAATTGAACCACCAGCCACGCCACCTTGCAATTGGTTGACGTCGGCACCGGGCTTGTTGATATCAAAGGAACGAATGACAATAAGGCGAGGATCGGCGGTGAAATCACGAACAGGAATAGGAATCTTCTTGGTGATGTATTCGTTGATAGCGTCAATATTGTATTTAAGCTGAGCAGAAATGGGAATGACGGGGGCGCCGTCGGCCACGGTACCCTTTACAAAGGCCAAAATATCGTCGTGCTGTTCTTGTGCTGCTTTTTCCTTGACCAAATCAACTTTGTTTTGCAAGATGATGACGTGCTTCAATTTCATAATTTCGATAGCAGCCAAATGTTCAGAGGTTTGAGGTTGAGGGCAAGATTCGTTACCGGCAATCAGCAGTAAGGCGGCGTCCATGACAGCGGCACCGGACAACATGGTCGTCATGAGAATGTCGTGACCGGGACAATCGACAAAGGACACATGTCGAACCAGTTGCATCTTGCCGCCACAACCAGGACGTTCGCAAGGAGGATGATCTTCCTTAGAGGAAGCGTACGATCGGTAACATCCAGGACGGGGACATTCAGGATTTTCACACTTGTAAATCTTGGCATTGGCGTAACCCAACTTGATGGTAATATTTCTTTCCATTTCATTTTTGAAACGAATGGTCTATTGACACAAGTCAAATGAACATTAGCCACGGAATGGGACAAATCGACTACTTTTTTCTTCTTCTTGGTCGGCTCAACTTACCTGGACTCCAGAAATGGCCTTGACGACCGTCGATTTACCGTGAGCTACGTGACCAATAGTACCTATTTGATTGAAGCCACATTAGTCAGTCTTTTTTTTTTTTTTTCTTCATGTGCCTTTTCCAAAGCCTCCCGTCCCAGTTCCTCTTTCGCACTCACCAATATTGATAGTCGCCTGCTTTGAGATGACCTCTGGTGACAAAGGCGTCAATGTAGAGGGATCAATATTTAAAACTGCAGTTTCCGCCATATTGAATACTAGAATAAGAAAATGGAATAACAAGGAGGCATTAGCGATGCATGTTTGACTTGGGTCATGGTGTCGTAATCCAGTTGTCCAGTGCCACCATCGCGGCTACTTACAATAAGTTACTTGTGTATTGCCAAAGATGAGAGAACAAGTTTACGCAATCAACAAATACAATGGAATCAGAAAAAGCAAAAGTACAAGATTAAACTTTTTTTGTTCTCTTCTCTTTTTCTACAGTGGTCCCAAAAGCACTTCCAAACCAAACGATCCAGTCGCCACCACATTACAAAACAGAAAAAAATTTGGCAGTCACGTGCACCTTCGCTGAAATCTTACGTCACAATCGGGATCAGCTTTTTTTTTTGACGAGTTGCCGCTCAGTTACAATGCCCGGGAAGCTTGGAAGGGACGAATCTAATCCTCATTGCTATGTGGCCTGCTTGTGTGCAATACCAACTTTGGAAGGATAAAGTGTGTTCATTTGATTTTTTGATATTTCTACAGTACACTGCCGTCATCTGGATTGTGAGCTTTTCACTGAGACTTGAGCAGGATTCGCCTAACGATCTTCAACCATTTTGAGTGTTGTGGTCTAGTATCTTCTTGAACTGCTTATCACATAATGTATCTATGTGACTTCGTCTACGTCGTTTATCTGGTGGACTTCTTGGTGGACCTGAAAGGGACGATACCATTGATAGATTATTTTGAGGGTTGCTAGGGGCAGCAACGATGACATTTTGTAAGAAAAAGACCATGTGATCTCGAAATAACGCATGACAGGCGCATGGAATATACGACGAAAAGAACTCCGCAGCATGGTTGATATATTGTAATAGCTTTGATAAAGTGCTATTCTTGAAAGACCTTTAAAAAAGGACAGCGAATCCATCGAAGTGGGGTATCATATCCACAATCAAGCCTGATTTCATTAGCAGCAATGCAATTCAATTTAATTCTTTTACTTCTGGGTATCGCCAGCGTGTATGGTCAAGGTGTTGCTCGACGTGGAGAAACGTGCCATGTGCGAAGACAGAATAACAATATTGTGGCGAATCGTCCTTGTGCGGACGGACTCGTGTGTGCTGGTTTTGGTCCTGCCGTAGTGTTTCCTCCGGGAGGCGGAGCTCCTAGCCTCAACTATAATCTGTATCGTGGCATTTGCATCCGTCAAAAGGATATCGAGCAATAATATCGTAAAGCTTTTCAGGAGAATCCTTTCCCATCGCCACTTTTGTACTTCTTATTTTGAAAACTGTAAAAGCCAACGAATTGATGAAATAAAAGGATTGCAAACCGATAATTGAGCTTACCATCGTACCATCGCGGCAATGGTGTATATGTATGACAATTTTTTTGTTCAGAAACGCAGTATGCTATTTCGCTTTTCTTTTTTGACATGCTTGCTTGTCTGTTAGAATGACAAATATGATTTACGGTGGAACATTTTTTTAAATGAGAAATGCATATGTGCTTATTTACAATCTATCAATGTCTATCTTTTTGTAGGTCAAAGGACACGGGATCATTAAGCGCATTTTCTTAACTTGACAAGAAAGGCTGTATGGCCCCGCACTTCGAAATTCTTCGGTCGGCAAACCCAGGCACCAATGTTTTTTGTGCCTTGCATTTCCGTGTCCTGTTCAGCCTGCCGTTTACGGATGACCGTCGGCCGCACTTCCCATTCTTTCCATTCCGTGTCGATACAGGTTTCCATGGCAAGCGGTAAGGATTGAACGGCATCCAGAAGGTCCAGTACTTGAGTCATGTTCGGAAGATAGCATACCAGAAATCGGTCGTTCTTCAGGTACGGGATGACACGTGGTAGCTCTTCTACCGGTTCCGGCATGTCAAGAACAATGCCGTCATAAATTTCCTCTCTCTCGCGAAGGGTGGATGATAGCGTCTCGCCTACCGATCCAAGATGGAAGTGGACCGTGTCGCGGTAACGACCCCGCCGAAATCGTTCAACATGCTTTTGCGCAGCACGCGAATGTTGTTCTCGTACGTCAAAGGTGTCAATCCTTCCGGCTAATCCCACAGCGCGGGCCAAATACAGTGTGAGCGATCCATTGCCTGTGCCGGCTTCAAGAATACGCTGATCGGGTTCCAGATCCAGCAACTCGACCTAATTTCCTTTCTTTCGCTTAATAATGCTCGTCAGGCTGATCCGATTCCTAGGTTCTGTTGCTCACTTACAATAGTGGAAGCATCCTTGGGATAGATAGGCGTACAAGCGCGTGGAACATTCAAGACGTATCTATTTTCGGTGATACAGCAATGTAAGGCTTGCTGTGGCTGATGCAGTATTGCGGATCTCATTACTTACTCATCAAGCGTCGGGAAATGAGCCATATAAGCCGCCGTTGCTAAAATTTCACCCATGCGTCAGAATGTTTGAATCAAAGAGCCATTGTAAAAAATGATGTAGTTTACCAATGTTGGTACGAACGATGGCGCGAGGTGATTGACCGATAATGTCGCTGTGAGGGACGATGGCTCCTCTCAGATCACGTTTGGCATCAGCTTCCAGAGGACCGACAAAATACTTCTTATTGGACTTTACGTTTCGAAGTATACAGAAATCGCCGGCTTGGAAAGTACTTTGATATGCCCTTTGTATGGAAGAATTTAGGCTATGTGGCGAGGAAAAGATTCTTCGGCACCATCCGAAAGCACAATTCATCGGATGAGTTGTGAAAGATTATTAACCAAAGCACCAGAGAAAAAAAAATTTACTTGAATTTTCTCAATGGGTATCCGAGAGATCGTACCCAAACCACTTTTTGTATGATATAAGATTCTCATAAGAATTATTTCATTCTGATCATTTACGTAGATCGCTGCTTAATTATGCATATATATCTTGTATGTTCCTTTCTGCAGTTGATCAAAGAGCGCTTCTGTGACAGCACCTCGTTGTCTTGAGTAAAATTTGATTGGCGCGTGAACCTCAGGGAAGTCCCGCTTTTAAGCACACTTCTTCCACGCAACACTTTCTCTATACCCGCTGTCCCCAATTCATTTCAAATCGACTTGAGGAATGAGAGAAGATCCAGAAACCTATGACACCGCTATTCGAGCAACCAATGACGATGCTACGATAAGCAGACTGTGAGCCCTTTTTTCACAGCAGCATCAAGTTCCTCCCACTGCATAACTTACCAGGCATGCTTAGATCGGCCGTTCGATTAGGTTACTTTTCAGATCCTTTTGTCCATTATTTTGTTCGACGCCCCATCACACGTTCTCCCATTATTAACCGAGGTAATGGACGCGACTCACCGTATCCAAATAAGTAGCAAGACACCACTGATAATTCGTTTCCTGCAAAAACAACAGGATCCTATATTCGCAACTTTGCCCTCAACAGTTTATTGCAACAGTTTATTGGCATACCAACCGATAAGAAGAAGCAGATTGTTTCTCTGGGTGCAGGTTTTGATACTCGATATTTTATGCTCCAGGTAAAAAAGAGGACGAAGCTTATCACAAAAAAAAGTGGAATCAGTGATGGATTGAGCCCATAGTCTGGACAACTCGGAGGAAATGACCGCGTTACGGGCCAGCTACACCGCTATTTTGAAGTGGATTTTCCAGAGATTGCTATGAAAAAAGCCATGACCATCAAGCGCCATGCTGAACTGAACAAATGGCTTGGCGACCGCGTCATAGTGGAGAAGGGAGGCATGGAACTCAAGGGGGACGATTACAGCTTGATTGGCGGCGATCTTCGTGAATGGCATAATATCGTGCAGCGACTTTTATATCACGGCTTTGATATGAATGCCATGACTTTGTTCGTCTCGGAATGTGTATTTATCTATTTATCACCCACCGATTCTACGACGATTTTGCAATGGATCACCGACCATATTGAGGACGCCATGTTTACCTTGTACGAGCAAATCCATCCATCTGACGCGTTTGGCCAAATGATGATCCGTAACTTGCAAGTAAGACGTTGCTGTGTTACCGAGTCCCTTTTGTTTGGAAAATTTGACACCAGATCTGTCAATTAGTATCGGAACATTGAACTCAAAGGTATCCATGCCTACCCGGATCTATCGGATCAGGAGAAACGGTTCAAAGCGCTGAACTGGGATGGCGCCAAAGCCGTCGACATCAACACGATTCATGACAAATGCTTGGACAATAAGGAAAAAGGCCGGTATGTGCACAAAACAGAAGGAATGGTTGGGGTGGTCCAATAACGCCAGCGACGGTTAATTTTTAGGATGGCTCGATTAGAGATCTTGGATGAATTAGAAGAATGGCATCTGTTATCAGCTCACTACTGCGTTGCATGGGCTTACAAATCCGGCTCCACTAAAGAAGCATTTGCAGCGATCGACCTTTTGCCCCACTGAAACTCTCTCCCCACATAAAAAATATATACATATTGTAACTATACTTATTGCAACTGTGTCTACGAGTGAGCATCTTATTATTTATCTTTATCCTTTTCATCTGGTGAAGGAGTCGTGCGACTACTACCCTTCATCCCTGCATGGGTATAGATGAGGGTACCAAAAATGACGAGTGCCGTGCCGATTTTCGCTCCGATGCCGAACTCATTATCGAAAACGACAATTGAGATTAACAGGGACGTGAATTTACGTAGGTTGAGGACGAGATTCAGAGTCAACGAGGTTGCTACGGCGGTCATTCGGTTAACACCTGCAATACAAACGTATTGTGTCAAGACGTTCAACAACAAATAGCCCCAAAGTTTCGGGATACGGTAGGATGCTAAAGCGGTTTGGATGTTAGGTGGCAAAGGCAAAGATTCAAGGACGGAACCGAATCCAGGGACTTGACGAATGATGTGCGGCAGCGGTGTTGCCGTCGATCTCGAATACACGGACGCTTGTTTGATCAGATCGTTGTAAAACAGCAGAAAGAATGGAAGAGCAAGGAAATGCTAAGAATCGGTTTAAATACGCGAGTCTCCACTTGGCAGTTACCACATTGCATAACTTACTGTGTAGAATAAACCCTCTCGCCACTGTTTACCGTACTTTTTATACGTGACTTCTTGATACAAACCCATTCCAGCCGATAAAACCATGGCAATCACCAATAGCGCGATGCCGGTTAAAAACTCGGACGTGCTACCAGTAGTCTATGAGATCATGTACGACTTAATGAACTCGTCACTGTTTGCTCGAACTAGTCCTGTTGGATCTATCCATTACCTCTTCATTTTTTGGGGTGGAATTATCGATGGTAGACCAGATCACACCGATCGTAACAAACAAGACGCCCGCGATTTGTTCAAAGGAATATCTAGAACACGAACAAAAATGAGCCGCTGTTTTCTTTGTACGGTTTGGTTCTTCCTGACAGACAGACGAGGAGCTTACCTTTTCTTCAAAATCAATGCGCCCATGGCCATATTGATAATCAAGCCACCACTGCGGAAAATGATATGCAAAGGAACCGAAATGTGATATCCCAAAGCGAGGTTATTCAAAACCGAGACAAGGAAAAACAAGACGACCAAAAACAGCCAACGCGACAAGGGAACCACCGTCGGTTTAAGTCTTGGACCGTATCGAGTCCACGTCAATTGGTGCCGTAATCCTTCTACTGCAACAAAGACGAATTGGCCAAACGTCACCAAATGGCCTAGAGTAACATTAACGTAAGTCCCGAGTCAAGGAACCACATTCTGCTACTGGATACATACCACTTTTAGGTGCATCTCTATTGAAGAAGAAAGCATAAAGAATAGATTCCGTAGTAAGTCACAGTTCAATTGTCGCAGTAATGGACCTGAAATAAGTTAAAATTACGTGACCAAGACTTCCAATGCAAACACATTGCTGCAGCATCCACCAAAAATAAGGGACAATATAAGCGGCAACTCTCCAGTTGCCATGTGCAGCAATGCACTGCCAAATGTCGTTGAAGTCATAAAGAGAGCTAACTTGTAACATCGTCAATTGTATTCCAACGCTTTTTTTGGTAGTACCGGCTAAATTTTGACCGAGTCCCAGTTTGGAAATCGACCCTTCATCAGGATCATCCAAGAAATACGCAATCCATCTTGATATTGACGCTTTGGCGATATTGGCTTTATGACACCATGTGAAATCATTGGCAACCAGAGTAACACCTGCGAAACGTCTATTTTTACCATGGCTATCAGGCACTGGAGGCCGACCATATCCGCTGAATATCCGCTGAAATATCAAAGCTGCACGTACCTTCAAGAATCATACGTTATATGTTGGCTGTTTTGAAACGGGCATCTGTTAGTTTATGGTATGATAAAATTTAGAAAAAAAAAAGGTTTTTTACTCTACAGCCTCTGATCAGCCTCGTGCAAGATAAGATGCAAGCATGCAATACTGTAACCTCACCGACAGCGGCATATCCACTCACCTACCCGTTCTCAACTTTAAAAAAATTATGTGCGTCTTTCAAGGTTTTTTTTTTTTTTTTGCCATTTCGATTAGCTGTATTTAGGTTATAAGTTTATATAGTAAACAATATAAAATCAATAGAATTTAGCATCGACATTTTCTTTCGATCTCTCATTTTGTTATACCGTATCACTCAGTGCTTATTAAAAAGCGCGATGTCCGTTCGTCAAAGTTTAGATTAACATAAATAAAAATAAGAAAGGTGGGGCGACGCGTGAACAGGGCCAACCAGGCACGAACCGCAAAGGCGATAGATGATTCGTCTGCGAATCAAGGTTTTTTTAAGTTGAACGCGGTGGATCAAGCAGGGATTTTGCCATTTTTGAACAATTTAGTGTAGTTTTTGGGCATTCTGGAGTTTCCGGACCCAGATATTGATGCACCGATGTTATGATTTGCCGTCTGGAGGGGGATTGTTTTGATTGGCGGAGTCCCGCTTGTTAATTTCTTGTGGTTCTCTTTGTTGTTTGTGTCGTGATCCCTCCCAAAGGAAAATTGCCTGAATAGTGGATGCAGTCTGATCACGTTCACATAAGCAATAGCGCTCTCTTACATACACCGTGGGCATCTCCATCCGATATAACCTTTTGCTAAGGGTAGCCCCGTTGGTCATCGAGTCAGAATAAGTAAAGCTTGCTTTTTACTTTGACGACCAAAAACGTTGCCTTCCACCAATGGCTGTTATGATGTCACCATTGGACAAAAAAAAAAGGTAAGAGGGGTCGCAGGAGGTGCATAAATGTTATAACGTTAACGCTGCATGTTACTTCTTTTCAACCTCTTCATTATTCTTTAATTTCATTCCACCTATTTTTTTATTGCATTTATCTTTTGCTCCTTTGCAGGCATGAGCACCCGTCCGCACTCTCTTCGCCTTCCACGGAACGCAGCACCCATACCGTTTACATCCAATGATAATGACAATGATAAATCAAAACAAGACTCTTGTCGTTCGCTTTCTTTTATCCATGATGCGTCCTCTTCTTCCTTTGAACAACTATCGAAACAACTCGCAATATCGTGTCGGTCGCCTTCGGCGTACAGCGAGATTGAAGTGGTACTTGATGACGGTACGCTGCAACGACGCACCGTTTCGTTATCGACCATGCCTGAAGCGTATTACGACGATGACCAAGATGATCACCCTCCTTCGTCTTCCGAGACCGCCGATGAAGACTACCTCTCCACAAAACCCCATCGTCCTACCATGAGTACATACCAAGAAAGGGAAAGGTTAGGATGGTTTTAAGATTTGCCTGACTGGGAGAAGCACACTGTTACTTTTTATTGTTATTTTTATTTTTTCTTAACATGTTTGAGATAGACAGCCTGTGCTTGAAATTTCGCCATTACTTCAATATCCAAATCAGTCGTACAATAGCATCAATGGGAACACACCGTCTTCAAATTCTTCTTCATCATCTACCTCGAGTGACACCGACGCGGCTGATGCTTCACTCACGAATCTCAAGCAACGTACAGGATCCGAGAATCTGCCGTTCCCCCAACGCTGGTCCTCGGGCTGGAATCGACTGAAACGACGGTGCCAATCGTACCGGCAATATCTTCAAATAACTCCTGAACAACGTCTCGTTTTGAAATGCAGTTTCGCCTATTTTCTCGCTTCACTGTTTACGTTTATTCCGCGTTTGAACGCCATGGTGGGCCACAATCGAACGTCGAGCCACTTGATAGCGACCGCCACGGTGTTTTTTAATCCGGCCAAAACATTGGGTGGGATGGTCGAAGCAGCCGCGTACGGATGGGGTTACGTGATTTTTGCCTTGGCTATCTGCATGGGATCGATGGTCACAACGGATTTTTTCATTGATCGCCATTTTATTGTCACGGCGCATGCTATATCCTTGATGCTGTGGTTGGCTGGAGCCACTTTTGCCATCGCTTTTCTCAAGGCTCACTGGAATAAGCCTCCCGTCGCTACAGGTAACACAAAACAAAGCTGATGGGCCACCCCCATTCCCCTTTCATATCAACTCAGTTTATTCATCCCTGTAAACAAATCTCCGCATACGGTAGCCTCCAGCTTGTGTTTCATCATTATTTTCATCGTCGTTGTCCGCGAAGGATCGGCAAACAAGGGAGATTTCGATACAACCCGCATCGAACAGATTACCACCGCCGTAGCTACCGGCACCCTTATCACTGTATCCAGCTGCATCCTTTTCTGGCCGGTATCAGCAGCCAAGAAGTTGAGGTAATACCCTGAATTTGCCCTTTCTAGGATCTGTGGATGGACAAGCAAAAGAAAAAGAGAAGTTGAGAAAAAAGGAGCAACCCGGGTTTCGAATGGACAGAGGAGGAACAGAAAAAAAAAGACGATTTCATGGCAGTGATCTCATGTATTTCTGTATCATAGAAAAGATTTGGAAGCGACACTGATGTCGTACAAGGTGCTCCTGAAACTGCTGACCAAAACCTTCCTGTTGGATGATGATTTGCCAGAGTTCAAGGCCAATGCCACCCTTCAGAAAGCGATTGATTCGCATCGTGCCAGTTTCACCGCGCTTCAAAAATCCTTGAAAGAAGCCAAACTCGAAGTCGCATGGAACCAGGAAATGCGCGGTCGTGTCCCCGAGTATGACCGGGTCGTGACAAGCATGCAGCGTCTAGCTCAGTACGTTGGCGGTTTAAAAAGCAGCTGTGGGTTGCAATTTGAGTTGATGAACATTAAAAAGACCAAAAAGGGTTTTTTTCGATCTCGTCGGTCGCAGGGCAGCGCTCAGGGACCCAACAAAGCGTGGAATATCAAGGCCGGATACCGACGTCGACGACTTGAAGATGAAATGCGACGACAAAAGCTCATGCTCAGCTCGCCGGAAGACGACGCTCCGGAAGGATGGCCGCTGCACCGAACGCCTTCCACCGCCAGCGGAACCCCTTCCACGTTGCATGAATCCTCGGGATATATCCATGATTATACCGATACACGGCGAGATGGCGGTTTGATTGAATTTATCCAAACCATTCGACAACCACTCAAATCCCTTGCTTACACGTGCAAACAAACACTGCTTCATCTGCAGCTGTGCTTCTCCACCAAAGGCTGCATTTATGCAGACGAAACTGCACCATCGTTTGAAACACTAAAGACCAATCTCACCAAAGCCATTTCGTTGTTCGAAGTGTCACAACGTCAGGCCGTCGAACGGTTGCACCGACATCGCCTTTTCCACACACAAAGCGATCCTGGCTTTCCTTTGCCGCCTACGAACATTGATGTGAACGATGCCGACTCGTATGCTCCCGGCGAAGAAATGTTTTTGGTCTATTTTTTTGTCTTTAACATGATTGAGTTTGCGCGTGAACTGATCAACTTGGTGGAAGCCGTGGGCCAGCTTGCCGAAAAAGCCAAACGTCGCTCAAGCGTTTGGTCTTGGTTGAAAACGTGGCGATCCTTCACGTCCTCCAGTAAGTAATAGAATTGCATCAAAGGCAAAGTCACTAGTCCATAACTATTGTCGATTTCTGGCATTTTAACAGCAGAAGAACAACATCGCAAAGTTCCTTTGAAAGGCTTCATTCCCAACGAACGTCACACCGTCAATACGCTTCATACGCCACAACCCAAGACCCAGTGGCGACGTTTCTTTATTCGATTATGGTGGTTCCTGTCGCTTTTCAAAACCCAAAAGATACGATACGCCACCAAAGCGACCGTTGCCACCATCTTGCTAGCCGTTCCCGCGTTTCTGGAATTCAGCGGCGCATGGTTCCGTGAATGGAGAATGGAATGGGCGCTTATCACGGTAGGTATCCTTTTTCCTTTCCGGCTCCTTGTATACAGCATTTGAAAAAAAAAAAAAAAGAGACTAACCGATGCACGGCCTAGCTGATGGTGGTGATGACTCCTACTGTAGGCGGTACCAATCAGGTGGCTGTGTATCGTATTTTTTCCACAGTGTTGGGATGTTGTTCGGCCATGGTGTTGTATCTGCTATTTCCGGGCAACATGTACATTCTGCCTTTGGTTACTTGGTTATTCTCAATTCCCAATTTCTGGATCATTTTGAACCACAAGCACGGCAAATTTGGTCAATTTACGCTTCTTGCTTACAATTTGGTGATGCTAAACAAGTACAACGATCGTGAAGCCGACAGCATCGAGGTATGGCGTTTAGCACTGCAACGGTGCCTTGCTATTCTGGTCGGTGTCCTGTTTGGCTTGGTCGCCACCGCTTACATTTGGCCATATGAAGCTCGGGTCGAGCTACGAAAAGGATTATCCGATTTTCTGTTGCGACTTGGATGGTTGTACCAAGAACTGGTCTCTATCTATTCCCGAAAGCCGCATGCTCGACGCTCGTTTTTTCTGTTGGTCGATATCAATGCGTATGCTCCGGAAATGAAAGAATTGCCTTTGGAAGAACAACGGCGCATTGTGACCCGCATTTTTATGGATTTGGAACTTGGATTGCAACGTACGTTATTGGATCTGCATGCTTTGCTGGCCCAAACACCGAACGAACCGCGCTTGAAGGGAGCGTTTCCTGTGGACACTTACCGCGAAATGCTGCGGTCATGCCAAAATATTGTTGACAAGTTCTTGTCTATTCGGACCATTATCCTAAAGGATGCCTGGTTTGATGAAGTCCAGCGGGATTTCATCGCGCCTATTAGCCAGGAAAATCGGGAAATGATCGGCAATGTCTTGCTCTACTTTTACTTGCTGGCTTCCGCTTTACGTCTCAAGACGCCTTTGCCTCCCTACTTACCACCTGCTCGTAAAGCGTGGCAGTCTTTGATCACCCGTCTGCGGCAGCTTCCAGTGGTCCAATCGAAACAGATGCTTGAAAAGGATCACATCTATCTGTTTTATTATGCGTATGTTACCATGATGGATGATATCATACGAGAACTGGAAAAGGTAAAACTCAGATGACGGTTTTCAGTGAATGGAATGGTTCAGTCCAAAAAATTAACTCATTTGATGTTGCAGCTTGGTAGCAACATGTCACTGCTGTTCGGTACGCTGGTTCCTGAAAAACGATGGGACCAATTGTTTGAATCCTGGGATAACGAAGAAACTATCTCCAGTGATGTCCCCAACACACCTCTTACAATCTCCTGATCTTTTTTTTCTTGGTTTCTACAAGTTTCAATTATATAGTTTATTGTAGACATCTTCCCGAAATACCCTCACTCAAAATCCAAGTGCTTTTCAATGATATCATTTCTCTTCCATCTCATCATATTACATTTAAATAAGATGCAGCACGGACATCCCCAAACAAACAAGAAAAAAGGCAATTAAAGGCAATTATATGCGGAATCGATTAATCCCACTAGAAAGAAGATAACAGAACATTATGTGATGAATGATAATTCCCGAAAGGTTTTTCATTGCTATTTTACATACCACTAAAGGCTCAGGTTCATTCGTTCGAGTTTGGTCTACTGGCTGCTTTTTTTGGTTTGCTAGTTGTTTGCTCAGTTTGCCCCCATCTTTCACGCCGCGATTTTCAGCCTAAGATTCGTTCATATTTCAATGATGATCGTCATCATGGTGATAAAACAAACCAGAATAACAAAAAGTACCTGTTGTCGACGTTGCTCAGCTGCCGCCAGCATCGCTTCGCGTGTGTTCTTGGGTGGTTCCTGATTAGCGTTGTTACCGGATGCAGGAACGGTTCCAGCCGTTGCATCACCAAGTCGTTGACCTTTGTTACTGGAGCCTAAGCAGTTCCCCTTTATTTTTTGTATTAATTATAGATCAGCAAAGACCTGTATGATTCAAAGAGACATTTTACATACCATCTTTTACTACCGTGTGAACACCTAACAGTAGAAACGGTACAGGGTTTCTGGGCTTCTGGGAAGTCTACAGCTGGCTTGACCACGTGACCGGCTTAACACGTGTTACACCTTGTTTCTTTCAGCATGAATTTTTTGTGAACGACAACGAACAACTCCCGGAAAGGCTGCATGCATCGGTCGCTTGGCATAAAATGTGAACATAGCGATAACCAATGGATTGCAAGAATCGGGATGATAAGCCCCTTGATAAAAGCCAGGCGGTGTCACCATTTTTTTAGATCATGGATCATTGTACTTGAATGTATCGCTCCGGGCCCGACAAAAAGATGTAATGTCTTAGTCGTGCATATTTTCTTTGTTGATGGAATCATGATCGTATGTTTACTCAATATTGCTATAAAACGGGGGGCCCATTATGAAAAAAAATGAATTTGAACATTGACACGACTGATCAATGCTCCTTTCGGAACCAATCGATATTTTAATTAGACATCATTACTGTTTTTGGCGTTTTACAGCAGTAACGACGGGCCAGTTACGCAGTTTTTGTTTCCCGAGATGAAGAACGATAGAAGGATCAGAAGATGCGTAAAACCGCGTCAGCCGATGGTGGTCGGGTTGGCCAAGTCTGTTGATTGGCAGGAATTGTGCAGCAAAAAATTCTCACTTTTTTCTTTTCTTTTCGAAATCAAAAGCGGGGAAATACAGTGCGAGACATCAGCCAATTTATCGCCCTTCCTGGGGACTCATATCATGGAAAAATACCAGCAGTGATCCGCTCTTTCGGACGACCGATTCGATATTGAGATCATCGTAACGTTCATTTGACGACAAAAAAAAGGGAACACGGTGTTGTAGGCACAAACAAACATTGACGAGGACAGACCCGAGTCGCGCTGTAACAGACAAATCACAACAAAGCGGCAGCTCACTGCAAAAGACACCAGAAATAAGTTATAGTCACTGATCCAATGGATCATGTAGGCACTGTGCCCATCAGCCTATTCCGATTAAAAACCCGTCTCTGATGGGGATGCAAGATCACGCGTGCACTTTTGCCTGAACCAAAAGCAGCGGTGTTCAGCTTTTTTTTTTCTTCTGCGCTTTTGTGTGACATTGATTAGTGAAGTCACACATTTTGCGCGATTTTCGCTTCCCAAATGATTTCTAGGCGCTAGATTTCTAAACTCCGGGAAGGAGCTACATAAATAAAGCAAAGAACAAACGCTGCTGTCAATTACAGCTTATTGTTTCTTTCGAATATTTTTTTCTCAGCGACGTTTCCATTCCACTTTTAAACAACCTCCATACCTACAATTAATAACGTATACACATCAAATGGATCACTCAGGCATGAATCACGGCGGGTCCGGCATGGATATGGACATGGATATGAATATGTCCATGGGCACCTTCCACTGGAAGATCACCGATGCACTATGGTTCGATGCGTGGGTACCCAAATCTGAGCCGGCGTACATTGGTGCATGCATTGGTTTATTTCTATTTGCTATCCTGTCCCGCGCTCTCATTGCCGCTGAAATCTACTTTATCGCCTGGCGCGGTATACGCTTTGACCGCCTTCACAACCCCTTAGCCACAGTCAACCCTCAAGACGCTCCCTTGGAAACCATTCGCGTAGGTTCAACAGAGCTGCATATTTATGTCTGTGATTTATGTCTAATAATTTTTCTCCCAACTAATTAGTTACGAAAAGACGTTGAAAAAGCGGGCGAACCTTGCAGCTCAGAGACCACTTCATGCTCTGAGCCATCGATGGCACGACCTATGTATCCTCAACCACTGACTTTGCCTATTGTCCCGCCTTTCAATTGGACGTTTGACACCATTCGCAGCTTTTTGACCGCCCTCGTATCGTTTGTCAGCAATTTGCTCATGCTCATTATCATGACCGGCAATGGCGGCTACTTCATTGTCATCATTGCAGGCATTTTCGTCGGCGAAATGGCATTTGGCCGCTTCCGTTCGCTGGGTGGAGCCAGAGAAGATCACAACCACTAAGGTGGTCCTCTTCCCGTTTTACTACGTGTGCCGTTATTATTCCCCTCCTTTTCCTCTGTATAAGTAATCCTATACATAACAGATCAGTGTAAATATTTATTTTCATTCATTACATTAACAAATTTCCCCTATGCGTCGTCATATCCTCTCCCAAAACCCAATATAATCTATTTCTCATTTGGCTTCAAAAAAAAAAGTCGCGGTCACCTCCCGATCAAATAATCTAAAGCTATTCTCCAGACTTTCGTTTCAAATGTCAAACTCAGCTTGACATGACCACATCCCTATTTTCAGTAATCAAGGCGAGAGCCTGTGTAGTAACACATATATATAGTCTTCCTTCATGGGGCCTTTGCCTAGACTGATTTTGTAACTATTATTGATGCGCGCTGTATATGCGTAGATGATGGCATCTGAAACCAGTCCACCTTGCTGTTTTGCGTGAATGGGGCTCTTACTTTTGGAATCACCGCAGATACTAATAGTTTAATAAACAAAAGCTGGAATCATCAATTTCGATGTTTCGGCTGGTAAACTGATACTTTGGTAGATGGCTTCACTTGTTGGTTCTTTTTACAGGTCGCACTTGTTTGTCACTGGCCTAGCCGAGCCAAGACGAGCGAATAATGAATGTATTCAGCATCGTGCCAGTTATCATGGAAACGGCAAAAGAGCTACCGATCATAAAATTATAGAATCATTGTACTACTATATGTTCCAGCAAGCAGACTAGGTTATTTTAACTTTTTATGCGTTATTGAGAGGGCGCATAAAAATTTAATGTTCATCTGCATGCAGCTGGGGATATCAGTGCAAGATGCAGATGAAATAGACCGTCACATCCCGAATCGAACCTATAACCATATCGGGACATCCGATCTTCTCGAATTGCCAAATCCATCCATTGTACGATCCTACAGGTGTCATCACTGCTAGCCACTTTGCCTCACGGAGAGATGCAGATTTTGATTGAAGGATTACCAAATCATAAAGAATCAACATCATCAAGCGTCACTTAGTTATCAGACCAACCGTGTGGTCCTTGTGGACGGAGGGACTAAACATTGACTATAATCTTTGGCAGGTTTTTCGATCAATAAGTGCAACTATTGTTCGGGAATGAAATATTCGATTATTTAAAGCAACCGGCCGCTACTTTCTGTTTTTCCCCCTTTTCCTCTTATTTTTTCTTACTTTTACTTATCAGATCATGGATTATCAAAAGTTTATTAGCGCAAAAAGTCAACAACGAAACCCTTCACCAAGTGAGTTTGATGATTCGAATATCTATACGACAGAGCCTATGCAGTACAGTGAACATGTTGTAATATTTTAACAATGATTGATAGTTCGTGCCTTGGGAAAGTATATGTTTGAGGAAGGCATGGTAAGTATCGATTATGATGAATTTCGTTCAACCGTCATTGGCCTTGAACAACTCGACATTGATATAAGCAAACTTAGATCTCTTTGGGTGCTGGTCATCCGAATCCTTCCACATTTCCTTATGCCGGCATGGTCTTGAAGCTCAAGAATGGTGAGGAAATTGAAGTAGATAGTGCGCTATTTCAACGCTCCTTATCCTATGATCTTACTGTAAGTTCATACTGATACGAGTTTGCTTTATTGCAGCACACTAAAAAGTCATATTACACATAGTCCGGTTTACCCCAGTTGAACTCGTGGCTGCGTCAACTTCAAACGTTGGAACATAATCCGCCGGTGGATTTTACCTTGTCGATTGGATCGGGGTCCCAGGATATTTTGTCCAAGGTACGTCTTGTGCAAGTAACGGAGAAACGCAGTTTGGGTTTGACACGGGCGGATTTTTGGAATGATAGGCTTTGGAAATGTTCATTGAACCTGGAGCGGCTTTATTGGTGGAGGATCCGACCTATGCGGGCATTCTCAATTTCCTCAAGTCACAGCCTTGTGATCTGGTCGGTATCGCCACCGATGCCCACGGTTTGATCCCCGAAGCTCTGGAAAAAATATTGAAGAATTGGCCCGAGAGCAACCCGACTGGAAAAAAGGATCAGCCTCGTCCGCAAGTGTTGTATACCATCCCCTGTGGCGGAAATCCGACGGGAGCAAGTGCAACTTTTGAAAGAAAACAAAAGATCTACGAGATTTGCCGTACCTATGATATCTTGATCGTTGAAGATGATCCTTATTATTACCTGCAAGTGAGTTTTTGTTTAAGCGTTGGCAATATCGCGTTTGTCTCATATTGTGTTCTTTTTCTCCAGTTTGCCTCTCCTCGTATCGCCTCGTATTTATCTATCGATGTGGATGGCCGTGTGCTCCGATTCGACAGCATGAGTAAGATCCTGTCTTCAGGCGTTCGCTTGGGTTGGGTGACTGGACCCGCCGCTTTGGTTGAACGAATTGATTTGCATACCATGGTGCGTATTCTGTTTACGGGACGTTTTTAATGTTGTCTTGGTGATTTTATGCTGACCGCTGTATTTGGGGCTGAATTTGTTGTAGTCGACCAATTTACAGCCGGCTGGTGTATCGCAAGTGATGGCTTACGAGTTGCTGAACAAGTGGGGTCATGAAGGCTTCTTTGAACATATCCGCCAGGTTTCCAACTTTTACCGTGAGAAACTCGAAGAGTTTAGAAAGTACCTTGACAAGCGCATGACTGGTTACGCAGAGTGGTCGATTCCCGAATGCGGCATGTTTGTGTGGTTAAAGTTATTGGGAGGTGTGACAGATTCTTTTGAATTAATCATGAACCAAGCGCTCAAAAAGAAAGTGATCGCTGTCCCTGGCATGGTAAGTTTTGGGAACTTGTCACTCACAGTTAGGGTTCTTGAGACTGAAACCATGAATACAGGTCTTCCTGCCAGCCGGTGAAAAGACACCTTATATCCGTCTCTCCTTCAGCAATGTCAGTCCTGAGAACATGAATGAAGCGTTACGTCGTTTAGCCGAAGTGGTGCAAGAGGAAGCGGATAGAAACGGTGTTGCCATCCAGTCATAGACAGTTTATTCAGTTCAACTATATTTATTACTATTACTTTTTTTCACACTTCATAATGCTAACAAATCCCAATAGCAAAATCCAAATAAACTTCATGATCCTGTTCGATTTTATAGGAGCAAAAGGAATACCTGGAGTTTCGAAAATATTTGGTGAACAGCAGGTGTACTGTATATTGGGTCGTACTTGAAATGCCAACCAGATTTGATGCTCTAAGATTTCATAAGCTCATATGTATATAAACTTATCCTGCAAGACACCGTCATCAGATATCGAAGATCTGCCATAGAAATAGATTAATGAGTGACTGTAGGGCACGAGAAACACGTGCCAAACGCGGTTATGCAATTGCTTGAAGAATCAATAACTTTCGGGACGCCATCATCTGACACAACCACGAATAATGATTGGACAAAATGGCTTAGAAAATATGTGACGTCAGATTCTGTTTGCGGATGTTAAAATTCGCGTTCATTCTTTTTTCGAGCTTGGTTCTCGTTTGCTCACTGACAAAACGATCTTTTACTGATTAATTTGAAGTGACCATGTCGGATACACAAGGACATTCTGGTGACGAGGCTGACTTTGACATCAAAGAACAAGATCGTTTTCTTCCTATTGCCAAGTACTTTATCTGTTTCCCTTTTTTGGCTTTTGTTTTATTCACTGATTATGCATTGACCTCGTATGTTCTTTATTCTCACCATAGTGTGGCGCGTATTATGAAGAAAGCATTGCCTGACAATGCCAAGATTGCCAAAGACGCGAAAGAATGCGTGCAAGAGTGCGTGTCTGAATTCATTTCGTTCATCACTAGCGAATATCCTTTTTGATACAACGGACAATGACTGAAATGCGGCTTTTGGGGATGACTTGGGATTGTTTATTCTTTGTGGCTATCAATTATCCTTAACCGTTTTTTCCCCTTTACAGCTAGCGATCGATGTCAGCAGGAAAAGCGAAAAACGATCAATGGCGAAGATATCTTGTGGGCAATGCAGTCGCTTGGATTCGAAAATTATGCCGAAACCCTGAAAATCTATCTTGCTAAATACCGCGAGGTGAATTTTTTATAACGGGGACCAATGATAGAAGAGCTGGATAAACTGAAACCGTGTTTTTGGGTTGCATAGACGACGAAATTAGAACGATCCACCACGGGTGTAGGGGAAAGACAACATGAAGAATCAGGCGCTGGCGCTCATCAATTATTTGGCCAGTCCACATCGGTAGATCAAGGCAATGGTCAAATGACAGGCAATTTTTACAATGGTAAGTAAGATAAACCAGGAAATAAAAGACCGGTCAAAAAGTAGAGATCTGGAAACTAAGGTGATCTTTTTCCTTTTGTATGAGCGTAGCTATAGCAAACCAATATCTGGGACAGAACAAAGAATAAATCGTTCGCAAACATTCGAGGCTCCAGATGCAACCGCAAAACAACAAAAAATAAAAAATAAAAAGGAGAGAGGGTGATAGTGTACAAAAGCAACGCTGGCTGCGGCCACCAACTTGGGTCGATAAGAGTGCGTTTTCACCATTCGTTTTCTTCCGCTTTCCAATCTTCCCACAGAGCATGTCGGTTGGAGTGCATGCTGTAATCTACAGAATGATGGTGAGCCAATCGTCGTCCACGCCCAGGCCGCGGCGCGGAAAGTAAATAGCTGGCCGATGCACGTCGATTTCCCAGCGCAGCTATCGGTGAAGATTCTGCGTGACTATAGTTGTGGAAAATATCTACGGTGCTGTCAACGCCATTGCCTCCTTCTTTATCGAGATCTAAATGATTTTGTCAAACCAGAAAGAAACAGGCTCACATTAGCCATGATGTGATCTGATGCTGAGAAAACTTTTTTCCCTTACGTTTTGTGTGTAACTGTTGCAAAAGGGACAAGGAAAAAAAAAAGTTAATTACATCAATTACAGGCTAAATTATACCGGGGCGCAGCACTTACCGGTAGTTTTCCTGTCTTGTCCAAGTTGGATCCCAAGCGATAATAGTCGGCAAGCGTCTAAGTATAATGGGAATACGATGAGTTATGGCGTATCGAACAAGGCTGAAAATATCCAAGTAAGCCTACTTGCCTTGCTTTTTGAGAATTTGAGATAAAAGAGGAGGATGAAAAACAATAAAACAAAGTACCACGGCCATAACCGATGGGAACTTGTATGTTTCGTTGCAAGTTCCTCGGAAGGCAGACCGGATACGGATTCAGGGGAAACGGGTATGGGCCGATCAGTGTCATCTGATGCCTCCGTTGCGTCGTTTTCGAGAATTTCATCGAGCGCAGCATCAACAATAGCTTCGACATCCATTTCCATGAGGTTGGCTTCGTTGGCTTGGTCAACGGACTTTGCTGCATGTTGCTGGGAATGAATGGAACTGCTGTCCTCGTGTTGCAACAGCGCCGAAGCCAGCTTTTCAAAGTCCTCGGACTCTTTATTACGAAACTCGGTGGGAGAACTTTCACGCCATGAGTTCACATCGTCCTCAACCGATTCACTGTTGTCGTATTCCTCTATATCATTCACCAGCCCGTCCTCTTCGATGTATTCATCGTATAATTCTTCATCATCGTGTTCCTCATCATCCTCGTCCTCATACTCATCATCTAAAAAGGTATCTTCATCATCCACTTCGTCATCTTCGTCGTGCATATATTCGCCGTCTCCATCATCGTATATGTCGTCCTCTGTGTGAGGATGTAGGGTATCTTCATGATTGATCGAGTGAACATCATCCTCGATTTCTTCTTCTCCTATTTCGTCGCCTTGCTCCTCGTGGTCTTCAATGGGTGAGTGTAAAATAGCAATTGCATCATCTCCTGATTCTGGCGAGTGATATATAATGTTCGTGTTCTCCTGTATCGCCGATTGTGTTTTCCCATTGTTTATAGGTACGGGTTCGTTGATAGGCGCAACAACAGCTGGTGGCTCATTGGCAGGCTGCAAGTCTGAAAAGGGTGAATGTTGGTCATTAGGATATTCTACAGCGACCGTATTCGAAATAAGAACAAATATGTATAAAGAAGCGATAAAAACAAGATTCATTATCATAAATAGTAGAAGAACAAGAAAACAAAAAGCAAAACGTGAAAAAAAAAGATTCAAGCTCTCCACAAAATCTGGGTAAGAAAAAACCTTATTATGCTTTTTGTTATTCCTTTTTCCCTGGTGGGCTTGTACCACTTTCTTTACTCGATCATTGTTCTGGCTAAATTTTTTTTCTCGGGGCATTGCAATGACTTTCAACAAGTATTGTCGCATCTACTCAAATTCGAATGTCACTTGGTGATTAAAATAATGTCACATGTCAATCTCCAGGTCAACCATCGAGAGTCTTATGGTGCATGGATCGTGCGATTGATTGGACTCACAGTGACGTTTGCATAGAGGGTATCTGATATAAAAGGTGATGGCCTAAATGTCGCAGGGAAACTGGTAAACTATTGTCTTCCAAGGACCCAATGTGGGTCTTACTGATTTATAAACTTGAGCATGCTTAAAATGCTTGTTTCCCACAAAGTATATCCAATGACCGCGTATTCTTTAGAGAAGGATAGAGGCTCTGGTTTGATAAGTCTTTTTATTATTTGGGATGACTATGTTAACGCTACTGATACCTTCCCAAATGACCAACGAAAGGAGGCCGGCTCCCAAGGCATTCTGCTTCCAACGTCGCCGGCCTGCATTGATCTTTGGCCATACACCAGCTCTCAAACAGCAGTCTACTGAATGAGAGACTGAAATACTTCTCGAATGGCCAACGTAGGAAGTCAGGACTCAAGGCAGTTGTTACCTACAACGTTGACTGCACTGGCGTGTCCAACTTGGAAACATCCCGAAGTCCCATATAACGGAAAATAATAAACGCGATTAGTAAATATGCTTCCACTTTTGTATAATTTTCACCTTACCTTTGATAACGTCTTCCTGCTCGTGACAAAAAGCTAACACTCAAGAAACACGGGACTCGAAATGAGACTAGATGCTTCTTGAATGGCCAAACAGAGTTGACAAACGCTCGCATCCCAACAGTATTGGCTTGTTTTGACTCTTTGCTAGGCACCAGTGCTTAAAAGCATAAGCTTCGACTTTCGCTCATCCGCTGCGAAAGTCCCTGGCTGACGAAGCATGTTCCACGACAAGGGTGGAACAACAAGTCAAACCCGCTGAAGCGTAAGAGAGAACAACAGAGCCACGAAGGATACGGGCGGTGGGACCTGTCTCCATCTCCCGCATGACCTTGATCGCCAGAACGTGTCCTCAGGTATATATATATACAATATTCACGATGTGTCTTCCGTGTTCTAATCATTCTCTACTCTGGATACATTCAAGCATCAATCCCTAAAGCCAGGGAGTGTTCTGAGGATACTTCTGGCGACGAACCGAGTTTGGTCACCAAACGCTTGCTGACCAAAAAAACCGTCTAGAGGGACTGAGCGCGCGCAACAAAACACGCCACTCGTCATAACTGAAAGACGCCAATTACGGAGAGATGAAATCGTCTCGGCAGCCAGTAAAACCGAACAGAGGGGAACCGCAGTTTCACAAGGATCGACTGCGAGCAATGTCTTCGGCATGAAAATAGACATGCTGATCACAAGCGAAACAGCAAATGGAGAAGCACCCGTTGAGCTCGCAGCGAATGAGTTCAAAAGACAGTCCGTAACATGAACAAGGCATTATCCAACGAAACAGAGATCTTCGTTCAAACGCCTGTATACTCGCGGAACTGCAGAAAAGATTCACTCTTCTCGCCTCCGAGCCCCACCGCCTCCAACCTGTAACAATTGATGTTATTGGTAACTGTGAAAAGCTTCGTTTAACAAGAAAAAGTTGCTTACGAACATCTTTCAAAACCACAGGATTCAGCGGGTATTTTTGTAGGCTCTATCAAAAAGATGGTGCTTCTGTCACCGCCAAGCTGGTGGACTATTGTGTGACGCTCCCAAGAACGCACATGGTGTTCGCTGAATTTATGGAAGCAGACTTGCTCAAATTGCTCATTTATTATAAGGTAATGCATTGCATATAATGAAAGATTACATTCTTATAGAGTTTTTCTTGTTAAGGATTACTATAGTAACAATGCGGACCAATTGGCATATCTCATTGATACCCAAGGAAAAGAAAGATAAAACAAGTAGCGCGTGTTGCCGATGAAAGGTCCAAGAGCTCACAAGTCAACTTTCCATGACATTGAATGCTCCTACCAATACTGGCGGTGCACTATTGACCGTTCCCTTGGCCTCTGCCATCCATACTACAAAGCTTTGACCGTGCTCACACAGTCTTCTTCCAGCGGGTTCATCCCGAACCTCAGCTTAATTTAACCCTCGCCTCATAGACATATTTTTCTGACCAATAAAGTTACACCGCATACCAAAAAAAAAAAAAAAAAAGGTTCCTATCAATACCATCGTCACCCCCATCGTCGTCACCACCTTCATCGTGGTCATCATTGCCATTATTACCTTCGTAACTTGTTTGTTTATCCATCCATGCACTCACATTCTATGATATCCAACTAAAAATAAAGAGACCGAATCCATCGTGCCGTAAAAAGAAACTTGACCCGTTGGGTATTTCGTTCTTACTTCCCTAGATTGGGCCATCCATAGTCACGATTGCATCTCTCTTCATGATACGCCTTTTAACTGACACATATGTATAATTTTGGATAGCCAAACATGGAATATACTCGTCATTGCATGTTGTGCCTCTAAAAAAATACCAGGTTGCTTCTTACTGCTACGACAGTAACACGATTTTCGGTTGACATGTGACTGATCTTATTGCGACATTGACTGTGGAGAGCACGGTTGTCAATCAAAAAAGTCGCTCAAAAATGGGAAATGGAATTTGGCCACATTTTACACGGACGAGCGTTAATGTGATTAGTTTGCTCATTATATCGGCCACTGCGGGATTCTTTTTCCTTTACGCGAATATATCAAGATAAATAATGATAACTGGCACCTTTTAAGTAGCGTGCACATGAAAAGATTGGGAAGGTTTAATTTAGAAATCACAGCAAAAAAAAAAAAGAAAATAACGATGCCATAAAATAAAACATGTCGTGAATCAAGTGTCAGAAATAACTTTTTAGAGTGCGAAAAAAAAGGTTAAGATATAAAAAGAGGGTTAAGAAACATCTATAATACAACTTTTAAAAGGAATCTAAAGAGAACCAAAAGGGTGAACCTTTGAGAACTTATAGTAAGCGATTTGTTTACGCGGGAGGAGGGGGAAAAGAAGAGAACCTAGAGACTAGGCTTTTTCGTAAATAAAATCTCGCCCGAGCGTATTCATTGCTTGTTGGGTTGATCGGCGTCGGTGCGGTCACCTTCTTCAACTTGATCATCGAGTTCACTCAAGTAACGTTCGGCATCAAGAGCGGCCATACAACCGGAACCAGCGCTGGTAATAGCCTGGCGGTATCGCTTATCCTGAACGTCACCAGCAGCATAGAGACCGGGAATACCAGTTTCGGCAGAGCCAGGAATGGTCTTGATGTAACCCTGTTCATCAAGATCAACGACGCCCTTGACAAGGCTGGTGGCGGGTTCGTGACCAATAGCATAGAAAAGACCGTTGGCTTCGATCTTGCCAGTTTCACCAGTCTTGGTGTCCTTGGTAGCGACGTGAGTCAACAAGTTACCATCACCCAAAGCCTCAGTGGGGACAGTGTTGAAGTGAACCTTGACCTTGGGATGCTTCAACAAACGCTGAGCCATCACCTTGGAAGCACGCAAAATGTCACGGCGCACAAGGACGTGAACTTCGGAACCATCTAGAAATCACCGAAAAAGAAAAAGGAAAAATATTAATGATTTATACTCCTCCATCCATCCCAAAACCAAATCTCCAAATTTCACCTAGTCCGGTAAACCAAACCCAGACACACTCTCAACTCCATTCTTATATCCTTGAAATTTAAGATACTTACACTTGGTGAGATAGATGGCTTCTTCAGCGGCGGAGTCACCACCGCCAATGACGACCAAGGGCTTGTTGCGGAAGATGGGAACAGCACCATCGCAAACGGCGCAAGCAGAGATACCGCTCTGCCAGTACTTATCTTCACCGGGCAAGTGCATGCGCTTGGCGGAGGCACCGGTGGCAATAATGACAGCGTCACTGGTATCGGTGGGCTCGGCGTTGTCTTCGGAACCCTCACGCCACAACTTGAAGGGACGAGAAGAGCAGTCCAACTTGGTGATGGTTTCAGTTTCAATGACAGTACCAAAGTGTTCGGATTGTGCACGCATGTTGTCCATCAATTCACCACCCATAATACCCTTGGGGAAACCAGGGAAGTTCTCGACATCGGTGGTAGTGGTAAGCTGACCGCCGGGAGCGAAGCCGTTGGCCATCATACCCTCAAAGAGGATAGGGTTCAAGTTGGCACGAGCGAGGTAAATGGCAGCAGTGTGACCTATTCATCATGACGTTGTTGTGAGTTTTGACATTGTTCAAGATTCCAAGGAGATGCAAAAGTAGAATAAAGTAGAGTATGTGTGTTTATCTTACCTGCGGGACCAGAGCCAATAACAGCGACTTTATGATGTTGAGGAGCCATTAGAAGAGATGTAGTGCTGAAAAGACGACGAGAAATAGGAAGTCGAGAAAAAGAGCGAAGCAAAAGAGGAGCCATATAAAAGATGGAGCTTTTTAAATCTCCCCAAAAATATAAAAGAAAAAAAAATTAGTCCTGAATACAGGGCCAGGCTGAATTATACCCAATAGGTGTGACCCGATCAACCCTTACTAAGCACTTTGACCAATCACACCTTTAAACCATGACTAAGCACAACGACCAATCAGATGCTCCATGGCTTGCTCTTCTTCAACTTTCAGAAATTGGAAAGGTTCAATGACATGACCAGCCAATGATGTAACGATTTTGGTTTTCAGTAATAAACTCCGCCAATAAATCATTTTCTCCGCTCTCGCCCTTTTATCTTCGAAACAGTGCAAGGAAATCAAAAAAATGCAGACTTGGCCTCCTTTCCCAATAGGAACGCGCTTTGGGTGATAGAGTTTAAGGTTAAAAGTGAACCGGAAAAATGGGTCCCGTTACTGTAACCTATTAAGCAACTTCTGTGCATGACATGGTAGGTACCCAGGCAACAGGCAATCAGAAAGCGCCATGCAATGTGAGTCTCAGAGGGCAATTACCATTCAATGCATCCTACTTTCTGTGTTGACACCCTGGCAAATTTTTGAAGGAATAGTTTGCTCTATAAAAGTATAACTTTCGGATTTGCTTTTTTGGGGGGGCTTTTTTGGGAAATTTTTGAGAGCATGAAAACGTAGCAAATCAGTCTAATCCAAAAAATTAAAAAGAATGGTTTCCAGGGAAATTTGAGCGTATTGTGACAACATCACGTTAAGCTCCGGCTTTCCTGGTTTGCGTTATTCAGGCCAAAAAAAAAAGTCATCCTTAATGCTTGACAGAAGCAATTTATCATCTTGGGTCGTTCGACATGAAGTTTTAAAAATTGCCAAAAAATAAGCATCCGCAAAAATGACGCATGCCGCCACAATTATGATTTTCATCCGAGCCGATACCAAGTATTCATTTCTATTTTTTGCCATAGCAATACCAACGTCACTCATATAACGCAAAATTCAGATCAGATCATACCAACTATCAACTATTATCATTATCACGCAACTTGTCTAAATCGAGCAATAACAATGCTACAATCCATATTATTAACTTTTTTTTTGGCGTCCAGTTACATAACAATAATAATAAAACAAGAAAGCCAAACAAACAATAAACAAACAAAGAAAGAAAAAAGAAATCAGGAACCGACAAAAGAAAGATATGAGTCTTGAGTGTGAAAAAATGTCTGTATATGTATGTGCTGTTGTTGCGAGATCGATCTTTGTGCGTATTGTGTGTATATGTGCGCGTAAATATAGATATATAGATGGGAACAAGATAAGATAGATAGATAGATCCAACAAGTTCTGAGGAACCTGCATTACTTTTGGAAAACGTGTTCTCTTTGTGTCCTTGGCTGATCGCGTTTCTCTTTCTTTCTACATGATGGTACAATCGTCTTGCGAACTTCCTTTCTTTTTCGGTTTCTGTTGGTCCGTCGGTTTGCCTTGCAATCGCTGAATCGCTCGTTTATCGCCATGCTGAGCCGCTTTTCGGTACCAATTCATGGCTTCTTCAGGACTCTTTCGGGTACCAATACCGACTTCAGTGAAATAGCCCACAGCATATTCCGCTTTCGGAAGCTCCTTTTCCGCCGCTCGACGTGCCCATAAATAAGCATCCTCGTCCGACTGAGGGAGAACACCAGGTGACCCCACTAAATACCAAGCTGTCAAGGCAAAGCAAGCCTCACGGTGCCCCTGTTGCGCCGCAATCGTGTAATAATGGATAGATAAGGCGGGATCCTGCCGACAGTTCAATTTTCCGTACTCATAGCACTCGCCCAGTCGGAATCCCGATGGCGCGTAACCAAGATCGGCCGCTTGAGCGTACAAAGTCACCGCATATTCCAGATCCACAAATACCACATTGTCAATCCCCTTTTCATGCAACAACGCAAGCTCATGAACGGCATGCGGATACTCCGTCGTGGCCGCTTCCGCCGCCCGTTTTAACCACTTCACACCATCGCGTGGGTTTTTGGAAATCCCTAATTCGCCGTTCACTTCCGCTACACCTAATCGGTACATTGATCCAGGATGATTTAATGTCGCCGCTTTTCTATAAAAGGTATCGCATGGAAAACGTAAAAAGCGTAAGCCGGAACGTGAAAAAAAGGGCCGCGTGCCATGTTACTTTTCGTAGTTACCTATAGAATTGAACCGCCTTGGCACTGTCCTTGCGACAACCCAATGCGTCTTCATAACATTTTGCAGCTCTATAGATAATATATTTAGTCCATTTATCAATCCGGTGCCCGTCCATCTATCCTTCCTATATTTTCGTCTCCATCTTTGTTCCCCCCTGGTTCCTTCCCCCCCACCTCCCCCGCCTTTTCTCGCCTAACACCCCTCCTCCTCTCCCCCAAATAAAAAATAAAAAAAAAGTTCAAGTCTATGTAATCGCATGTTGCATTTCGTCCATCATACGTTTTCCATCGTTTATCCCCCTCCCTTGGGACCATTCGTAGATCTCTTTTATGATTCCTTTTCCTTGTATCACCTCATCCTTAATTCCAAATTTTTCCCCAGATAAAAAAAAAAGCCCATGCTGAATGAAATAAAAGTTTTAGTTTACCTGTATGCAGCATCAGCATGATGATGTTTGGTGGCCTGGACAAAAAGAGGAAAGGCCTTGTCGAACTCATTCTTGCCCTTTTTACTCAGCAAACCAGAAGCGTAAAGATTACCGAGATAGTACTGAGATTCTGCATGGCCACGTGCGGCCAATTGTTTTAACAGCTTCTCTGCCTCAGCAAGGTATTCCCAACGAGTCACATCATCATCCACGACCGATTTGGCGGCTTCCACCATGAAAATAGCAAAATCACATTGAATGTCAGGATTATTGGTCTTTTTGGCGTTTTCTCTGTACATATTGATGGTTTGCGCGTAAGAGAGAAGCGATGCTTTGGTGCCTGGTTTCAGGTGCGAGTGGTCCAACAGCTGATCACTGCCGGCAACGGACATATTCATGATCGAGCTTGAACGAGTGCCTGGTGGCGTGCGAGAGGTCGGTGTAGGAGAGTGAGGGCTGGCCTGACGGGTAATAGGCAACGATGCCGCCGAATCATTACGGTAATGGTATTGTGGATTGGGATACGCAAAAGTCGCAGGGTGATTCTCCATATGTTTGGGTGGCAACGGGGCCGTGGAGTAGTCCGGTTGCTTAGGAGGTGGCACAGGCGGCAACGACTGTTGTTGATGCGATGGCGACGATTGCATCATGATCAGTCACACGGTACGTTTTTCTCCTTTGGTATGGTTATAAGACGGGGCGTTTGTCTGGTCAGAAAAAAGCAAAGCGAAAGAAGCCCAAACAAGTGAACAATTTGAATAAGAGAAAGAAAAGAGAAGAAAAAAAAATGTTCAATATGAACTAAAAAAGAAAACCAGCGCCCTAAAGGATAAGGAAAAAAAAAAGAGCGTCTTTTGCACTCTAAAAAATCCGATCTTTTTTTTTAGGAACCACGAAAAATCAGATGAAGTATTCACGTCATCGGCAAGATCGAAGGATTTCAACTATCACAATGAATCCACAGCTTGCTGATTTTCTTGGCTTTCTATGGAAGGACACTATCGGTTTAATCACGAGAGAAGATATATCACCTTTGGCCTCTTTTGTACAAAGATAATAGGTAACCGTGGCTATCCTCGTGAACCCCATTTATCAGCCACTTGGTAGCCACACAAAAAAAAGACTCACAGCACCCGCCTTCGTTTTATAACGCGCTCAACTGAATGGATCTTATTGCATGCTGGAATAAAAACTTTGATAAGCCATCCCTTTTCTATCATTCATAAATGGTTACTGGGAACAATATTTCCGAGACATTTTTTTTCTTCAGTTTGCAAGAAGCGCAGCGACGGAGTCATACTCCACTCGTGCTCGCCCATCAAAACTTCAAAGGAATGATCATGATCCAACATCAATGATACGAGAAGGTTCTGTGGTCTCGAAAGGGTGATGCAAAACATTCACGCAGAGCATTCTATGGAAAATCATATTTCAAGCCGAGACGAGACTTCTTGGCTTCCCGTTGCCATAACAGGAAGCGCTTACAATGACAGACGTGTCTACTTGATGATACAAAAAAAAAAATTTGACGTCTTTTCGCCATATTGTCATGTCTTTAATATTGCATTTCTCTTCTTTATATATGGGTATGGGTATGTCAAATATCTTGAGCATTTCCATGCGATAATTAAATAATTGCAATATGAAATTAACAGGTTATTTTAGCGTATTACGCCGTGGCTTTGAATAAATCTGCCAACATCAACAAGCGAATAATAAGGAATGTCTTGGTTTGAAGAAGAGGACACGCAGACTACATTTATGCATCAACACCGTTCACAAAATAGAGTGATCTCTTTACGGATGTTGTTCATCAAGAATGCCGTGCTTTATCTCCGTAAACATTCCTCGACCATCTGTGCCCTTGACCGGAGTTGCCTTTTTCTAATTCTCCATGGGTCAGATAATTTTTTATCTTTTTTAAGGAGCCTTGGATCCGATATTCCAAGTAAATATAGAGGATCCACAATCACATATTTTCGATACAGGGCTCTCTTCAAATTTACCGTGATGGTCGTTTGTCAGCACCGATTAGTGTGTGAAATTCAACTCCGCATTCTTCTGATGATAGACTACGACGCAGTGCTACTCCGCTGAAGCATGCGAATTGTGAACCCTGTTTGATCGAGAAAAAAAAGAATAGAAGATTTTGGAACCTGCAGACATGCAAACACACAAATCGAGGATTTCAGATCATAAACGTCTATGGCAAGATAATGCACGTAACTCTCCGTGCCCATTGGCAGATTCCTACCTCATCATCCATCCGTGGCGCAAAGGAAAAAGGAGAGCCGATTTCCAACGAGAACCAAGAAAAAAAGAACATCCATCGAATCTTTGAATTTGATTAACATGGGCGGGATAGAAATTCCTCGTTTGCCCATCGGCAGCAGTTGGATAGCAAATCACTGGCTGACACATCCTCTTTCCAGTTTGAGCAAGCCATCATGTCAATACTGCTATGGCGAGAATAGACAAAGATAAAAAAAACAATAAAAAAGAGAACGAGTGACCTTTTGGCTTGGCAAGTTGTTTTGGGCACACTCACGACAACGGTTGTTCGATGAGATACAAAAAAAAAGGTCCATGGTCGACCGTTGCCGTTTTAGGAAATACGGAATTCGGATAAAGTATAACATCATCTGCTGATTTTTTAGTTTTTTTTAGTGGAAGTTTTTGTCGGGAACAGAAAAACCTAAGACAGCGGCAATTTCACACTTATTCACGATCCCATGGTTGATTCCTTCTCATTTTGGGACCCTATCAACTGTCGAACGAATGCAATCCAGGTATTGATTCGTACCAAGGCATCGGTCAGTAGTGATCTTGTATGTTTTGTCGATGCACCCAAAATGAGATCGAACGGATCCTTATTTTTCTTTATGACAAATAAGAAACGGATCAAACTATTTTTAGTGCGTTATCTAAGCAGCGAATCCCAGTTTATAATCATGGAACAAGAAACACCTTGTTGCATGGCTATTGATTCGCAAGGGCTTTTTATCTATTTTTTTTTGTGCCTCAGTGAATGGCTTACGGGCTCAGCAAGGGGTCAAACACAGGGGACAAGGTAGGATAGAGCGAAAAAAAAAATATGTGTAACCGTAAGAGGTCATTTGTTCGAAACAAGAAGAAGCAGAAGAAGATCGAATAAACCAAGAAGCCATAACATGGCGATTTTGCAGATCGGTTTACACTTGGCCAAAGAACCTCTTGCGCCGTAGAACGCCCAAAAGATCAATCGATCCCCAAAAAACAAAAGCGGAGAGCGTAGGGCGAGATTGTGGCGGGAACACAGATTCTTTTCCGTCCAAGTGGGTTTTCCCACTTCTTTTTTGGGATTGCTTCTGAACTTTGATCTGATGAAAAACAAGACTATGACGTCTTTATTCACATACAGTTCATCGATAGCATTTTCGGTTGTCTTTGATTTTCGTTGCTAAGTAATCTCTGGGATTTAATCCTCCATTTATTTTTTTTCTATTTTTCGATCCGGGTGAGTGTTTGCTATATAAATTATTGAGTCCGCCCGGCCACGTATTACCTGACTTTTTTTCTCTCACTTTCTCTTTTCCACTTGGCCGTTCACCTGTGTGTGTGTGATTGTGTGTGCTATCTCTCTTACTTTTTTCCTCTCTGCCTTTTTTTTTTCTTTCTTCCTTCTCTTTCTCTCCTCCTTCCCCTATTTTTTTTACTCTTTCCGCTACTACTATTTTTATATTCCTTTGCGGATTTCCTGACTCATAGATAAAAAAAAAGAATAACCATGACGACACTCAGCGCCACTTCCGTCGTGCCTTCATATACTTTCGATCACCCTCATCATCATGATAAAGTGGATCAACCCATTTTATTGACGGAATACATGGATCAAGCCAGTAGTGTATCTGATTTAGACAATCATCCAACCCGTACGAGTTTCCGACGAACTAGACAGTCATCGATGATATCATTTCCAGAATTACTACAAGACAGTGACGAAGACGATGATGATTCGCTCACTTCGCCCACGTCGGCATTGGATCAATATTTTGGCGTACGACATCGAGAATCCCGAATTCGGTACGACACAGACTTGCCTGTGCCCACCAGCTCGCACCATCGACGTCGCCACAGCGATCTTTGTAAAAGCCATCGACGCGTAGCTGCGCCATCGGTGATGATGATGCGATCCAGTTTCAGCGGAGTCCCATCGTCCGCCCATTCGGCGACGACCCCTTTGCCCATCTTTGCTGGGGCCAATGTCACTCACACCATCAAATCTGCGTCCGATTCAACTCCGTGCATGCCTCGCCGAAAAAGCGTGCCACATCGATCTCCTTCGGCGATCCAGGACGCTATCCAGGCTACAGCGGTCGACAAAAGTGTGGTGTTTCAACTCGATATGCATTCCCATCTTCCGGCTGTACCATCCACTGGATCGAGCACCACCACCGCCACCACGACTTGTCCCGACTGTGGAGCGTCTACTTCTCAATGCGGCATGACATGCACTTCTAAAGTCATCTGTGGTGAATCTTTGCTTGCTGCACTGCGCAAACGCGTCGCTCTTGCTCGAAGTCAACAACAGCAGCATCAACAACCGTCCCCCGTGTCGGGCCGCAAACGGGCCCGATCCGCTACCCAGATCGAGATACCTCACATCAAAGTCAAGCACAGTTCCGCTGGTTCGGGTAGAAAAGTGCATGATTGGTTCCACGAATCTTCCGTGGAAGAGGAGGATGAAGAAGACGATGAGGATGAAGACATGGATGAAGATGAGGACGATGCCATGCATCCCGAAATTCATCGAAAGACGCATGTTCCCAAATCGGCCCTCACTTCCGCTTCATCCTTGCTGCAACAACCCCGTCGAAAATCCGTCACAGTTCGACGCAGTTCTAACTCGGGTCGTCCATCGCGTGTGAAAGGTCCTTGTCAAGCTTGTCAAGAAGCCTCTGATGGGTGTATGCGAAAAGCGTTCGACTGGCCATTCCCATCGACCCAAGTATTTAACGATAAAGGCAAACCGTTTGTTTACCTTTGTAACAAGTGTGGTCTTCGGTAAGCTTTTTTTTCACCTTATTTGTTATGGGGCACTTTTTGGGGGGAAGGGTGTTTTTGTGTCTTTTTTTGTCTCCTCGTTTTCTCTATTTCACTGTTCAATCTTGCTACCCTGCTCCTCCCCACCTCCTTGTTGTTCTTTCGCCCAGGGAAACCCGAAAAAAGAAATGTGTAAAAACGGCGACAACAACCCCTGAACCGTGACGCTTACTTTGATTCTTTTTGCTAACCGCCCTTTTTTCTTCTTTTCTTCCTTTTCGGTAGTTACAACAAGAGTGGCGGATGTGTTTGTCGTACTTGCCGTTGGGTGTTCTGCAAAGAGGAGAAGCGTAAGGCAATGCAACATATCAATCAAATGAGACGCAATCGACCGGATGGACGTGTGGATCCAAATGAAGATATTGAAAACTTTGTATGCACACCGAAATATTGGACATGTGGTCGACCATGGAAAGTAGGTTGGGTGCTTAACAGTAACGAAGACGATGAAACCGAATCCATGACAGAATCTGCCTAAAATTCCTTTTTTTTTCCCCTGGAACTATTTTGACGAACTTGTTCAATTTCTTTGTGTCATTTTCATCACTCTGTTTCCATCATGGTTCCGGGTTTCCCGATCTCGGTCCTTTTTTTTCCTTTCATTCTGTTTCCTCCTCCGCCCCTCACTCTTTTTGATCATCCTGTTTTCTCCTTCGTCCTTTTATGACAACCTTTTTTCCTCGCCCTAATTTGTTTGTCGGATATCTTTTCTCTCTATTTTGTTTGTTTATAACTGTACATACGCTGCTTTTTTTTTGATCCAAGAAAAAATCAAAAAGGAAAAAGAAAGAAAGACAAAAAGCGAAAAGCGAAAAGAGTAAACCACCGGTGACCACCTACAATACTTTTGCTTTGGAATTCGTGAATGATTTGAAATCCTTAACCATGTGTGAGTAAGGATAGGAAAATGTGCGAGGGACATACATCGTTTGATCTGGGGAGCTGTTGAGAAAAGAGTATCGGCTGATGTTTACATTTGCCGCATTGGGATGACGGTTCACCGCACTCATGTCACAAACCAGTCATCTCAATCTATCCCGAATTGAGCTGCATTACCTTGCTGTTGTACGATCTATTCTTTTTCAATCATCCCCAGTTACTTGCGATGAAGATATCCTTGGATCAAGCTTGCCGCTTCTGTCTTCTTAGTCCTATGTGAGACCATTGCAAGGGGCAAGTCGATCTTATCTGATCATCTGACTGACTTTTTTTTTCTTTTCTTTTTTTGACCTGTAATACTTCACGGACTTTTTCTCATCCTTTTAATACCAAATATCCCCTGTATTTTGTCTGATCCAAGTCAACTTGGTTTGGATCAGAGACCATCAGTGCAGCTGAACAATTATTAACCGGAATGAAAATCTTGAAAAAAAAAAATTAGCGATTTTGTAAATCACATGATCTACACTAAGTTATCAAGACCTGTTAAACCTTTTTTTTATCTTTCAACCATGCCTCGCTGCCCACTTTCACAATAATGGGCGAAACAATCAGCAGCAAGATGCCGTTTGCGCCAGTTGTGGTTAAACAGAGTATCGTCGTCTTCCGAATAAAAATGTGAGTAGAGCTCTTTTTGAAGAAAAGGGGTTGATGATACGACCGGCGTTCTTCTGTAGCATCATTCAATTTGGTTTTTTTTTGTCAGTTATACTGTATATGTCCTTTTCGTTCTCTTCATTTTATGATGATCGAGAGGTCGGTGTTCATCTTTTTTTTTTCCGGTACACCATTTGGTTCAAAGGCAAGTCCAATTTCTTTTCCTTTGCTATTATGTAATGAACGTATACTAATTCAAATTTTTTCAATGTCATATAATCCAAGTCATGTCAAGCGATCAATGGCTATTGCAAACTCAAATAACAAAGATAAAATATCTTGACGACAATTTGAATCAATCAAAGAGCTTACTAACTCATTTTTTTAAATACCCAACATTCCCACACATCATTCTAGATCTATCATAACCTTGGGCGGGACGGGACTGAGGGGATCAATAAGTGCTTCTGCACACATGTTTGGAAAATCATGACTGTACGGTATGCCAGAGTATTGACATTAATATACCAAAGTTCCATCAAGAGTCTCGCCCAGGTTATGCCGTATTGCGTTAGGCTTTTTGTCTGACGAATGTCGCTCAAGGGAAGAGTGCGGCATCCAGTAGCAGGTGGCATCCATTGCACAGCGGGTGTACGGCTTGTTAATCGGAATGAAATACCTTGTTATCGCATGAAATATATGCCATTTTTTTATTTTGACTGTACCGTTTTCGCCCCATTTATACCATGCAATTTCGTGATTCACTTATAGATTTCTATATGACGACGCTGAAGTTTCAATAAAATTATAACCATAGTGATTCTCTCATAACTTAACAATGCCATTCATTAGCAATAGCTTGACCGACTGGAGTGAAGCATGCATAATGGTGCACCCAATTCTGATAAAAAAAAGCGAACCGTATGAAATGGCATAAAGAAGGTTCACCAAGAATAGCAGATGGAATGGTGTGCGTGTGAGCGTGTGAGAGTGCGATAGCGTGAGTGTGTGTCAGCTCTTACAACGATGACCAAGGATGATTGAAACACAAAAAAATTACTGCGGTTCTCAATTTTTTTTTTTTTTTTACTAGGTGAGGAGTGACTCAAGTTGAGGTGGCTTTGGGGACAAAAAAATTTCGGGATTTGGAAAACTTGGGTGATCGTCTCTTGTTTCCCTTTTAAAAAGAAAAAAAGAACAACCATGTCTGCGCCTGTGGAAGAGAAACTTGCCAATATGAATATCGACGCACAAGAAAAAGCGCCTCAAGCTGCCAAGCCTGAGAAGAAGGAAAAGAAGCCCAAGAAGCCAAAGGCCACTGGCACTGAAAGCGAGTATCCTTTGGAGGTATGCACACGTTCACATAACTCTCTCTCATTTCAAGCGCGTGCTGCCTGTCCGTCATACTCATTTTACCCTTCTTTGCACCATGACATAGGTCACTCCTGCTCCCGAATACTTGGCTCATCGTATTGAAATGTTTGAGCGCCTCAAGAAACAAGTTGACGAGGAAATCAAGAGTAAGTCTTTCAATCACACTTCTCTCGTTGCCATGAAAGTTACCCAGTCACCAGACCCTGACAATTTTTCTGTCATTGACAGATAAACCGCGTGAACCCATCACTATCACTTTGCCTGACGGCTCCGTCAAGGAAGGTACTTCCTGGGAGACCTCTCCCATGACCATTGCTCTCGGCATCGCCAAATCCTTGGCTGAACGCATGGTCATTGCCAAGGTTGACGGCGAACTCTGGGATTTGGAACGTCCTCTCGAAGCTTCCTGCAAGTTGGAATTGTTGGATTTTGAACATGACGAAGGCAAAAAGGTCTTTTGGCACTCGAGTGCTCACATGCTCGGTGAAGCTTGTGAAAGACACTACGGTTGTCATTTGTGTATCGGACCCCCACTTGAAGATGGCTTCTATTATGAAATGGGTCTCAAGGATCGGTATGTAGATCTAGTGGTAGCATTGATCCCATGTTGCTCATGACTAACGAATCATTTTATTTGCAGTGCTGTGTCGCAGCAGGACTATGCTTCTCTTGAGAAGCTGGTGGGTATGATTGGCAAGGAGAAGCAGCCTTTTGAGCGTCTGGTCTTGTCCAAGGAAAACTTGTTGGAAATGTTCAAGCATAACCCCTACAAGGTCCACATCATCAATGATAAAATTCCTGATGGCACCGCCACCACCGTCTACCGTTGCGGTCCCTTGATCGATTTGTGCCGTGGTCCTCACGTTCCTCACACTGGTCGTGTCAAGGCTTTCGCTGTCACCAAGGTAGGCCTATTTCGTAGTCACACCACCTACCATCTGGATTCCGCTGTTGCTAACGGTGTCTTTGATATTACAATAGAATTCCGCTTCTTACTTCTTGGGTGATGCCAAGAACGATTCGCTTCAGCGTCTCTACGGTATCTCCTTCCCCGACAAGAAGCAAATGACTGAATACAAGAAATTCATTGAAGAGGCCGCCAAGCGTGACCATCGTAAGATTGGCAAGGTAAAAAATCTTGTGTCTAGTCATCCACTATCGTTGCTTTTCTTCCGTTACTCATCTGGAGAATCATCTAGGAACAAGAGCTCTTCTTCTTCCATGAATTGTCTCCTGGTTCCGCATTCATGCTTCCCCACGGTGCTCGTATCTACAATGCTTTGATGGATCTTATCAAGGTAAGAAAATCATACACCATTACTTTGCAAGTAGATTGTATTAATCTTGATTGGTTCTGACGTGTGGAAAAGGGCGAGTATGGTCATCGCGGTTTTACCGAAGTTATTACCCCCAACATGTACAACTTGAAGCTTTGGAATCAATCCGGCCACGCCGCCAAGTACAAGGAAAACATGTTCTGTCTCGAAGTCGATAAGGAAGAATTTGGCTTGAAGCCTATGAACTGCCCCGGTCACTGTCTTATGTTCGGACACAAGGAACGCAGTTACCGTGAGTTGCCTATCCGTCTTGCCGATTTTGGTGTCCTCCACCGTAACGAATTCTCTGGTGCTTTGTCCGGTTTGACTCGTGTTCGTCGTTTCCAGCAGGACGATGCTCACATCTTCTGTCGTGAGGATCAGGTACGTTATAATTCAGCTAAAGGTGGAAGTCTTTCGAGAGGAAAAAGTTTTTTATGAGTTTATTTTTGTCTCATATACAGATCGAGGACGAAATGACCAACTGTTTCGACTTCTTGAACCACATCTATGGTATCTTTGGTTTTGATTTCCACTTGAAACTGTCGACTCGTCCTGAAAACTTCCTTGGTGAAATTTCCGTTTGGGACAAGGCCGAAAAGGTAGAGTGAAAGGATCCGCTACGTGAAGGCAGACTTTTTTCTAGATGTAGCATTGACCCGGGATGAATGATTTTTAGAAATTGCAAGATGCTTTGGAGAAGTTTGCTCAGAAGCAAGGTATCACCTGGGAAATCAACCCTGGTGATGGTGCTTTCTACGGTCCCAAGATCGATATTGTTATCTCGGACGCTTTACGTCGCAAGCATCAGTGCGCTACTATCCAGCTTGATTTCCAGTTACCTCAACGTTTCGACTTGGAGTACCGTTCCGGTGATGCCAACACTGATCAGACTTTCCAACGCCCTGTCATTATTCATCGTGCTATTCTCGGATCCGTTGAACGTATGATGGGTATTTTGATTGAACATTTCGCCGGTAAATTCCCCTTCTGGTTGTCTCCAAGACAGGTGTGCGTCATTCCCGTCGCTGCTGCTTTCTTTGATTATGCCAAGGAAATTACCGACAAACTGGTGAAGCTTAACGTCTATGCCGACGCTGATCTCTCTGATAATACCCTCAACAAGAAGATCAGAAATGCTGAGCTGGCTCAATACAACTTCATCTTTGGTAAGTGTAGAGGAATTTGAACTCTTGTTTTCGTTGGTTTGTCAGTCAGGAAATTTTAACGGTCTCGCGCTTCATATTAGTTGTTGGTGGTGAAGAAGCAAGCACCCGATCCGTCAATGTGCGTAACCGTGACGACGTCGGTACCAAGGCCAAGGGTCAGACCGTTCCCTTGGATGACGTTATTGAAGGCTGCTTACGCTTAAAGAACACCAAGAGCTTGGAAAATCGATTTTAAGGAATAGCCCACTTGCGGTGCCCTTCATGCAGTGTCAGATGTTGTTAAAATAGTGTCTATAGGGTGATTGTATGATTATGATTTCAATAGAATTACGAGACGTTTTGTTGTAATTTGTGAGGCTTGCCTCTTGACGCGTCTTTGATTTATTTGTTGTGTTCTCTCAATCACCACATGATTATGATCTTGTAAGTAGCAGCGATCAAAAACATCAGCAATATTCTTATATGCTCGGTACATGAAGCAATTGTGTGTTGACAATGTGCCCGCAATGTATGAGAAAATAGAAGAATGCATTCGATCATGGAAAACTGAAAGAATATCTTAGCCCAGCTGGATTAAAACGGCGTTTCCCGTCACGAGATAGGCAGAACATCTTATCAAAGTGATCAGTTATATATTGCACCTTATTTTACTGCGATGATACCATCATGCATGAAAAATGTCATTGATACGCCTATTGTCCTGTCAAATTCTCAGATGCATCAAATTGCCTATACCGTAATATTTAGATGCCAAAGCAAGGAGACAGCAACGCCGCGGCACTGTCAAAAATCGGCCATTGCATGAGTTGAAAGTAAACCCAAACAACTAACGTGATATGACACACGGGCGCAGTGACCCAAGTAATTTGGCGTCACTATCCATATGGTCACCATTGAGATGGATGATAGCATTGTAATAACACATAAGCCCAACATTCAGGTTATCACATTAAGCGCCTTGTTTACCTTTTTAAAAAAGGAGCATTGAATATTATTGCAACGCAAAACAAGAGACCCGGCATATCATCCACTCTCCTTTTAATCTCGTTCATAACGCGAGCACTTTTAAGTGTCGAAAACCATCTTGGGAGTCGTGGCATGTATAGGATGACACCCGCATTTGGATTCCATATCATGACTAAACATCATTGAGAGAGAAAGAGAGGCAGCTCTTCGAAAAAAAGAATGGAGAAGGGAACTCATGCAGGGGTTAAGGGTACAGGATAAAAGAAGAATTCCACCGAAGAGAGAAAGGAGGGCAGGGAAGTTTCGAGTAAAAAAGAAGGGAGAGGAATGCAACTCAAAGAATAGAGAAAGAAAAGGGACCCCTAACCCCAGTGCGCGCGTATTGCGAGCATGAGGTTTCGGTTTTTTTTTCTAACATCCTTTTATCGGGATACGCATAATGGAAGCTGCATGTGAGCATTTGGGATTTCACCAAACAAGGAAGATCATCTCTTCATTATCAGTTATCTGTCGTCATGGAGAGACACGTTGGTGTTTGTGTTTATTCTTTCGGGTAACTTGGTTTCTAAAGGAACGATGGAAGCGGGCAATTTGCATGATACACAAACCTTAAATAAGCGTATCTTTGGATACAGACGTTTGACAACCGGAAAAAGTAAAACAAGAATTCTTTGGTCCCTGGATGGATCCTCGGGCATTAGGGAGTGAACGAGAAAAAAAATGATACAGAATAATGCAATTGTCAGTTCTCGTTTCAGCAGTAATTTAGTAAAAAATGCGAATAGGAATCGATGAACGCTCCTCAAGTCTTTTTGTTTGCGCCAACTCCTTTCTTTTTTCAGTCTTTTGTCTTCTAATCATTTTTTTTTTCTCTGCTCTGTTCTCCTTGTTGTTGACCCTTAACTTTCTGTTTCTTTTCCCTTACTGCAGACACTTTGAAACTTTTTTTTCTTCTTTTTTGGCTGCTGATTTTTTTTGTCTCTAGGATCAAAACGTTAGTTCAGCTCGTGTCAGGTCCATGTGGAAAATGTAACACGGACGTTGCACCAAACTAAATAATAAAGACCCATCATTTGTGGATCACCTATCACTCTTTTTCCTTTTTCCTTCTCTTGCTTTTGTCTGATTTCTTCCTTTTGATATTTTCTTTGGCTTCTCAGGAACAGGAAAGAAAATAAGGAAAAAGCCACATCTTTTTCTTGCTACATTAAATTTAATACCTCTATTAATTGTAACGAAAAAAAAAATCATGGCAGCGACAACAACGAATGCCTTATTGACGACTACGATGCCACTGAAATTGGCACCAGAGGTATTGGACCGTTTACGACAGCTACAAGATGCCGATCGTCCAGTGTCAGTGGATGAGATTCTGATGGCCGCGAATCTCGATCATCTTGCGCAACCTACGGCTTCCAAATCCGCGGACATGCGACAACATATTCCTCCTCCACCACAACAACAACCACGCATGGAAAAGTCATATTCTACTACCATGAGTTTGGCCGAACGACGACGTGTGCCTGTCTCGCCTGAGAAACTTCAATTGTTCTCAGCCTTGCAACACCCCAAGCACAATCGCAAAGATTCCATGGATAGTACTCAAAGTTTCCAGGATAGGGTTAAACGGTTGGAAGAAGAGAATGCTAAATTACCACCTCAGGTAAAGTAAACCCTACTTTATTCATATATGATCCCCTGCTGTTTCTTTTTTATTTTGGGTTTTTATCCTTCCCCTTTTTTTTCCGTGAAAAAAAAAAAGAGAAACAATATCCTGATGATGCGATTAGGACTCCGAAGCATATCTTGTTGCTCGTTTGGAACGGCAAAACGCGCTTTTGAACGCCGATCCTAAATCGGTGTGCATAGAATCGAACCGGTTGAAGGCGGAGTTTACGACGATCCGTAACCTGGTGACCGACAACACGTTTTCGCCTAACATTGATCACGAGCAATCCATTCACGCCCTGATTGCCAAAAGTCCTCTTTTGGAAGAAATGCAGCCAGATGAGACCGATGTCGATTGGGAATTCTGGCAATATCTCGTGGAGGACTTTCCTACCGCGGCCGCCAAATTGCCTCACCTTGTCTCGGCCAAGTTGCGACATGGCGGTATCCCTCATCGATTGCGAAGTGTTATCTGGCAATCCATGTCCCAATCCGCTTCCATGAACTTGGAAGCCATTTACAATAACTTGAAAAACGAAAAATCGCCCTACGATCGTGTTATCAAACGTGATCTCTCTCGCACCTTCCCCAATGTCGATATGTTCAAAGCCGACGGCGGTGAAGGACAGCAAGCCATGGGACGACTCCTGAAAGCTTACAGTGTCTACGATTCTCAGGTCGGATACTGTCAAGGTCTTGCCTTTCTTGTTGGTCCTCTTTTAATGACTGTAAGTGGGAAGGAATGATAGAAGACAAAAGAAAACAATGACCAAACATATTAACCACGTGCGTGATGGCAGATGCCTGAGAAACAAGCTTTTTGCGTCTTTGTCAGGTATGTAGTAACTATGCAATACTATTTCAAGATAATGTGAGATTAAATTGCGTGGCGCTATAGATTGATGGAGACATACGACATGCGCACCATGTTTACGCTCAATATGGAAGGGTTACATCTTCGGTTGCATCAATTCCAGTCATTATTGGCTCAATTCTGTCCGCGATTGGATGCCCATTTGAAGAACTACAACATCCATCCTGCCATGTACGCTTCTCAATGGTACCTGACGCTCTTTGCTTACACCTTTCCCATCTCACTGGTGCTGAGAATTTACGATCTTGTTTTCGCTGAAGGCGCAGTGGAAACCATTACCCGTGTCGCCATTGCCGTTATGCGGAAGAATGAAGAAAAACTTTTGATAATCCAAGATTTTGAGCAGCTCATGATGTACCTCAGCTCACGTAAACTATACGATGTCTACAATGCGAATCCCGAAGCCGTTATCAGTGATACCATGAGTTTGAGCGCGACCATCACCAAAGAAAAGATGGACAGTATTGCTACTACTCATCAGAAAGAATTGGAAGAGGAAAAATCGACCACGCATCAAGTCATTGCTGTACGTTTGGGCCTGAAGAAGCGCGATTCTTGGTTCCCATCGTGGAACAGCCAAGGCACCGCAGCTACGAAATCCCCCTCGGTTGAAAAGTCATGCGTCTCTTCATCCGTTCCTACTACACCTACATCACCGACTCCTTCTATGGCGACCCATCCTCAGATTAACACCGTGCCGATGCTGCATCAACAAATTGAAGATCTTGTTACTGCTCTTTCCCAGCTACAGAAGGATCATTCGCAACTGAACGAGGACTTGATGAGCATGAAAATGCGAGAGATGGATCATGAAACGGAGTACGCCAAATTGATCAAGAAGAACTCCCAATTGGAAAGGCGACTGAAGAAGTACAAGATCAAGTTGGCATCTTCCCAAGTGTCTTCTCCCACTTTGGCATCGCCATTAAGCGGATCATCGACGAACCGTTCCGACGAATCGGAGGATTCCACGCGATTAGCCGCTTTGGAGCAAGAAGATGAATTCCGAGCTTTTGTTGAATCACTTTCCATGACTGGTGATTTTGGACAACTAATTGCTGGAGCACTCACTAGCCAACGAAACTCGCTTCAAGGCACGCCTCAGTCTCAGTCTCAGCCTGAACCAATACCAGTACAGCATTTGTTTTGGCCCGAAAGTGAAGGTGAAGAAGAATTTGGCGCTGTAGCCGAAGGAGAGGACAAGGAGGTAACTGCCAATGCTGCAACCCAAACTTCCGAAACCTCCATCACCATGAAAAATGCACCTATCAGCGGCCAGGCTCAGGAAGAGTTACCCAATGGCACATCCATGCATGACGTGACCTCGGAGCTCGTATCGTACAAATTGGCCAACTTTGAAATGGGACAAAAATACGAGCAGTTATGCCACACTTACGAAGCGACATTGCAGCAATTGAAGCAAGCACAGGAAGGACAGAACGACCTGGTATCAAAGATTATGGATTTGCAACATGAAATTGAAATGCATCAAGCTGAGAAGGAGGGTATTCTCGATGAACGCGAAAAAGTGCAACAAGAAAACGACGATCTCAACGAGAAAATCATGGCCAGCAAGAAAACGTGTGCCGATTTGCAGATGGAGAAGCTGGCTTTGATCAGTGAAGTGGAAGGATTGGAGAAGCGAGTGCGAGAATTAGAGACGGAAAAGCAAGAATATCTCATGCCTCGTGGTTCGTTTACCGAGGAAGTGTTTGCCGCACATCGTACGTTATTCGGCCCCAAACCAGAAATGAACCGTCGCCACACATTGCAACTAGGCACCACCACCCGTTCTGAATATGAAAACAAGTATATTGAGAGCGATTTACGATGCCGTGAATTGGAGAAATTACTGGCGGAAGCCAAAGTGAAACTGGTGGAATACGAAGCCAGTAGTATGACGACAAGTCCACGAAGCTCTTTGCAACAACAACGACGTGCTTCCTCTTATCAACACAAGCGAGCTTCCTCTATCCTTGCTGTGACCAATGAACAGCGACGATCGACGGATAGTATGATGTCGACCAACAGCAGCAGCTTCGGTACCGTCTCGAAACGCTCAAGTATGTATTCTCGTGTTTGGACCGCATTTAGCACTCCTGCTTCCAGTGTAGCCATGAAAAGTCCTACGCGCGAACTCTACGACGAACCCCATCAAGCCGCCGCCATCTAGACAGTAAAGCAAGATGAATCCACTCGACCAAAAAATCAGTACAACCACCGAAAAAAAAAAACGAAAAGAAACTGCAATGATCTGTTATTCCGTTGGTCAAGTTTATCATGGATCAAACAATCACATTATTTGAAAAATATCCTTATTTATTTTTTTATCATGCTTATACCCAATCTATCTTTTCCCATCAAATAACCCAATTCGTATGCCCATTGCCCTTTTTTTTATATCATTTCTTCTTATTTATAGCGCTTAACCTTATTCTCTCTTATTTATACTATGACTTTATATTGTGTTTTCTTCTCTTGTGTGTGCGGATATGGAAATAATAACATAATACTATTAAAATCTGGAAAAGATCAACCAAAGATTTGGCTTTTGGAAGCAATTCAAAATCATCTGACACATGCAAGTACACTAATTAGCTTGCTATTGCTTCTTGATTCACAAGCAGACGTTTTATCGATCCAATGGTGACGGAGATAGAAGAAGTTTCTTATTCTTTATGTCTCCCTTTGTTACAGTAGAGCATCATTCACTGTGCTCTGTGTTCGCAAATTACACTGAATATTACATGAGATCGTAAAATCGTCGCAAATGTTCGCTGATGTTTCATTGGATGAAAATGAAAGATAATGGCGCATAACTGAGCCAATAACATGACTTCGCTTTGCAAACCAGGAACAATCTTTTACGAAGGAGCTGAATCGCTTCAGAGACATAAAAATCTAATTATAAGCTTTTTACGTAAGAATACCATGAGAGTTGCTTTTGATAGTAAATTTGACGGGAACATCATATTCTGATACAGATACGATAATAATGATGTATTTTGTGGAACATGGAACTTAGTAATGACCGATAAAACTGTATTTCGACGGGTAAAAAAAAAAACATCGCATATCAAAATCATGCGATTCCATCTGTCAGTGTATAAATCTGATATCGATTTGCAGATCTTGGGCAATAAGCATCCCATTCCAAACAATAGGCGACATTCATTGGTATACATCATCAATTAAACCGAGTCTGTGCGCACACCGATAGTTTGTGGTACATGAATGCAGACATGCATTTACCCCTCGAAAACTGGACATTTTTTTATCCAAAAGGATGATCTCTGAAATACAGAATCTAGCCGTTGGAAAGGTAGAGGGCAATTGTGAGCGTTCTGATCAGCCATGATCTGCTTTTCATGCAGACCATTTGATCAGCAGTATAAAGTCGCGAGTAAATATTATTTGTCACTGAAAATGCTTCAAGGTTAGAAAGTAAGAATCATCGGCACAAACGGAAAGATCGACGTCAAAGTGAGGAAAAAACGAAATGACGTGAAATGATATTGATGAATCTCCAACAAAGGGGAAACCCATGAAAACGCGTATTGGAGATGAATAGGAGAGGGCATAAACTTTTTAGCATGATACAACTCTTTTTTTTTGTCCCTCAATCTAGGATAAAAAAGAAAAAAAACAAATAAAAAAAGTCTCAGAGAAGCTGCTTTGAAGAACATCATCCTTATCACACAACAGAGAGATGACTCGCGTCACGTCTTCATTTAATCCGATTTCTTGGAGCGGACTAAAACCGAATCGTCGTGGTTAATATTGATACACAATCGATGAAATTTGTTTCATTATTTACCATCGTTACGGATCGGTATCTTCAAGCCCTGCTTTGCAAATGCCTTTGAAAGTTCAGTTGATTCTAATGGATCAGAAACCCCAAAAGCGGTGAATTGGTTAGTGATAAATCAATATAGTGACCACTTGTATTGCCATTTACCTGTCATACCCGGGAACTATGGGTAAAAAAAGATACATTGTTAATGAACAACAATGTATAAGGTGAAGATGACGGTTTTACCTTTTTAGCGGAGTAGACAGTGAAAGGATCTGAGAAGATTTGAGCAATTATCTTGGACTTGGCATCCGTCTGGAAATCCGAACTGGAAAAGGAGGCCGACATGGGTTAATACACAATATGAGAAATCACAATTCAAGATACCATGTCTTACCTCACAAGCTTCATAAGGCTAAATCGTAAAGTGTATTGGCCTTCCGTTCGGATACTCAAATCAGGGAAAGCAAAATAGAGACCTTGTTCGCCTTCCGGATCTTTGAGCAAGCTAGGAGAGCTCACCAAAGAGCCCATAAGCACTCGGGTACATTTAGGTGGATTCGAAATGATATTACGTTCTTCTTCCCGATCGGCTGACCAGAGCGTGACGTGAAGTACGAAGAACGGTGATTGAAGTGATCTATCCAATAAAAGTTGGTTAAACCATGTGGGATTCGGACACTAAGGAAAACGAGACGCCAAAGAAAAAGAAAAAACAAAAAAAAGAGTGACAGTAGCGCTATGCCAACGACGTTGCACTTACTGCATGTCTACTGGAGTTTGTTGATCGTCTTGTTGTACATTGAGCTTCACAATCGGCGGTGGATCAATAGGCCGTCGGTCCTTTTCGCCGAAACCGCACATTCGGGCGTGCAATGGTTGTTGACAGACGACTAATTCATATGTTCTATATCAAGGTAACCGACATCAGATGGAGTGACAAGATAACGAGTTTTTGGCATGACAGCGCTTTTGACTGAAACTTTGCGTTTCTTTCCTTGTTCTCACAAGATTATCCTGCATTCGTACCTTTTTTCTCGTTCGTCATAACCGATAGGTCCACAAGTGGCGTTATTATTCGCTGGTGGGTCAGTACAATCACTTGTAGCTGCTGGTTCAGGTGGGGGCATAAATCTCGGTGGAGGGCTTGACCACTGCGATGGGAGTATTTGTCTAGAGTCGGTGGAATGCAACCCCGCTACGGTCGGGATGGAGGGAGTAGGCACCGCAGGAGGGGCATGACCGTATGAATCGTTGGATGGATGAAGTTCGTGTGAATCATAAGGCCGCGCTGAATGTTTGTTGGGCTCATGCGAAGTGTGTGACATTTCGAGCTAACCGAAGAAACGTTCTGAAAGAAATTAAAAAAAAAATAAATAAAAAAGGATTCTTTCCCTTTGCCCCAAAACTGTCTTGGAATTCAGAAAAAGGCAACACCGTACTTTTTGAAAGTAAAGTCGCCTAACCTAAAAATCCGATTTCGTTCCTGAAAATGATTCGGCAAGAAAACAGATTTGCAATGTCCCATATCGTTCTTTGCGTTTTTATACTTATTTCAACTTGCTTTCGGGATTGCCCAAGCTATCTCAGAAATTATTGATTTTCTGTCTAAATCGACTTTGCCAGCGGGAATATCTGTGTGAACTGAGCCATTTCACTTGTTTTATTTAACGAAGCATGCATTGCCATTGGTGGTGAGGAAGTCCATTTCAGAAATTTCATATTCCGTTCCCGAAGGCACTATCTTGCTGGCCAGGTACGGGAGGGAAAAAAATGAGTGGTTGGCTCTTTGGATGAAAAATGGTTATCTGATTCTCATTATTTGACTGTTAGCACTCGTTGAGCATACAAAAAGGACTTTGGAGTAGTGGCATCTGCATCAAGACGGTAATACAGTCCACTTTATTTAGTGTGATGATCCATTGCACTGGCTACCTCATGTGCTACCATCTTTTTTTTATTGAGGCAGCCGTTTTTTTATTTAATATTTATCTGAACCGACCAACCGGGACCGAAGATAGGCCGATCGGACTCAAAAAGTCAATGTTTAAACTACGGGTAAAAATTTATCGATCGAAAATTCCACATTTCTGGGTAAAAGGGGAATCTGTCCCCACCCTTTCTTACAATGCGAATCCTTGTAGTTTCACTTACTTATTGGTTATCGTGTTGCCATGGCACTGGAAGTTGATGCTTCCTTTAGAATGCCCGAGCTAATCTAAGATGATCTCTGGCGTTCAAAAAATACATCAGAAACACAGCAATCCACGAACAGGGTCCTTACCTTACCCAATGCGTGGCTGGTTGTCAGGGCATGTTAGCAAATCCCAAAAGATCTCAGCGATGCCAGTGTCCGATCGATAATTCGCCAGATAAATTTTCTTACAAAAAAAAAATGCGATGGTTGTACAAACGCCAAGTTGGTTGTCAACTTTTTTTTACTAAAACACGAATGGTATAGACTTTATAATCCGCCTCTTACGCGGTTTTAATCCTACAATACAATGTTTGATGCGCTCATATACAGATCTAAAGGTATGCTTGCACTAAGCATCACAATTCACATTAAAACGTACTACTACTTATGATATATGTGGCGTCTATCTCTATTCTGGCTTGCCGATCAACCCTTTACCCCAGTTTCGAATGATGCTTGAGCATTGACTCAGAATGTGTTCCGATCGTGGTGTTTTCCACAAACCTAACGCATCCAACTGTCTTGCATGATGAACACATTGTTCCCATTTGAATTTCGCATAAAGACGGTTCTCAATGACCACCTAGGAAGAAATAATAAATATTAGTATGTTTCTCACCATCAATGGAAAGATAATTACGTACATCGAAATCAGAAATAGCGGCCGCTTGATGATCCGGCATTTGTACCGCGAAATCATCTGGAAGCACCCATAGTTCACTGCCTGCCAAGTAATTGCTAAACAGACAAGCCGATCGACTGTCCAAAAAGCGTTCAGCGCACCTAACGAGGATATAAGGATTAAAAAAAAAAACAAAAAAAAAAAAGGAGCCTCGAGAATGGCTGTTTTGGAGTATAATGCATACCAAGGTTGGACTGTTTTGCTTTCAATGACAATTGGTTCGTAATGTAGCTCGTATTCGGTCACACGATAGGGGGAGACTGCATTTCGCCAAGTTGGCCAATCGGTGGGCCCGCTATTGTCCTTGAAATGCTTGTCAACCATCATCATGGTTTGATTATCGACCAGATCCACTAATTGTTCTTTGTGATTCGGAACACTGTATTTTTCTTTATCGTATTCCGGGAACCCGAATGTAGGGATAATCAACAGATCGCCATGACGGAGTAGAGAGTCGAATTTGTCCTTATTTGCTGCCAATGTTTTGCGTAGTTCTGACGCCGGGACAATATGGGAGGGTATGTCCATGACGAAATCCGTCCGAGCAAATAATCGAGCGAGATTACGTTCTGCGTTACGAGGAAATTGGATGGACAGCTGTCCGGCGGTGAACGCTAAATGGATATCGACGTGATTGAACAATGGGGGTTCTTGCTGGTAAAGATGTTGAATGGATTGGAGCTCCGATGCTGTATTTTCGTCACTGGGCACATGCAGCGTGGCCGAGATTGGTCCTGCACCATGATACAACTCAATGATGAGATCCAAAGTCCAAATAGCGCCTTTGACTCTATATCACACGCCAAAAACAAACTACACAAAGCATCCTTTACCTTTCCAATGCTGGGCCAATCTTACTAGTTCAGGCCAAGTATTAAGAGTGACAGCTGTGACTATTGATACGTCATCGGGCATCGGTGGTTGGGCAGATTTGAGCCAAAACGGTTGCACATTCTCCGCCGCTGCGTATTCCGTCTTTGAAAACAGTTTCGACATCTTTAAACCGTGCGCCATAGTATTAAGCATCGAATATTGTTTATCTAATGAGAAGAACTGGTTTAAAGTCCCGCTTTTAAACGAAAGCTTTCCGAATCTTTCTTTTGTTTTGTTTTGACTTGTTTTGTTTTCTTTGCTGATGGAAAAATTTACCTTGATCATATGTTCTTTGAGCGACCCAGTGATCGCCAAACCGAGGATCCAGCCTAGGGCCTGACGTGAGCCAGTGCCATATATGATTGATGGACAAAAAGACCGAGAAAACGATGTAAAATAGGAGGATGAAGCGAGTCCACTTTGAACGGAAGAACTGGGACCACAGCGATTTATTCACTGGACCACCAAACGCTTTGGTTCGCTGAGTGTGAGGTAGCACGGGGCTGGCGGAAGGATCGAGCCAGGTGTCTAGGTGAGTGGAGACGCCTTGGAGGTAGCGGCGCCAAAGGGGAAGGGAAGCGTACTTTTTCGAGGGAAAGCTTGTATTGATGGGGGAAGGCGAAGGCGAGGCAGTGAAGTGCGACTTCTTCTCTGGAATGGAGTACAAGTGAGTTTGAACATTGATGGATGATTTGCGCTGGTGGGATCGTGTGTGTGGTGCTTTGGTGATTGATGTTGAGCGAGAGTGTTTCTGTCCAGCCGTGGTATTCTCACTCATCTTTTTCACAGAGACAAGCTGGGAAAAAAAAGACAGGAAAAAAAATAAAAAAAGGACCAGTCTGTGGATCAAAAGATGGATTGCCCCCTTTAATTTTTTTTCTTTCGTTTTTGGCCCACTCACACACCGCTGATTTTCTGTCTGGAACTTTTGAACGCCTGTCGCTTTTAACCATTGCCAGCAAAAATAAGCCGGAGAATCAATTGAACTCGCCTTCAACCAGTAGGACACAAGGCGGAGGATGACACGCGATCTATTTTCGTCCTTTAACTTTCATGGGATCGCCCATTTTTTTTTAATTCTACAGCATTCTTTATTCTCTCACTGCACTATTACAGAAGAAGTCAAAAAAGCGCCCATTTTATGTATTTTTTTTTCATGTGGCCGTGCATAAAAACAGTAACACCATTGAACTATTTTACTGTTTTACCTTTACTGTTTGGTTGCTGTGACAGTGAACCCCTTGGTCTCTATGTTCGTTATTGGACAAAGATATATACTTTTGATAATTGACTAATTCGATTTCGTTTGCGGTTACTATGTATGTTTTCAAGTTAATGTCCCCCATATTCCTTACCAGATACCAGAGTATCGCACCCAGATTTATAGCGTACTGATTTTCAACCATTACGGCTTTGAAAATTGCTGTATTGTGTCGTTCTGGGACAGGTTGACAGCAGCACTATCCTGGGGTGAAACGCAAATTCATGGAAGGTCCTTGTGTTTTGTCCATTTTGATTAGTTTGTCATCTACATTTGGATGGATATCGACCGAGATCAGGTGATAGCGACAAGAGAAAATATGTATGGGCCGGGAAACCCGTGTATTTCGGAATTACGGCAATCTGTGAACAATCGATGGTGCACCCAGCCCTGAATTCAAGGCACCAAAAGTTTAACCATTAAATTTCCGCTCGTCTGAGCCACTCTTGGCGGATTGATTAAGCGTTTTTGATTTTCTGGCAAATAAGCTTTTATCATCCAGCGGTTTGTCCTCCTTTCGTCTCTCTTCCTCTTTTTTTACCTCCTTCCCTTTACGCATTCATCGTCATGTCTTATCCTCCTCCACAAAACGGCTCGTATTATCCACAACAACAAGGTGGTTATTATCCTAATCCCCAGCAGGGCTATTACCCACCTCAACAGGGAGGCTACTATCAGCCCACGTAAGTATCTAAAACTTTATCTATTACTTCATCGAAATCAGATCAATAACCAAGACTACGCGATCATTATAGCCCACCACCTCAGACTGTCATTGTTCAGCAACCCCCACCACAAAAGAACGACGATTGCTGTACAGCCTGGTATGCATTCTCAATTTCTCATCGATCATTTCATATAGGAAGAAATATGTAATTGATGAATCATTTTCCATTGTAGTTTGGCGGGTATGCTGTGTTGCTGTGTTTTGGAAGAATGTTGTTAATCTCTCGGCGTTGTCCTTACTACCTCATGAACGAACTACTGTCGCATCTTATACTACCACTATCATAAAAGAGAAAAAAAAACCTCTATTTCAAATCATGGTATTTCTTTTGTATCCATGGCTCCTAGCGAGTTAATAAATAATCTGAGAATAAGAAAGAAAACCCTCAGGTCTCATCTTTACCTTTCATCGTGATTATAACATGACCGTCATCCTCCATGCCATGCACGAGCAATCCTTACAGTGCCCGCTGGGATTTTTCCCACTGCGGTGGTATACAACGTGTTGTCATCTCTGACTGGGTTGTACGAACTTTTGCGGTCATTCCTCGCTCCTATTTCACCTTGACACCCTATTCGTCCGGATCTCATTTTCGTTATTGCTCTTTTCCGACTATTTTTCCGCTTTTTGTCGGTTGCTCAGCTCAGCTGGCTTTTTCTTATCCGGGCAATTGGAGGCACCATTCAGAAATAGCCAAAAGTTGCATCTCCACGACGTACATTCTCTTTGTCCAAGATAACAATAGCCAATTGACCCTTCCTTTCGCCGGAGCATGATAAGGGGTCTCGCAGATCACTCTTCATTCAGGGCAATAAATAATCTGGATGTAATTCATAAACAGCGGTCGCAAGTCGTTATTATCCAATTCCTTTCACGTACCAATTGAGAATACCATGACCGGCAACGCATCATTTACGGTCGCTCAATCTGCCTGATTTTGAATTAAGCTCAGGTTCCCAGAACAGGTGTGGATGGAAATCAGGTCTTTGATTCGTTGGTTTTCTTGCATTACCAAAATCCGTCTCCTGGATTCCATGGCAAATTTAAACCTTTTTTTTTAGCAAGCAGGGGAGCCACTGTAGGAGACAGTTTTCGCAACTTCGCAAACCCTGTATGATCGTTCACAGGTCATGTTACTATACAGGCTGCTATTTCTAAAACGAGCTCTACAAGTGCGGTCGAAGGAAATGCTCAACTATTTCATATCGCAAGTCAGCGTGTTTTACAACTTTACCATGTCGTGCGAGGTGTTATGTTACTGAAACAAAGAACCAACCATCAAAACCGCAACTTTTAATTGACACAACTAATTAATGCGACCAATCAAAACGTCATATGAGTGAATGCTCCAGGAAAGTCTTGTTGATTGACCATTCGAAGCCCCGGCCTTATTTTGAAAGATTTGAGCACTTTTGATCACAAAAATGTTGCCAAAAATGGAAATATCGAACCTGTTGTGTCCAAGTTGTTTGGAGAGTGTGATATCCATAATTGGAGCTGCTGTACCCTTTGTATGCGAATGAATTTATAATGTCGAGAAACAAATAATATGTTCTAAATTTACAATGCATGAGCAAGCTTTCTACAGTCCTCTGATAAATACAACGTATAGTTCGCCGACAATAACACTGGCAGTACCAACTGCCAAAATCGGAAGAATCATGATATTCCACTTTAGGAATCGAACATAGCCAAGTACATGAATGCCTTTTGTTTTCAAGATGTGATCAAACCTACAGACTCCATTAGCCGATGCTACAGTGCGCAATAAAGGTTTTGCTTACATAATTCCTGCCAGGCTCCCAATAATCGTCAGGCAAGCCCCAATATTGCTTCCAACAATAAGACCAAGGATCATGCCTTGCATGACTGCATCAGACTGAACGCGCGAGGTAAAATTGGGATGTTGAATCATTCGAGTAAAAAGAATCGTCATGGGTATATTGTTGAGAAATTGGCACACAAGAATCGAAACCGCCACGGAACCATAAACCGCCGTGATATAATTCTTGGTGAACACCGATAATGCAATGGCAAATGTGCCGATCCACCCTGTGTCGGATAGTGCCTCAACCAGGACAAACATGCTCAGGCTAAAAGGTAGAACCGCCCATGGCATGCGTCCGATAACAGCTACCACGGTCGGCAGCTTAGATTTGCACCAATTGAATTTGGCCAACAGCCGCGAGGGCCATCTTTTGCCTTCGGTCTTTGGAACATCGCTGTGCTGTTGCTGCCATGACTTTGGCGGTGCTGACTCTCTGTGACTCTGCGTGGCACCGGATTCCAGGGTCAATACTGACTGGCCGTTTACCGAAACGTGATCGGCCACCACGGACGAGTTTCGGCTCTGCTTCTCGGTATGGAGACGATAGTTTATACCAGACGTACCAATGTCAGGTAAGATATCCATGGCGATCGCCGAACCGCTTGTTAATGCTTCATCAGGATGGACGACATCGAGCTGCGGTTCGCTCTTACGACGTGGGCTCCACGGGTAATGTTTCTGAAGCTGTAAGTCGTAAGCAATATCGCGTGCAAGCATGATAACGGCAAACGGTAAGGTAACCATCCAAACCGAAACGCTTCTCACAAAGGAGGTTCCAATAAGTGTGCCGAGACAGCATACTAAGCATAGTATACCAAATACGGCTCCGGTGGGATCGATGAGCGCTCTACGAGGATCGGCATCGGGAGGATAAATAACGCGGGGTAAGTACTTTGGATTATTGAACAGGACACGCAAAACGATGAAAGCCAAAAGTAAGCACACGACGGTGGGTAACAGCATCCAAGCCGAGTACTGAACAAAGTTCATGTTGTATGCCTGCGACACTACGACATTGGTGGGGTTACCAATGTATAGAGCCATCGACGCTGTGGTTTGTGAGATCAGTTAAGTCAAAAATTGCATGATCTGTCACCGGCAACTTACCAATATTGGCCGTGGTGAATTCGCTCAGCAGAAAAGCTGTAGGATCGATACCCGCTACACGCGTAAAGTACGACAAAAATGCTGTGCCAGTGAGGATAACTACGTCGTTGCTGGTCAGTGCGCTCATGACACTGGTAAGGAGAAAGAACAGAAAGAACGCCAACAATCCCCGTTGCCCGGCTCGACGAGAAGCCCACAGTGCGCAGAATTGAAGGAAGCCCGTAACATCAATAGAGATACAAATGTAAGCCTATTCATTGAATTCTTAATACAACGGGTTTCTTTGGGTGGTTTCAACATTACGTTCGGATTGTTTGATCATACCAACGAATAAAACAAGATCATGATCGCATAAGGCTCCACTCCTTGACTGCCCAGACATCCTTTACCGACAATATCAAAGTCGATCGCACGGCAAATCAACAATATGAGAACAGCGAGAGGCGGGGCCGTGGCCAAGTTAAACCGTAACTTTATACGACGACCCAAACGCAGAGTCACAGGGTGAATGACGGGAATCAAGGCAACGAGAAAAAGACATAATGTAACATAGGAGTAAGCATTGAGTTGTCGTCCGGGATCATCGACAGCCATCGGTAGCCACCGTCAAATGGGCTGTCTTTGGTTATGCGTCGAAATATAAGAAGGAAGAAGAAAAAACGGTGCCACCGATTTTTTACGTCATTGACCCCAATATGAGACATTGTTTAAAAATGCTCTATGGCCGTTGGCACTGAGGCGAAAAAAAAAATTGCTTTTCGGTCATGAAATGTCCTTATTTGCAGGTTATTCTTCGAAGGATCGATCCTGATACAATATATTCTGCCCTGCAAATATTGACATGCAATAAACACGTGCCAAGAGGGGATTCATTCATGGAGACTTGCTTGTGGACTCAGCATTTGGTTGATGCTCCGTGCGAGTGAGCAGTAATAACAGCGAATCTAACACCAACGCCTGATCAACGAACTCCATTTTCTCTTATCAAAAATGAAGGTAGATAATAATAAATCTGTATTTCTGGGTGTTTATAATCAACCATAATTGTATTGAGACGAATACGGTTATCAACGACGGAAATCATTAGTGCTTAATCGCATGGAAATATTGGCAGGCAAAGTTGTGTGGGTCGCTTTCTTGTAATTTTCTTGTTTCTTCGGTTTCCTCCGCATTCTTGCTAGCAATAATGCTACCTAATGTTCATTAGCTTTTTCACCTATGTCTCCAACCTTTTTTTTTTCTCGTGAAGTGCAAGCTTTTGGATCTGTTCCGGCTGCTCTCATTGACTGTGTTCTCACGAACTGTGCAGGTTCAAGGCAAATCTCCCCGCCCCCCGCCCCCCCAAAAAAAAAAATATGTTAGCTAAGGCGCCCTTCATTGTAGATCAAACAATGAAACCTGTGGTGGCCTAATAAGGAACTCTAACAAGTAAAGAGGCTACCTTACAGCCTTTCCGAATTTTAATTGGGGAAGGGAGGACGATACAACTCCTTGCTCTTTTCTCCAAAGCAAGCGAGCCATTGTTTATACGGCACTTCACTGAAAGATCATGTCGGAATAAGCTCCTCGACCTTATGAGAAAATGATAAACCCGCTTGTTCCATGTGAATCGAAGATATGAAAGAGGAAAAGTCTGTGTGCAACATGTCGCAGACCTATTCCCTCACTGTACCATCTTTCGGAACGGCTTTCCGTGAGCACCCTTTTTCGCCTTGCGCCTGATGCGTCCAGGTTGAGCTAAAGTAATAGATGCGTTGCAGACTGACCTGCATGATGGACGCTGCAGTGACTGCGGTTAATCGTATGGGTGCTGTGGCCAGGGTTACGTGCATTGAATCGGCTGTTATTTTCTTTCCATGTGGTTAAGTGATACTCAAAGTAAATGGTTGAACTGGCTAATAAGCACAAGAAACACTGTATCACTCATTGATTATCACCTGCGTATGTGCGCGTATGTACTTGTATTACAGAAATTGGCGTGGGTTTACTAGGTTTTGGCATCTTCTTCACAGTGATGGGTGTCATGATGCTATTCGATCGTGGATTGTTGGCGATTGGTAATGTAAGTTTGTCAATGCCCACGCGCACCTCACTTCCTTAACGTGACTGATCGGGTGAAAGCGAAGTTATTGAGCGTAGGCGGTCTGGGAACAATCCTGGGACCACAAAGAGTGTCGCATATGCTTGCACGGAGGGACAAACTGCGCGGAACTCTTTGTTTCACGTGCGGCATTCTTTTGATTCTAATAAAGTATCCTTTCTTCGGATTGATACTCGAATTCATTGGGGGCATACAATTATTTGGGTACAGTTCACGTCATGCAAAGCCAAGTTTTCTTCAAAATGCTCAACAGCGGATCGTTTTTATGTAATACAGGGATTGGTTGCCCACCGCCTTCCGTTTTCTGTGTCGATTGCCAGTGATCGGTTATGTTGTCCAGCAATTGCTTCCCCGTCGACAATAACCCCAAGTTTCCTTCAATGTTGGCCATGTTATCCTATTCTGACGGTTATTTACAAGCTACTGCTGATTATCTCCATTTGGGCGTGCATATCTGATGGTAAACAAGCGAGGAGCATCGATGGTTGGTTTCACATCACATGGCGTACCCAAAACACATACAGCAATAGCATCCTATTTCTTTTCTGGAAACAAATCCGAAATCACCGCCGCAGAAGGATAAGATTGCTTTACACACAAGGGTTCCAAACTTTCACAAAGTAGAATACAATCTATTAAATGATTTGATCATGAATAAATGATTCGGTTCGGTTCGGAAGTGGCGGTACAACAGAATAAGTGTTGGTTACAAAAATGCACTGAGAAAAAGCAAATGGCTGAATGACGCTTTCAACGCCAGTTTTAGCACACAAAACGTGTTCGTCTTATTACCTTTGTGTTGCACGATCCACTTCGGAGCGTATTAGTTTTTGCCTACCTTATTTTTGGACTTGCCATTTTTTTTTTGAAGCTTGCTTCTGTAACTTTTTGGCGCCCCTTATTCTTGTTGCTCCTCATATCCTGCTAAAAATACAAGGACGCCCACATACCCCTCTTCCAGCGAGTGACCTTTTTCTCACTTTATTCTCCATATATACATAACTTTTTTTTACACATATACTCTGACTCATCCGCATTCCGCACAATCCCAGATAAACATCCTCATATACACATAAACGACAAAGGATGACCGCCAATTTGGACATTCTTTCCACCGATCCATCGTCCAAAGTCCAGTCTATCCCATTTCCGGAAACCGCTCTCGATAGCTCTTTTACCCATCCTTCCTCAACGCCATTCCCAACTTTGACAGTCGCACCAGAGTATCGGCATCTACGGACAGAAACCTTCCTTCGCTGGGTCAATGCACGCTTGAACGTCGACCCGCCCATCACTTCTCTTTGCCAACTCGTGCAAAGTGACGCCTTGTTATCCTTTGTATCAATACTATCGAATGTCGATATACCCGTCTCCAATGAAAAACCACCTGTGCTTCGATTGCTCGATATGCTGTGCGCTTGGTTAGACGTTTCGAGCCTTCCGCTGCATATTCAAGACGACGCTTTACTCCATGGAGACCCAGAACAGCTGATGACCCTATTATGTTTCATAGCAACTCAATATCAATCATATACCCTCTATTCTTTAGCAAAAGAACCATCTGCATATATCAATTCCCATGTAAGATATTATACCGTTACTGAGCAGAAAGAGCGAGAATTCTTTGAAAAAACTGGATGGAAAAAATGAGCGACTTTTTCTTTTTTGGGGGTTAATAATGAATTATTCTTTGTCAGATTCATTCGCATCATACGCTTCCCGCTACATCAGAAACGAGCGAACAGATCATCCTTGGTTGGACTCGAACTATTCTAAAAGACTATGTTGATGCATCCATTTTACCGCCTGTAACAGACTGTGCCGATTCCTGGCAAGATGGCTTGTATTTCCTGGCATTAGTACACTATCATGACCCATCGCTCGTCGTCAATTTCTATGACTTTCTCTATTCGCACGATAAGCATCATCGACCACAATGGAATCGGACGCTCACGACTGCATTCGATCTCGCTCAAACTGCTTTTCAGATCCCCATCTTACTCGACCCTCATCTGTTGACCGAGCGTCCGTCCGTCGACAAAGAATGCATTCTCATCTATCTTGCCGAATTCATTCGTGCCGTCAGTTCCTTACAGTTATCGGATCATGTGAAAAAACGACGCCTTAAAGATATCGAGCGACTAAAGCAAAGTCAATTCTCTCCCCGACTCGAAAACTCTTCCTCCACACCTTCATTGTGCAGTGCTGGCTCCGATACTGCGGATGAACCATTCACAACCTCGACCACGCGGACCTCGACCTATACCGTCCAACAACTACGTATCACCAAAACCACCACCATGAAATTTGCAGACGGGACGGATGTCCCGGTCGAACTGGAAGAATTCGAGACGCGGGCCGCTGCCGCCATGGACAAAATTACCGCATTTCAAAATCGACTTGACATTATCGTACCCACACGTTCGTCCAGTTATCACCCCATGCCGTCTTCCACCACCCCTGAAGGTCATGCATCGCCATTCAGTGATCTGGAAATGACCAGCCCCACACGATCCGCCACCGAATCAGATGAACACCATACACGCGCTTTACATCCACTGCACGCCGCTAGCGAAGATCTGTCGACGTATGACACCAATCTCAAAGCTTGTCAAGCCGCGTTTCAAGCTTTTATGGATTTTGATTTAGCAGCGTTTCATCATTATGCCAGTAATGAACTTGACACGCCTTGGTGTGACGACGAACGGGTCCTTGCGCGGAAAGACCAGATCCAACGATCTATGGATGCTTTACGTACGAAATTCGACGAAAGCGAACATCATCTGGAACTGTTCCGACGCGGATTCTCTTTTGCGCAGTATTGCACCATGATTCGCAACGAACTCGATGTCATCCAAACCAATATGGTGAAATCGATTACTACCGACACCGACATTCAAGACCTGGAACACCGTATTGAGAGGACTTCCGGCATGATTGAAACCATTAAAACGACCTTCTCCGATCTGTTACTCAGTTATGCCGATGGAGACAGTCAAGCATTGATAAAGTCCGGTGCATTGCCCAAGGACGATGCTTATCAAACTCGTTTTGATGCCATCGTTCAGAAAAACGAACTCGTCCGTACCTGGGTGGAAGAGGTACGTATCTGGTTCGCGGAAGCCGAACGAATTCGACAATGGATTGGTATTCGCATCGAACAACTCGGAGAAACGGTTCTTCCGGACCCCTTGAGTGGTGGCGAACTTCAAATTCTCGGCAACGACATTGACGTGTGGAATGCAAAGCACGCGGTTCTGGAAAAAGAAATCGAAGCTTTTGACAAGGAAGATATGGCCCGGCTGCGTGCTCATGTGAAAGCATTAACCGGTGGTGGAAGACCCGACAAAGATCTTAGCCCGGCCGACACTACGACCATCGAAATTACGTTGACCACACTCACCACGTTGGATAAACTCATGCATTCGCTTCGAGACAAGACCTATGTTTTGCAAGTGTTAACGCGACGCACAGCTTGGGAAAAAGAATACCAAAAAGCAATGGCGTGGTTAACGGATACCGATAAAGAGCTCGACGAGTTTCTCAACGGCGATGCGCGTTGGCAAACAGTGGAAGAAGAAGCTTCAGCCGCGGAGATTCCCAAAAGAGAACGGCTCATGGCCAAGGAGAAGCAAAAAGAACGCATCATTCAACAACTGCTTGCGCTCGAACGAAAAATGACCGAATTTGATCAGGGACAATTCACAACGACCGTGAATCTGTTCCAAGACTTGGACGATACCGCCAACATTGATTTACCCGATCATCTTGAGGGCCGACAGTCGCACTGTGAGCAATTGTTTGAGGACCTTTTGAAACGGCGCACATTTGCTCGTCAAGTAGTCGAACAACGCTTGAATGTGATGGATTTTCTGTACCAGGTGGATCTCGTTAAAACGGATGCAATGCAGTTACAATCCGATCTCCAAGAAGCGCAGCATCACGTTCGGCCGGAAGATAATGATCACGAGATGACCAATCGGGTGCAAACCATGCATGAAAAGATTGTACAACTGTTGACCGCTGTGGCCAGCCGCATACCTTACCCAAGTCCGCAAATGGAAATCGATAAAGAAAGTAACGACGCGGCCAATCAAGATATTCACACCTTCATTGACGGACAGCGAACCGATCTCATCTTACTCAGTGAAAGGTTGGAACAACAATTGGAAGAACTACGCAAGGCCCTGCAACTTCATCGACGCGCGAAGCAACTCAAAGACGATGCCATGCGACTCGCCGAATGGGCAGATGAACGCGTGACTCATGTGCGAAAAGCCAGGGTCGATGCGGGAACCGATGCCAGCACGTTTAACATTGACGAACTCCAGCGTCTCGAACAAGATCGGACAAACCTATTAGACAAGTTGGGCGGTGGAAAAGAAGATGAAGCCGTTGACCTAATTACCAATATCCACCTTCTGCTCGAAAGCAGCCGCGCTTTGGAAAATGGTGATTCGATCGACTGCGACAGTTTGAAGGAAGCCTCCGATTACCTTTCCAACGTCTTTGATCGCTTACATCAAGTACTCGACGATCATGGTCATGATCTGCAAGCGCTTCGCAAAAAAATGGAAGATGACAACACCTATTTTGAAAATGCGAAAACATTGCGTGCCTCCGTCAACGAAATACGAACATCCATACCTGGATTGAAACAAAGCTGCGGGTTCATGACCGGACAATCGGAAGAACAAGATCGCCATCGTTACGAAATGCTGATCAATGCGCTGCAAAGGTTGGATACTACGTTTGAAAGTCAGCAGCAACAATTCAATGAGCTTTACGAACATTTCCATGCCATGGAACCCGACAAGATTGAAAACATTGAAGAAACTCGGGAAATGCAGCAGCAACTCCACAAGGACTGGTCGCAACTGAAAGAGGAAATGGACGATTTTCACCGATTTAGCGACACGGTCAAACAGTGGTACGATCGTCAACGACGTCTCAGCCGGGTGGAGAATGACCTACTTGCAGGCTTGAACGATGAAATTGCTGCCCTAGCACAAAAAGGCTGGAACGAGGAGCAATTGCAGTCTGTGGAAGAAAAGCTACAGAACGTATTCAATATGCTCGTGGAAACCGATGCCGAACTTCGGCAGGCCGACACGAAAGAAGATCCCTTACATACCGCGAACTATTCTTGTGCTCGTGATCGTCATGCAGGATTGATGGCGAAAGCTCAAACGGTCGAAGCCAATTTGCAAGCTCTGAAGAAAGACGCCAACAAAGCTCTCGCATTCAGCATGTACTTGGGTCGGGCCGAAGCCTTGTTGGCTCAAGTGCAAGAGCAAAAAGAAGCCTCCGCCCAACGTTTAGCACATCACGGTAGCACCAATTTCGCCGTAGCCGATCCCGCTCAATTAGAGACAATCCAAAAAAATATACAGGCGGATATCACTCAAGGTGAAGCCATCAAGGAGTCGCTTCGTCATGAAAACAAGTTACTCTGGGAAGAAGCAGGCAAACTTCAGATGCAAGGTTACGAAAGCCGATCCGTGCAAGAGCCAGCCGAACGGGTGGATGAGAATCTGGCGCAGTTAGCTAACGCTTTTATGGCGGAAAAGCGTCAAGCCGCTTTTCTACGCAAACTGCAGATTCATGCCAAGGCCGCCAATGACCTTTCCAGTTGGATCAGTCAATGCAGGAACGCAGTCTTGCAACTCCCCACGGACGTGTGTATTGCAGAAGAGGCAGACATCCGAGCGGAATTGGAAGGGCTGGAACATAAGATGGCGGAGATCATGCCTACGATTCAGGCATTTCAAGCCATGGAAGCACGCATTACAAGCAAGGAAGGGCAGTTGATTGATCTGAGCAGTGTTGGCATGGAAGCGAAGGAAATTCAACTGGCGCTCAAGGCGAAGGAAGATACCGTACTTCAACAATGGAATGATTTACGCAAGCAATTGGACCAAGCGAAACTGTCGTTGGACCAATCAAGATGTGGGGTAGAAATTGCCAGAAAGGTGAAGGGAATCCTCACGCTTGTAGGTGATCTCAAACGCCGGGCCAACAATGTGGAGATTTGCAGTGCCATGGCCGATGAGGAAGCCAAGATTGACGTCAAAATCATTACGAGCTGTCCACTGGCAATGATGCCAACCGAACGAGAATCGGCTGCCGCCAAATCCGCGCTGGACATTTTGGATCATGATATTGAGCAACATTTGCAAGTGGCAATCGATGATTTGGACATTATGCTGAAACGGAACAGCGACACGGCCAAAATCTTTGAGGGACAACGAGCAGAAATCACGGAAGCCGTCCGTGGATTGACTGACATTATGAAAGCCAAGCGACAGGCAATCGGTAAAGCGGAACGGATGGAAGGATTCCTAACGGTGGTGGAGGAACTGGAAGTTTTACTCTCGGCCTTATCCGAAGTGGTGGATCGTGCTTCTCCTGAACACGCAAGAATGTCGGCAGACCTGTACAGCCGGGCGGACCTTCAAGCCATGTTGATCGATTTGGATACACGATACCGTTACTACGAGCCTAAAATCAATGAATTGATGGATGAAGCACAAGGAGTCGCACAAAATCTACTGGATGATCGACGTGTGAAAGAATGCTTGAAAGAACTAGCAGAAAAGTGGACTCAATTGCAAGCAGAAGCGGCGGCGAAAAAGGCGGACTTATTGGCTCGCATCGGACCTCTGCAGAATCCGTATCATCCGCTGCAAGCCCATTTGGTGGGACTACAAGAGCGAGGACAAAAAGCGAGTGAAGACGCCGCAAAACGTGGAAAGACGGGCTTGCAGGGTCAGGCGCCTCGTCCACAACCTGTGCAATCCACGCCACGGCTGATTGGGCGTACAAACAACGCAAGAGCAACAACCCCAGCAACACCAACGCAGCGTGTACGAACAATAACAGGTGTTTCACCGATTGCGCGACGTGTGGCAGCTCGATCCGTGGCAGCACAACGTCAGCGGGCCATGACCAAGACACCAGAAGCGTATGTTGCCGATCCGAAGAATGATCTCGATGTTGCTTTGGGAAGCATCGTAAATGACTCACCCTACAAAGTGCGAGTCAAGATGGTGCCGGGAGAAGTAGGAAAATATTGGTTTGGTGACACCAATCCGAAACTTGCTTATTGTCGGATCTTAAGAAGTCGGATGGTCATGGTTCGTGTCGGCGGCGGATGGGTTGAATTGTCCCAGTTCTTGCACGACCATGCATTACTGGAAGGAGGAAAGTTTGTACCACGGAATACGGATGGTGGAAACGGTCAGGGCCATATCCGCGAAGGTTTCTTACACACGAATCGCGCCACTTCACCAGGTGGTGTGGTGACCATCCGTGGTGGTGGTGGTGGCAGAACAAATGGAACGGCCTCACCTATCATGCGTGAGTCACGATCGACACCATACCACCGTGGCCTGTCTCCCATCTCCTTTGCGGGCGGTCATCACGGTATCAAGAACGGAAATAAATTCCTCGTTACAGATGGCGAAGGAAATCAAGTAGAAGTAAAAATGACCAAGGCCAAAACCAAAGACTCCAAATTCATCACTCCATGGCGAACCAACTGATCAAACCCCATTGTTTTATACGCGAAATTATCTATTGATTCCCTATTCTTGTCTTTGTTTCATGTGTACATAAAGTTTTTCAAAAAAAAAAAAAAAGTCTTTGCTGTGTAATGCGCCGAATTTAGCAGACGATCAGCCTTCTCTTTAATTTTGTTCTTCGTTTAACGGATGCTTTGTATGATGTGACTTTTCAGATTTCAACACGCTACGCGCTACTGGGAAATTCGATTGACTGATCGAAATGAACCGCTTTTACTGCACCACTATCGACGCACGATATATCGATATTTCAACTTCCAGCTTAACACTACTTATTGTCAACCAAAATAAGAGCGATAATGCAAGAAGTACATATGAAGCCATTTATGTATTGATTGATTGGCAATCATCCACCAAAGCTTTTGGGTAATTGGCTGGAAAAGAAGGCATTCGCAGCGGGGTTTATATGCGCGTAATACATCTTTCTTTTGGTGTTGTCAAGAAACGACGCATTTGAACTGCACGGATACATCCCAAGAAGAATGCTGCATTTATTAACTTCCTTACTCCTATTGAGTAGAAATACTCTTCAGAAGTGTTATGACAAGGTTTGTCAAGGTGAACATCAATTAAGGTTCTTGAGTCCTTGAGTTCCATTATTTACGCTTACTCTTAGATGTAACATAGCCATGGTTACAGATCATGGAGACCAGACTTGGTTGCGATGCTCAATTCTCATTAGATTTTGTTTGGCCACCAAGAGAATAACGAAGACTATTAAAATTGAAAAAAAAAATTAATTTAGGAAGAAGGATCAGAAAAGCAGCAAGATTTGAAGAATTACTTGATATTCCGGATCAGTTTTCCCTGCTTCACCATGGATGCCTTTAAGTCAATTATGTAAGCCTCAAAAATTGACGTAGTATGATTATCCGTCCTTTGGTTTCTCTTCATAATCCACAAGTTAATTGTTTTCGTTTTGTTTTGCTTTGTTTTCTAATATTACCTTGTTGTTGCTGCTTTCAAATAGAAAAGAAAAGCGAGCAGAAGGATCGTCTATTGTCCATGTGGAAATTTATATCTCGCTGTCCCTGACAATGCTTTTGTATTCAATATGTTCTTCGATATGATGAATTCTGTGTAATGGTTTTATTCATATTTTGAGCGGTCAAAGTATTTTCATCGTTTTCTTTTTTTTTGGATTTTCAGATCATGGCGGAGATGGGTCAGTAGATGAGTTACTTGCATATGCAACGGGCGGAATCCGTTCGTGTTACTCAAAAGAGTCGAACTAGACGGACTTTTAATCGCTGTATAGCTGAAATTGAAAACTCCACCGCGATATACAGTCAAAGGCCGTAAAACATGTTACTATTCTCAGATCCGAAAATATACATTAGGCAATACTAAGATTTTATTTGCTGATTCTAGCTTTTTTTGCAACCCTGTCGACGTTGCCACTTTCTTGTAACAGCCTCTTGTATTTTACGTTCAAAAATAAGCTCATCGTTGCTGCTGTCAGTATAGTATAATTATCTTCTACCCCAGTCACTGCAGTAAAAGCAGTCCATCGTATTCGCGGAAGACATGACAGAACATCCAAGCTTATGTCAAGACGGAGAGTTCAACATGTTGTGTCCGCCGACTGACTGACGGTATTCACCTGCACATGCATGGATCGATTGATTTGCTTTCTTCCAGATAAGGGATTCCCCAATCGAATAAAATTAGGTAAACAAGTGGACAAGGAAGCACGAGAAAAAGTGATGTAACTGCCCTTTTGTTCCTTAATTTCTTTCATTTTATCTTGAATTCTGGAAACAGTAAACATGGACGATCCTTCCAGCATCCTTTTTTTGAGGTTAGTATTCGACAATTTTCTTCATCTAGTAATAAAGAAGGATTGGGGAATCTGATAATTCTGACCTATAAATACGGTTTCCTGCATATTGTATTTACTTTTTGCCTCTGTGCTAAATTTTGGGAATTCCAAACGGAGAAAAAACCACATTTTACATGACACAACCGCAACTTGGTTAATACAGAAATACGCACAGACACCATGTTGTGTGCCGACGTGCATATGTTTGGACTGGAGAAGAAAAAGGATATTAAAGCAAAGGATTTTACGGGCCAACAGCTAAGCTGACCAGATTTGGCGGATATTTCCTTCCATGGGTCGGCGCACTTTTCCGGGGCTTGCAATAGAGTTATGAATGGAACACAAGAAATTGACGGATTCTGAAATTGTTTCCATCGCCAACTCCGGTGACTATGGGAACTTTTAAAGTTTTTTCTTTTTTTTTTTTTTCTTGTTATAAACGTTGGAGTTTTCGCACTAATGCACAAAAGAGGAGCACAATTTATTACAAATAGATGATTTTGTCAACCGGTTTTAGCCTTTTTTCATCTTGGTAGTTTTTTGATGATGAAGCATATGGAAAAAGCACGGATGGGTTCTAACGACAACAACCATGCAAGCGGTTGAGGACGGAACGAGTGAAATCAGAAACGTGCAAGGTGGTACAATCCTTGTTTTAGTGTTCATGCACACGTTTTACCAGCCCAAGCGCACGTCCATCGTTTCTCTCAGAAAAAAAAACCAACTTCTTTCATTGAATGGATGCACTGCAGGTACGACTCTTGTTTCACTTGATGTCGATCAATTTTGCTCGGATGAATCACTTTGTCGAACGGTTGGATGAATGTGGATAAATAAGTAGCGATGGAAAAAAAAACTCGCTATATGTGGCAATTATATCACCTGGCTAATGATCCCATTTCCCGTTCGAGAGTCAAAGTATGGTCTCTTTTTTTTTTTTTCGAGAAAAAAAAAAGAGCCAACCAAACTGTTGACCTGCTTCTGTCCCTCAACCTTATCCTTTTTCACTTTCCGACCCATTAAGACTTGGGCCCATAAAAGCTACTCAAAATTGCAGCCACCCTACTACAATCCCTCTCTCCCCCTTTTTTCTTTACTTCTTAATTGTGAAATCGGGAATCTGTTTATTTGATTAGGCTTATCTTTTGTTGTCTTTTGTCTATTATCTCGAAACGTTTATAATTTTCTGTGTCTCTTGTTCATATACCTCTCTTCAGCCATGAATTCAATTCACGATGCGAAAGATTGGCATATTTCTCAAGCTCCTTTGCAAAGCCCATCCGTTGCTGAAACTCCTACCACGCCTCAACCACACATGCAACATTACTCGCCCATGCCAGCCATGGATCACGCTTACGGTCACCCCTTCTCTCAGGGACCCATGCATCCGCCAGTGTAAGTCAAGTCTGTCAATTCCCGTATTCCCTTTTTTTTGTATGTTGTAACCATGGTGTACCCATCTGTGTGCCATCATATGAAAAATACAGGGAAATACCCAACGAGAAAAAAGAAAAAATCCTGTGTGTAGTACAAAATTGGCAACTCACCATTCCGTATCCTTCTAATTTAGACATCAGCAACCGCCATCTACGGCTAGTTTTCTACCTCCGAGTAAACCGGATTCGGATCCAAGATTGCCTGGGTGAGTATTTTGTTCTGATTGATCTCATTACCATTTTCTTTTATACTTCTCATTTGCCTCTCCCAAGCTCAATATACTCTCATTGCTTTTCCTTTCCCTATTTTTATCATTGACATTATTTCTACTCTTTTCAAAAATCCTTTTGCTCTGCAAAGTGAAAAAAAAAAGAGATCAACCCTTTTCCAGCCAATCTGTGCTAATGCTTCCCACCATTGATTCTAGTATGATGACGCTTTCTCAACCGGGTACTCCGCGTCCTACGCTTTCTCCCACAGATGGAAACCGAAAAGGGCATCTTGCCTATTCTACTTCCTCTTTCCATGCTGCACCTTATCCGCACCCATCGTTGACCAGAAAAAGAGGCAGAAACGATCCCTTGTTCTCTTCTGAGCTTGGGCCCTTTTTCAGCTCTACTAAACCTACCGATAATCTCTTTGCTTTGGATAGATCTAGTCTGTAAGTTGCTGTCTGACGTGCTTTTTTTTCTGTAACGTGTTAATAATGGTTGCTATAGTTTGAATGTTCGTATTCACGCTAAAATGGATCGCGGCTTCTTTCTAGCTGATAACGACTGGACATGTTATCGTCGCAATTATTTCCAAGTCAGTACAGCTTTTTCCATTCACGGATTAAACAATTACTACGGTGATCATGAGAGTCAATGTTTGGTGCAAGTCGATGGTATGTTCCACCCTGTTCGTCAATTCTTGATCAGCATTTCCGCGCGTGTTTCCAACAGCGACAAGCGAATTGAGCTGGTTCAGCATACGCCCAAACGTGACAAGGGACCCCAATGCACGCCGACTCCTCGACCAATTACTCCCGGAGGCAACCTCAGCATGAGCTCCGTCGGCACGAATCAAAACATTGTGACCTTTGAACGCATTCAGTTCAAGACGGCAACAGCTAACAATGGCAAGCGTCGTGCCGCTCAGCAATACTATGTGTGCTTGGTGGATTTGTATGCTGATTATGGCGATAATAAACAAGTCAAGGTGGCATCCTGCCAATCGGCACCTCTGGTGGTTCGCGGTCGTAGTCCCGGTCACTACTCGGATAACCAAGATCGCTATGATCCTTCCATGACCATGGCAAATGCAGCGCCGGCTTCTCAACCTGCGGATGATCGATTCGCAGCTCAGTTTCCTCGACCGCCCATGACTCCACCGAATATGATGCCTGGTGGTGAGTACGGCTCGCCCTATCCCTATCAATACAATTACCCTCATTTTGCTCCAGTGCATACACCACTTCAACCAATGATGATGACTAATGCCCCACCTACGCCCACAGCGGCTGCTCCGCCTCCGCCTCCCCAACACCTTCCTGCTACATCCACTCCATATTCGCATCCTTCTCACCCTTATATGGTTCCAAGCATGTCCGATCCTTCGTCCTCTGAATCATCCTCGCCGGATTTGTATACCAATGAATACAACACAACTATACACACGCCTGACGACTCGAAGCTTGGCCATCCTCAATTGCCTCACCCACAGCATCCGTCTTCAACAGCCTTAAACTTACATATGCCAATGGATGACTGGACCCGTCAGCAACAGCAGCAGCAACATCATCATCATCATCAGGCACAGCCGCCGTCCCACCATCAGTCGCAACCAGCAGCACGTTATTCCCAACATCCTGCTCAATCGCCGGCTTACGAGCATCCCGGTTACTTTACGCCCACTTCGACATCCGTTTCCGGTGCTCCACCCACTACTGCATATTCAACTACTTCTCCAGTAACTCCTTACGGTCCACGCAAGTACAACGCGGTGCCAAACATTGTGAATCAACCTTCATCCTAAGACAAGCAGGCCTATCTATACATTAATTATATTTATTGGTTTTCTTCTGTTTTCTTTTGCTTATTTTTTATATGTATTTTGTTTCATCCTACACCAAGTATTCTTTCCTTTTTGCCAGTCAAAAAATTCCAGAAAAAGGCAAGTCAGAAACTGGCCTTTTGTAAGCTTCTTTACAGCACACTATGTTTTTTTAAACCATTCTAAAACTATAAAATGTCGAACTCCATTCCTTACTTTTTTTTTCCTTTGATTCACCTACCAGCTGTGTACAAAAACAGAAGGCAAACTATAAACATGATGACACCTTGTCTTACATAAATGACAAGACATTGATCTTGTTTTTTGATCCAGTGCTACAGCGTATGCATTGCACAAAGAGTTGTTTGTAACAATACAAAATATCGTCCAACCATGTCCATAACGAGTGTTGCCGAATGAGTGCTTATAGAAACTTGAGCTGCTTTATTTTTTCTTGTGTATCGGAACCGAGAAAATTCTAGCAGCGTGCCCATTATAAGCACAATGCATTTTTTTTTTTTTTGTAACGGATCGGCTCCTTTGTGACCGTCACTATTTTCAACAGCATTCGGACATCCACGGTCACCGCAAAAACCCCGTTTTACAGCACCGGCTCTGCTCATCCATGAAAAGCAACACTTTATGCAAAAGGCACGATTTCGTCGAATATTCGGAGAAGGAGATTATCCCGTTTACACTGAGGAACAATTGGCTTTGATCGTTGACGAATTGCCATTTATTCTCGAGTTTTTTGAACAGTTACTAAAGGTGAATCGGTCGGTTCTGCATGCCGTGGTTTTCCCGTATTAAAAAGTTACATAGAAACTGCAGTCATGCCAATCCGTTGATGAATGTGCTGCAAAGTACTCGTATATTGGTCCCATGCTCACGCGAGCCACTGTAATGCTTGACGATTTTGGACCCCTGGAATTCGCGCTCTAACTCCACATGGTAGATGCACCCGTTTATCAGCTATTCCAGTGACATGGTTCGTTTACTCGTCGCGTGTTTGATGGAATATACCAAATTCAATACGACCACAAATACAGCGTCAAAAACACAGCAGAAGTAGGACCGATTTCGCGTATTGACACGAGAAAAACGCTTGTACTGATCCGTCATGCTAGAGCCTGCCTATGGTGTCTGCAGCGACTAAGATGTCTGTTCAGCAGGTCAGGCGTTGCAAGAGATCAACAATTGATACACCCATCAACGATTGCGGATTCTACCCTACAGCAAGTCCACAACGTACAAATGATGCTAAACACCCTGACAGAGGATGAAAATTGCGCAGTAAGTACTGACTAGATCAACTTGGAACTGCAATGCTTTGGTCCTCATACCGCTGTCATCATCTAGCCGAACGTTATTCGTCAATTACTAGATACTTGTTTATTTCTGGACGATGAACAAGCTGCAGGTGTATTAATCGACCAGCTAGTCATTTACGCGCTCGAACTCATGGATCGCACTTTGGATGACCCAGTCACGCCACGAAAGGAACCAAGTTGTCAACATCTTTCATCATCAGCAATCGTATCATCACCCCCTATATCAAAGCAGTTTATCGACCAGTTAGTGATGTCGGCAGCGAATCGTAGGAATCTGTTATGGCAACGATATCAATCTTGGCCTGTCGAGCTGAAAAGGAGGCAAGCACAATTTGGGTTTACTCAATCTTTTGGTTTGCTTTTGATGTTCTGATGGTTGAAACCCTGTAGGTTGTGGAGGCGATTTGACGATCTTTTAGCTATGGAACTAATGGATATCATTGAGCATGCCATTATCGAAACAGACTATATATCCCTCGACCATCTCTATGTACATATTTCCAACAATTCCTTCGTACAACAACTTGAACATCAACCACACTTATCCGAAAAAGTATTTTCTATCGCGACGAATTGGACAGTGGAAATCGAGGATTGGAGAACTATACGATTTTGTCAATGTCTCTACAAGGTTCTCCAACAGTATGATGCGAAATTTGACGAATCAAAATCCACTTCAACACCGATCAGAGTTAGTACAATCTTGCACTGTATAAGATATGCAATACACTAAATGCTCAGTTCAAGCATATACCCAATGATCTAGCTCCACTGCTTGATCTTTTAGATCTTATATCGATGAAGGACCATTCTTTCGGCCAAATCTGCGCGAATATTCACAAATGGTCGAAGTGCTACATTTATACCGCCCGATTTGATGAAATCACCCCGCGACTTAACACTGTGTGGGCAACCATCATGCTTTTTCCAACGTTTATTCAGTCCTGTACTCTTTACTTGATAAACTGGTGTATGAACTCGACGGCTTCGTGGGAGCAAGATGTACGTAGAAAAATAGAAAGATCGGATTACGAACCAAGTCACTCAATGAATCTCTGTAGGAACACAACACACTGCGACTGCTCGCCTGGTTGATGTATCCCTCGGATGATTTCAGTTTGCAGCGAGCAATGAATGATATTAAAAGTTGGCTATTTTCCCTAAAAAGTAAGCGATCTATTTTGCTTGGATTACAGGTGGATTTTATTATAACACATAATCTTTTACAGATAATCAGCATCCTAGTTTGGCAGATACCATCGATATGTTTATGATGGTTCATCACGATCTGTTTGCGGGCAATCTTGTTATATCCATATCCTTTTTGCTGTCAATACTTGGACTCGCTTCTGAATGGCCGGTGAATAGCTGCTTTGTATCGGTAGGCATTAGCTCTGCGTTGATTAGATTTGAATCACGTACTAAAGGAACATAGATTGATCGATTTGTTGAGCTTCGTCATGCGATCAAAGAGGAGTTTCCCAATATGACGACACTTACATTTAATTCGCCTGCCAGTCAAACCACCGAAGGAATACCCAAACAGCAGCAGTCGTACCATCCGGCAAGCCTATATTTACTTTTAGACATCCTAGACCGGTATGTGTCTGAAAAGGGCTTGCTCCTTCCATTTGGTTCTGTAGCGGACAGATTTCTACTCTTCTTTGATCATGTAAATAATATAGTCCAACAACAATCCTCCTAACTTACATAGCATGTATTTTTTAATATTATAAAATGGAGATCCTACTCACCTTTTTAAACAAGATTAATAGTTTTGAATAGAGGAAGCAAAAATTACTTGGTGCTTTTTAGCCTTGTTATCGTTAGAAAGAACCTTATATCTACCAAATTTTTAGTTTCTGAGACGAAGACTACTACGTTCTGACCAATTAACAAAATACACAAATCTGCAGGTATGCTGATATACCAAAGCTCCAAAGCTTAAATGGCAAGCTCATTAGCACTGTTAAATATATTCTTCTGTCAAACCAACAACCCGAAAAGTGAAACTTTCAAGTGGCGGGAACTGCTTTTTGAACAAAAAAAAAAAAAAACCACCAATGCCGCGGCCGAACTCACCGCACAAACCCCGAACAAAACTACACATTCCGGCTCGGACGACTTAATTTTTTCTTTATGTGTTACATATTTCAAATTACCAAAAACAGTTGGAGAGATGGCCGAGTTGGTCTAAGGCGTCACGTTAAGGCCGTGATCTCTTCGGAGGCGTGGGTTCGAATCCCACTCTCTTCAACCTTTTTGCCTTGCGCTTTAATTTTTTATTTTTCTATTTTTTTTTACTGGATCTGATAAACTGCACGATCACCAAAGTAAATAGACGAGAATTGACAATAAAACGAATGATGATGTTTATTCAATGTTTTGAGGTTTCTTTTTATATTCTATTATGATGATGCTATCTATTCATGATATATCGACTATTACTCATACTGAGCTTTGTTGTTGATATTTACGAACCGTGAGTCATTAAGACAAAACGTTTAGAGGACCGCTAACAGGTTCGACACCTAATTTTTTATTTTTAAATGTTTGTCTCTAACAAGCCGTACACCCGCTGTGCAATGGATGCCACCTGCTAATGGACGTCGCCCCCTTACATTGAGCGATATTCGTCAGACAAAAGCCTAACGCAATACGGCATAACCTGGGCGAGACTCTTGATGGAACTTTGGTATATTAATGTCAATACTCTGGCATACCGTACAGTCATTATTTCCAAACATGTGTGCAGCAGCACTTATTGACCCCCTCAGTCCCGTCCCGCCCAAGGTTATGATAGAGCTAGAATGATGTGTGGGAATGTTGGGTATTTAAAAAAATGAGTAGTAAGCTCTTTGATTGATTCAAATTTTCGTCAAGATATTTTACCTTTGTTATTTGAGTTTGCAATAGCCATTGATCGCTTGACATGACTTGGATTATATGACATTGAAAAAATTTGAATTAGTATACGTTCATTACATCATAGCAAAGGAAAAGAAATTGGACTTGCCTTTGAACCAAATGGTGTACCGGAAAAAAAAAAGATGATACGGACCGCCAGGTAAGCTTCTTCTTCGATGAGGAAAATAAAATTGCTTCCAGGGACAGTTAAAGCGATGGATCGGTGGTGTCAGCTTGAGCAGGCAAAAAATATTGACGTGGTCAGAAGTGACGGTAACTTCGAGTTGGATTCCAGATATCGACAGTCCCCCGAATAAAAAGAAAGAAACAAATAAAGTACATGATGATAAAAAAAACAATGGTCGCGTCAGTAAAAACTTCATAAAAAACCCTGTGGGAAAAAAAGAGGAAAAGACTGCGAAAAGAATATGTACATGAAATACAAATACAAAATACAAACTAAGAACTACAAAATATAATAATCGGGAAGACATCTCGAATACCATATGATGAGAAGCAATCCAAAGGAGAGGAACATGAAGAGGACACGTAAGCGTTTTTCTGATTAAAAAGAGAGCCACACCACCAACGATGGCCTTTGACGTCATCCGGTTTTGCCAGATGGATGGATGGATGGTGAGAGAAAGTCGACTTGTAGTATCCAGAACTTGTCAGGCAAAAAGAAAACGGAAACCGGAAACCGGAAGCTGGAAGAAGGATGGAAGTAAAGGAGAGGTAAGTCTGTTTTGCCGGAGCAAAATCGATGGTAGACCACTCGACGCTTACCTTTTTGAGGATGGTGGTCAATTTAACCAAGTTAGATACACGGGATAAGAATGGTCAGGATGATGGATGCGGATGGGATCTTGATACAATGATAGTGAGGGTTTATCAAGCAAACAGAAAGAGAGAGAGAAAATCAAAAGAAGAAAGATAAAATTGAAGACAAAAATATATGGTTTTCCATGGATGAAACAATAGTCACCCCACTGATGCATGAATTCATAGATCGAAGCACGTCTGCTTATGTATTATTCGATTCATTGAAAATTGAAAGAGAATGAAAGGACATATACAGTATAACTGACAAAAAAAAACCAAATTGAATGATGCTACAGAAGAACACCAGTCGTATCATCAACCACTTTTCTTCAAAAAGAGCTCTACTCACATTTTTATTCGAAAGACGACGATACTCTGTTTAACCACAACTGGCGCAAACGGCACCTTGCTGCTGATTGTTTCGCCTATTATCGTGAAAGTGGGCAGCGAGGCATGGTTGAAAAATAAAAATAAAACGTTTAACAGGTCCTGATAACTTAGTGTAGATCATGTGATTACAAAATCGCTACTTTCCCAAAGATTTTAATTATGTAGATTTTTTTCTCACTTACGCCAATTGTTCATCTTTCATAAGGCCAAGGTGTGGTAGTCGTTATTTTTTTTGGACTTGCTTGAAGTGGAAGATTTCTTTATTATGGGTGAGTGAAAACATGTCCGTCACGGACCATTGCTCGATTTATAATCTATGGAAAATTGTAACAAAAAAAAGCACAAGGGAAGACAAAGATAAGAACGTGTGTAGCAGGCGTGGGGCGGCAGACACGCGAAAAATAAAAAGAATGAGAGAAAGAGTTATATAATAAAAAGGAAAGAAACCGAAATTTTAATACCACGCTACAACGCTTACAAAGGCTCAATCATCTGTTAGGTACCTCATCAATTATATTAACTTATTACATGTATATTTTTTAGGGAAAGCATTATTTTTTTGCAAGCCAGTCTCCTAATAATAGGTGAATCAAAAATGTGAAGGCTATCAGTGTTACATCATAGATATTAACGCAAGACGTTGATTAAGAAGACAAGGACTTCTCGTGAAGCGGCTGCATGAGATTGACAAAGCAAGCGACATAAAAAAAAGGCCAAGCTTTATTTGTTATAAAAGAGATATCATCGAGATGACAAAACAAGATGATGGGGCCTTTGCCGAAGATAACGCAAGTTATTTAGTAGCAGCATTGCTTGAACCATCCTGGAGGGCAGGGGTAAGGGCCGAAGTTACCACATTGATGAGGACAATATTGTGCAGCCATTTGCGGATTTGAAGCGAGGCAGGAGTGCGGATACTGGGCTGGGCAATGCGAAGGATCAGTAGTGCAGTAAGTCGACCAACCTGGATATGGGGCATCTTCATCCTGAGCCCGTGACATTGTTGCGAGACCAAGAACGAGCAAGGATAGAAGAGCGGAAGCGTACTTTACCATTTTTGACCGATGAATGGGATGCTAGTTACTATCTGTTAGGCTTTATATAGTGTTTTTGGAAGCCTCGTATGCTGTTGAGCAACCGATATCATGGCTACAATCTTTCGGATATGCAATTTATTCCATTCGATCGGTTGTGTGGTCGGCCTAAATTTACGGATTAGCTTTTTAAATTTAAGGACGCCTCTACCGAGCGGAATTCATGTCGTTACATATAAAAAATCACATGCGGATATACTCATAGATCAGTATCAGCATAAAGAGGAGTCGTTGCACCGAGTGAGCCGGAATGATAGACCGATAACTGAATCTTTGTCGCTTCAAAACGACCTTGCTTTCAGTAAAATGAATGTTAGGTTTGTCATAGCAATAGTATTATGTAAAATACCAACTGAAGTAGAGACTGCAAGATTACGATCAAATCAAATAAGAACATATCATCTGTCAACATTGTGCACCGTATGTAATCACAGCGTCCAGTTTTTGCTTGTACTCCAATTGTAGGATGGAGATCACCGCAGTATTGCTTATTGGCAATCTCCAGATCCGTTCCAAATCCGCTATCTCTCAGTAATCTTTATTTACACTCGCATTTGGACCCATAATCTATGTTGACAGCTCCAACATAATCTATATGTGGTATTGATCTAAATTACATCCAAATAAACTTGGCCGATGTGGCACCCATTACAACTACAGAAAATCATGATAAAACAAATCAAAGCGCAAGGAAGCGACGATCTAATTCTCAATTAGGCAGGAGTCATGCCCCTCCTTTCTTATCTTAAATCACCCAAACTTTCGATAACTTAAATTATTTGTCTACCTTACCCGAAACATGGGTTGCTGCTTTAAATGTGGCTTTAGAAACGACTCAATCAGCTGATTAATGATATGTAACTCCAACCACATGATAGTGATATCTTGCCAAATAACTTGGGTATACAAAACTTTGTAACCATGATATCGGTTGCTCAACGGCATAGATGTTAGCAATATATAAGCACCGCAGACAGTAACTAGCATTCACACTTTAGCAAAAATAGTGAACTACGCTTCCACTGTTTTGTCCTTCCCCGTTCTTGGTTTCACAACAATGTCACTGGCTCAAAGACCGGACTATTGAACTAACTGCTCAATACTGTACAAACTTGTCCATCTGAGCGCCCGCGTCCCTGCTCTGCTTGTGGTCGGATGGAGGCTATTCATAAGTGTCCACCAGAGTGCGGTTCGTTTCGTGAATCATGCCCTAAGGGACAGTTCAAGAAGTGCTGCTTTGATTGTTAAACAGCTCTTGCTACCCCTGGCAAAAACAAATAACTTTCTTGGTTGCGATTGTATTTTTTTCTGACGACAATTAAACTTTTTTACCCCTTTGCCTTCGTCACATTGACGACACATTAAAAAAAAGGGAGGTTATTATTTGAACAGTGTCCTCCCGTTGATATAGATATAATTAGTATACGACTGATGACCTCTTTCATTGGACCATTCATGATAATTGTATGTGGTTGAGCTGCGAAGAGGATGTTTTTTCTTATACGAGATGAATCAATATGCCATATCTACTATCCTCAAGTTTTACCTCTCAAGAAGAAATAGAATCGTATTAGTGATGACGCCTAATCTTATTATCAGTCTTGCAATGAGAACTTATTCACGCCAGAAGCTTAAATCGTAGTAAACGGTGTAACCCTGTTAATTGATGCGACGAGTATCTTCATTCTATCAACCAGCCAGCTTTCAGAATTGGCTTACAATAACCCATCTTCCTGACGGTATCAAGCTTGTATAGGAATCCTTGGTTATTGGATGCAGAAACGCAGCTGCACAGTGTCACTTAATAATGAGTCGGTTAAGAGGTGCTAATGGCATGAGTTTCATGCTTTTTAGCCGTATATTTTCCTTTCCTACTTTTCCCTCAAAATTACTGCCACGATTGAACCCACACGACTTTTCTGCATGAAACGAGAGACAAGTACTAACTGTGGCACGTCTGATATGCTAAATTACTAAAATTGGAATGGGGATATTGAGCTCCATTACTCAATTGAGGATGATATCAGAATCCGGAATATTATAAACAAAGCCGTTGCCATGGTTATTCCGGAGCTGACCCACTGCGAGCGAGTTCATAGACATTCTCTGTTGCCGCCCTTGCAAGCACGGCAAGCGAGCTTGAGCTGATTAGCATCATTTTTCGGTGATGCTAAAGCAATATGACCCTGTTGTTCATTTTATGCAATGTGCTTAATATCTGGAAAATGAACAATTTTTTTACAGGCGTACTTAGAGTCCTGACTTATGTCGATTGCTCCAACGTAGAGTTGTATCTGGTATTGATCTGAATTACAACCAGATGATCTTGTCAGTGCGGCAGCCGGTATAGTTAGAAATAGCCATAACAAACAAATTTATATGAAAGGCGCAAGGAAACCATAGCCCGAAGGGCAATTCTAAACTAGGCAGTCATGACCCTGTCTTTCTCAAGTTGCTCACCTAGATTATCGATAATCTTATATCACTTGTCCATATTACCCGAATAACGGATCATGGTTTGAAACTTGGCTTTAGAACTCGAACGCTGATCGATGAAGAGACTCCAACCATAAGATTGTTATAGCTTGCTAGGCAGTTTGGATATTCGAAAATAGCCATGATTATCGGTTGCTCAACGGCATATATGTTAGCAAGACGCAGTATATAAGTACCGCAGATAGTTATTAGCATCCACTTGTCAGCCAAAATGGTAAACTACGCTTCCACTCTTCTGTGCTCCTTCGTCCTTGGTTTTGCAACAACGTCACTGGCTCAAGCTAACCCACCGAACTACTGGTCCCCTAACTGCTCTGCTACTATATCAACCTGTCCTCCTGCGCGCCCAAAGATCTGTATTGCTGGAGATGAAATAACGGCTAGATTTTGTCCAGAAAAATGTGGCGAATTTGGTGACGAATGCACTTCAGGGTGGGTTAGGATTTGCTGCCTACCTTAGACAGCTCTTGTTATCACTGGAAAGGAAGTTTTTTCAGCCACCTTGCCTGTTGTCCATATGAATTTTTAATAGCAAAATAAAGTAAATTACCTTTCCCTCACCCCACATGGCTGATACCAAGGAATACTCATTACCTCGATTAAAGCACGGTTTTGCATGTTCGAATAATTATTGTGTAAAAACCGAGCATTAAGTATGCAATACCAATAATAATAAAGTTAGGTATTACCGTTAGTGCAACCACATTTTCGTTTAGTGAGCAAACAATTGGCGCGTCCATCCATCGATTTATGTTTGAGAGAAAGAAGTAACAATACAGTCATATATGTTGACGAGTGCTCACACAAGGAGAGAGTTATCACTGCCTTATTAATTCGATATCAACAGGATGTTTCGGCCGGTAGAGATACGTTGATATCATATGATCAGTGCGATGGGAAGCAATGTGATTAAGTTTTTGTAAACAAAAATACCAAACAACAGGCAATACGGATGAGATGTTTTGGCAGAGTAACAAAGCATTTAATAGCAACATTGCTTGACCGATTTTTTGCGGCTTGTTATCAAAACTGTGCTTGACCATCTTTGCCGGCGAGTCCATGCAGGTTGGATTCTGCTCTTCTTAATATAGTATTTTGCGCAAACATCAGACATCGTAAGTAAACGGCAGCATTTTTGCTGAGCTTTCCAAGATATACAAAAACTCGCATCATTTGGTGGAGCTATTAATGAGTTATATACCTCTGCAGGGCAGGGTTCAGGATCTTGTATATCAAATCCACATTACAGAAATAATTTCACAGTCTAATGTCAGCAAAGAACATCACCTTAAAACTGAGTAAGTGAAAAATAAACTAGCTGACGGCTGTGGCTGTTTCCAGAGGCGTACTATACAGGAGTCTGATTTCATGATATAAGACTTAAGCCTTTCAACTGACACTTGGATATATTTGCATATAAATGGTCACCATATAAGGAGTCCATGTAGCCCTTGACTGACATTTTTCAATTTCATGCGACGGATCCAAGTAAGAAACTTGATAGTACCTGTAAGTACCATTAGAGGCGAAAATGCCATTTCTTGTGCACTAAGCGCCGGATTTGGTGTGTATACATGGCTTTTGGTTCTCCCTTGTAGCCCAACCTACTGACAAACAAGCTTAATTGTCTTCTGACAGACAGTTTGAAATTCAGTTGTCTGTCGGGAATCCGACTTTTTTTCCAGTCCACAAATCTGACTTGAATGAACCGAGACCGCCGGATTCACATCATTCGTTAATACAAAATACGAGTTTTAGCTGTTCTGCCTCTTTTTTAAAGAAATTTTTAATCACAGTCGTCTGCTGGCAGGCATTGTTAGTACTATCTCTCAGCTTTTAGTATGCAGCAATATGAAGAACACAACGAACTTTTTGCTTTTGGGTTTTCGATCTGATATTGTGCTAAACGTTTCAATCTGAACAAGTGATTGCATCCAAGGTTGCTGGTCCTCCACGGCATTAAACTCTGCATTCAAAGCTCAATCAATGATAAGCCATGATAGACCATTTGTAGGAGAAGCAAAAAAAGGGTTGGCTTCACAGGGAAGCACATTGCATGAAATTTCCAGCTAGGCCACATTGCTTGTTTTAGCATCACCGAGTGATGCTAAGCAATTCAAGCCCTCTTGTTGTACCTGCAACGATGGAAACAGCAAATGTCCATGAAACCCGTCCGCAGTGAATCAGTTCCGGCACAAATTATGGCAACAGCTCTGTTTACAATATTGTACTTAATTTAGGAAATGGAGCTCAATGTCCCCTAGTCCTATTCATTGATTACTTCAGCTATTTGCCATGTCTGAGGTGCTGCAGTTCATCCTCATCTACCATATTATATAGGGAAGTAATACAACATCACAACGGGTTCAATGCTGGCAGTATTGTTTTGAGGAAAAAGAAAATCATGAAATGAAAGAAGAAAAAAAACCAAAACAGAAACAACAAAAGAGTTGAAATGTGTGTTAGATCTGCAAGAGACTTGAAAGCAGCTAGAAATTGCTCGTGCTCATATATCGTGTTACATAAACTTTGTTCGCCATCAAGCAAACGATATTATAGCTCTAATTTTTGTGAAGGCAGTATGTACCTCAAAACATATAACTCATTTCATTAGCACCTCGTAGGGGACTCATTATTAAGTTAAGGTTGTCACTTTTTTGCAGCTGCATCCCTGCATCTAACAATCAAAAATACCTGTGCAAGTTTGAGATCGGCATGGATATTATAAGTCAACTTCTGGAACGGTAGATTGATGAAATGAGCTTCCTCGTCGCTTCAATTAACGGCATTTACCATCATCGTCAACTAGCGCGTAAATACTTTGTGCGAATAAGCTCTCATAAATGATTAATTAGGCATAATCACTTGTGCGATCCTGTTT